TCGTTCAAATTGTTACGTAAAAAATATTAAAATCATAATGGAAAGTCTATTAGTCGACTTGGCACGATACTGTTTACGTGACATTAGTCAACGATTCCACCCCTCCTTCAAAAGAAAGCTCAAGAACTACCGGTTGACAATTTTAATGAACCACAAGACTCAGTTTATAGGGGATTCCTGCCCTGGCCGGATATCGATCGGAGAGGAGTAAAAATGGTAAGAAATGTTCATGCTTGTTGTTCATGCTTATACAAAAGACTGAATTTACACATTATTCGTACTTTTTTTATGTATGAATTCCCATAACCTTTAGTTTTAATTCAAACCAATTAACTGAAGTATTATAGATTTGAACAGTCTAATTTAAAATCGCCTATCTCAAAGTCATGCAATAAATTTTCCAATGTTTTATAATTTTAAATAATACAAATTAAATAAATTCACATGTACAATCAACTAAATTTCTTTTTAAAATTTCAAGAAACTTAAAGACAACCTTTTTCAGCAAAGGTTAACTAGGACTCTTTTACAGGATTAATAATCTTTAATTTTTAATTGTTTCCGATCATCCCCTGCCCATCTCGCAAACCTCGACAATATATTACACAATTTAACCTGATTATCTCCAATCATCTTGGTCTGTCCATACTCACAAACCTCCTCAAAATATCACAAAATTTAACCTGATTATCTCCAATCATCTTGGTCTGCCCGTACTCACAAACCTTACAAAATACCACACAATTTAATTTGATTATTTCCAATTATCTTGGTCTGCCCGTACTCACAAACCTGACAAAATACCACACAATTTAACCTGATTATCTCCAATCATCTTGGACTGCCCGCACTCACAAACCTGACAAAATACCACACAATTTAACTTGATTATCTCCAAACATCTTGGTCTGTACTCACTCACAAACCTCGACATATTTCACACAATTTAACTTGATTATCTCCACTTATCTTTGTTACTCGTCCTCACTAATCTCGTCAAAATACCTCACAATATTTGATTATCTCAAATCATTCTGGCCTGCCCATCTCACAAACCTCGACAATATATTACACAATTTACCTTGATTATCTCAAATTATTGTGGTCTGTCCATACTCACAAACCACGACAATATTTTACACAATTTAACTTGATTACCTTCAATTATCTTGATTTACTCGTCCTCACTAATATTGTCAAAATATCTCACAATTTAATTTGATTGTCTCCAATCATTTTATGTGTATGTCCATCTCACAAACCTTGACAAAATATCACACAATTTAACTTGATTATCTCAAATCATTCTGGTCTGCCCATCTCACAAACCTCATCAAAATATCTCACAAATTAATTTGATTAACTCCAATTATCCTGTCTGCTCACAAATCTCGACAAAATATCACAGTATGTAACTTGATTATCTTCAATTATCTTTGTTTGCTCGTCCTCACTAACTTCCTCAAAATATCTCACAAATTTACTTGATTATCTTGAATCATCCTGGTCAACCCATCTCACAAACCTCGACAATATATTACACAATTTAACTTGATTATCTCTAATCATTCTGGTCCGTCCATACTCACAATCCTCGACAATATTTCACACAATTTAACTTCATTATCTTCAATTATCTTTGTTTGCTCGTCCTCACTAAACTTGTCAAAATATCTCACAATTTAACTTGATTTTCTCAAATCATTCTGGTCTGCTCGTACTCACAAATCTCGACAAAATATCACAAAATTTAACTTGATTATCTCCAATCATCCTGGTCTGCCCGTTCTCACAAACCACGACAAAATATCACACAATTTAGCTTGATTATCTCCAATTTTCTTGGTTTGCTCGTCCTCACTAACCTCATCGAAATATCTCACAAATCAACTTGATTATCTCCAATCATCCTGTTCTTTTGGTCGTTGCAAAGAATAAAAAGAGACATAAATAAATGTTAAAAAAATGTTTTTAAAATAAAGTTTCAAGAAACTTAAAGACAAACTTTTCGAACAAAGGTTGATCAGCACTCTTCTGTAGGATAAAAAATGTTTAAATTGTGTATTAGAAAAAAAAGTGCAATTTGACCTTATCTTGGTCTGATCAAGCTCACTTCGGTCAGAAGACATACTGATGATGACGAAAAGCCGAAGCGCAACTAACCGAAGAGCAACCGAAGGTAGTCGATAAAGATCAAATTACAGACACATTATCCCGCAGATCGGACTTCATACTTATACTTCATTAAAGAAATTTTGACTCCCAATTTATAAATTCATTTTTTTCCTGATGAACGAATTTTGTTATTATTGTCGTCTGTTTAGACAAAATTGATAAGTTTGTGTTGAAATTCGGAGACGTCTCCTAAGTCTTCAACGAATTGTCTTAACGTAAACAAGACAAACCGATGACTCATTCTTCTGTATGTCTGTACTATAAATATATGCATATTTATTTATAAACTAGTCGTAGTTTTATATAAATCACATTGATAAAACTGTAATTACGCATATCATCATAAATTATGGTTGTTTGTACATTGTACCGTACTGTTTGCAGAAAGTGGTTTTCCACATGAAATTTTTTTTTTAATAAATAACTAAATAACTAAAACCGTTTAGGCCGATTGCAAAGCACGATTCTATGATTCAGCCGGCTAAGTTTATATTCAAAGCGTCGTAAGTTTTCGAAATTGGTTTAGTTTTGCATTCGTTTGGAATTAGCATCCTTGACACAAATAGATTAACCGAAGGTTAACAAGTATTGAAAACATAAGACCACATAAAATAAAAAATCAATTATGTGTAACATATTACGTATTTGTGAAAAAAAAAACTTCAACGAAATTTCTGTACAAAAATTCTCAGATCTAAGCATTCAAATTTCAACTTTATACTTGCATTTTAATTTATCATTAATATCTGCTGGAATTTTCTCTTCTTTTTTTTTTGACAAATAAAAAATATGATTATGGCATTTACCCCAAAGGCCGCCGGCTATGGAAAGTCCCTCTCTGTGAAAACAATCGTGAACAACATTTCTTGAAATTGAGATGTCATACTGATAAAACAGAATTAGAATAAAAATTTCACACAAATTTATTTTTCATTTAGCCAACTAGCCGACGGCACCGCATCCCTGGTACTTTCCCCGTCTCGAACAAACAAAATTTTGATTAATCAAAATGACCTTCCTATAATTTGTTTCCATATATTCAAAAAAAGTAATAAAACGAAAAAATTTCTGTTTTCTCTTTTCACATCAATTGTGGAACAAAAATTTATTATCAACGTCGTCATCATAAAATAATAAAAAAAAGTTCTATAAATATTTTTTTTAATATTACAATGTTTACAATAGTTATATTTTACCTTTTGACTTTAATTTCACATCTAATTTACTTAATTACAGGATAAATAATAACAAAAATAAATTAGATGTAAAATTAAAAACAAATTCTAGGCATAGTTTACTTTTATAAAGTAACTTTTACTTTTACTTTTATAAAGCATATTAATATAAAAAATTGTCATAATTGAAAACTTTCATCACTATGGCATAAATTATTCAAAACATCTCAATAATACAAAGGAAAATCTAATTTTTTTAGGAAAATATATACGATATATTTACTAAAATAAATTATTGACCAGATCTACGATAGTCTACGCTATACTTAATGATGATTATCATGGACTGCCCATCATCACTAACCTTGACAAGATATAGCACAATTTAGCAATTATCTACACTCAACATGATCTGCCCATCTTCACCAATCTTGCATGTATTTGCGACATGGACAATGTCCGCGTAATAGAGGTGCTTGAAAAGAATACAAGAGACATAAATAAATTAAAAATAAATAAATAGATGGAGATAATATATAAAGCTCTTTTTTAGAAGTAATATTTACAGCAATAACCTGGAGACCTGAACCCCCATTCTTCTTATATTTTTAAACAATATAAAACCATACTCTAGCAATGTTTGCATAAAGACATATATCTGATTTTAATTTATTAATGACAATATTTAACACATATTTAAAATTCATGATGATAGAATAAAAATTTTCACCCAAATCTATTTTTCATTTAGGCAACTTGCCGACGCCACCGCATCCCTAGTACTTTCCCATCTAATCAAAATGACCTTCCAATAGTTTGTTTCCATATATTCAAAAAAAGGAATAAAATGAAGAAATGTCCATTCGTTCTCTTTTCAAATCATCATAAAATAATGAAAAAAGTTCTATAAATATTTTTTTTAATATTACTTATTTTTGTTTACAATAGTTATTATTTTACCTTTTGTCTTTAATTTCACATCTAATTTACTTAATTACAGGATAAATAATAACAAAAATAAATTAGATGTAAAAATAAAAATAAATTGTAGACATATTTTACAATACACTTTTATAAAGTATATTAATATAAAAATTTGTGAGAAATGAAAACTTTCATCGCTATGGCATAAATCTTCCAAAATATCTCAATAATACAAAGGAAAATAGAAAATTTTTAGGAAAATATATACGATATTGACCAGAAGATCTACAATAGTCTATGCTGTACTTAATGATGATTGACTTCCCATCATCACTAACCTTGACAAGATATCACACAATTTAATGATTATCTCCACTCATTCTGGTCTGCCCATATTCAAACCTCACATGGACAATGTACTGGAGGTGGTTGAAAAGAAGAAAAGGGACATAAATAAATTAAAAATTAATAAATAGATGGAGATAATATACAAAGCTCTTATTTTTATTAGTAGAATTTAGAGGAATAACCTGAAGACCTCAATCCCATTCTTCTAATATTTTGAAATGATATAAAGCCAGACTCCAGCAATGTTTGCATAAAGATATATACATTACATATGTCTGATTTTAATTTATTAATATTTACTATATTTGATGATAAAATTATTTCAATCTGTTGTACTATAAAAATATAGCTGGCAATCTATTTGTCGATCTTTTCCAGGTTTGGTTCAAGATGAGCAGCATGATGGCAATACCCGCCTCCGTGGCAGGGGCGGTTTCCCAGATAGCCTGGTGGACTCCGACAATACTTACTGTACTTAGTTTTCTCGACCAACTCGACCCAGATGGGCGACCAGTCAGTATTGAGACCGATGACCTACGACCCTATTATGACTTTGTAATAGTTGGAGGTGGGTCAGCAGGGGCCGTCATCGCCAACAGGCTTTCTGAAGTCGAGGATTGGAACGTTCTTCTTCTTGAAGCAGGAGGCGATGAAACGGAGATCTCAGATGTACCCTTACTCGCTGCCTACTTGCAATTGAGTAAACTAGACTGGCAATACAAAACGGAACCACAAGGCACTGCTTGTTTAGGTATTTAACTGCAATTCTGTCAACAAATAAAATAAACCTATAATAATAATTAATTCAAAGAAGTAATTTGGTCAATTATATGGCTAGACATAATGGATAATCTATAATTTTTTGCAGGAATGAATAATAAACGATGCAACTGGCCAAGAGGGAAAGTAATCGGTGGTTCAAGTGTGTTAAACTACATGCTTTATGTTAGGGGCAACAAGCATGATTATGACCACTGGGAAGCCTTGGGTAATATTGGATGGGGCTCGAACCAGGCACTTTACTACTTCAAAAAGTCTGAAGATAATCGCAATCCCTACTTAGCAAGGACAGAGTACCATTCGACTGGTGGGTATCTTACAATTCAAGAAGCTCCATGGCAGACTCCTCTTGCCGCAGCTTTTGTTAAAGCAGGCGTAGAGATGGGCTATGAGAACAGAGACATCAATGGAGAAAAGCAAACGGGATTCATGATCGCACAGGGCACTGTAAGAAGAGGAGCACGATGTAGCACAAGCAAAGCTTTTCTCAGGCCTATTAAGCTTAGGCAAAACCTTCACATAGCAATGTATTCACATGTCACAAGGGTCTTAATAAATCCTCAAACAAAAACAGCTTATGGAGTCGAATTTGTAAAGAACGGTCAAAAGCATATTATTAAAGCGTCCAAAGAAGTAGTTCTTTCTGCAGGAACAATCGGTTCAGCACAACTGTTGATGCTTTCTGGAATCGGGCCAGCAGAGCATCTCAAAGAACTGAAAATATCAGTTATGCAAAACCTAAGGGTTGGCTACAACCTACAAGACCATATTGGCCTTGGAGGCCTGACATTTTTAGTAAATCAGCCAATTTCTTTGGTCCAGAAGAGGTATGAAAATGTAGGTTCTGTAATGAACTATGCAGTATTCGGTAATGGCCCTTTAACAGTCCTCGGCGGTGTCGAAGGACTAGCGTTTGTCAATACAAAATACGCAAATGCTAGTGATGATTATCCAGATATAGAATTCCACTTTGTATCGGGGTCTACGAGTTCTGATGGAGGTTCACAGCTCTGGAAAGCGCATGGTATAACATCATCGTTTTACGATGAAATATTTGGGCCTATTAATAACAAAGATGTATGGTCGGCCATTCCTGTTCTTCTTCGCCCAAAGAGCAAAGGGTTCATCAAACTCAAAAGCTCCAATCCTTTTGATCACCCCTTGATCTACCCGAACTATTTTTTTGAACCGTTTGACATGAAAACACTAGTTGAAGGAGTGAAAATTGTCTTGGCGATGAGCCAGACCAAAGCTTTTCAAAAATACGGTAGCCAACTGTACAACAAGCCTTTCCCCGCTTGTAAAAGTATTCCACAGTTCACGGATTACTACTGGGAGTGCATGATAAGACAGTACTCGGTGACGATCTACCATCCAGTCGGCACATGCAAAATGGGCACGAGCTATGACAAAGAGGCTGTGGTCGACCCACAGTTGAGAGTATATGGGATCAAGGGACTGAGAGTGATCGATGCCTCCATCATGCCGACTCTCGTAAGCGGAAACACAAACGCACCGGTAATTATGATTGCGGAAAAAGGTTCTGACATGATTAAACAATTCTGGAACAGAATACACTGATTTGAAGCAGCTCAAAGTAAACTCTAGTCAGAACCAATTTATTTAATTGAAATATTTTATTGCAGCTTTCTGTCAATGTAAATAATGTAAATAAAATTTTTATCTCTTTGCAAAAAAAATTAATTTTTAATATTTGTTTTGTTATTAATAAATGTGATTTGAGATTTGAGATTTTTAATAAATAAAACATTGGTATGAGACCAGTAGTACAAATTCTATAAACCCTTGGGTTAACCCACTAACTCTCTAAACCATTTATTAATAAGTTAATTTTTTTGTGCAAATAACCGGATGACTTAAACAATGCAAATCAGTTGATCCAAATTGATTAAACCATAGGTACATCAGGGGACTGCAGAGGCTGAATGTGACTTGTATTTGTCCGAAAAGCAAAGCCCATGGAATTTTAATTGGTAATAATGTAAAAGGTATCATAAAGTGGTTTGGCCCCTTGTCTGCAACATCCAGCGAAGTTGGACATTAAGCCATCCTGCATGCCTGGAATTACATTAATTACAGGTTCATCAACCTACAGGCTTTAACAAGAAAGTTCATAGTCAAATACAACAGATAAGATAGCATTTAATCACAAATTGTGTGATTGGTGTATTTCGCCCACACCCTTGAAATGATATCATCGTTAAATCATATTTAATAAGATTTTACACTTAAACTGTCGGTACAAATGACAATGGAGAACGGTGGTAATTTAAGATGTATAGTACTGCCATTTTAATACCCATCAATTTGGCACTATAAATTAAAATTTCAGGCAGTTGTAGGATAGATTAATCTTTTTTCAATATCGTATCAAACTAGAAACAACCATTTGCCTGCAATAAGAGAGCCAGATACAGTCTACTCTTGTTAATTTTAAATGTGCGTTGATTAGTGACCGTTAATCGATAATTATTCAGAAATTGTGAAATGCGATCTGGTGTGATGTAGGTTTCAAAAAAACATTTTCTTTATCGTGCCAACGTTTCGATCTTTATTGAGATCATCTTCAGGGCCTGGGATTTACAAACATCGTTTATATTTAACAAATACATTTAGGATGTGGAAAAGTGAATTTATACAATGCAAAATATATTTTTTATATTCAATCAAAGTATTTCTACTCACTCAAAGTGTTTGTCTTCTGTGTAATTGTGCCATTCTTGTGTGTCGTGTTGAGAGTGCCAGTGAGATTTTGCTGTTTTATGTTTATATACGTTGGCTTTTGAAGGGGTGGGGAAGGAAGTCAGTATAGAAAATCCCAGGCCCTGAAGATGATCTCAATAAAGATCGAAACGTTAGCACGATAAAGAAAATGTTTTTCTGAAACCTACATCACACCAGACCGCATCTCACGACTTCTGAATAATTAGTTAATTTGAAACTTGATAATTCGAAGTTCTTGATAATACGAACTCCGAAGCAGGTCACTTTGCTAAATTGGGAAAATTCTGTGCATTTGATACAATCCGTAACAAGGAGAGAAAGTGCAGTTATTAATTGAAATAGAGTCACTTCCTATCTTTATAATTTGCACATTTTCTTTGTGGTATTCCTGTAAATTTCCACATAATGTTTACTTCCTTACAGCCTAAAGTTTCTTATTTTCTCTAGTTTGTTATGTTCTATGTCAGTATTTTGTCAATGTGTTAGCACTGGTCACTTCGTAAAATCATTGAAATAAAGGACGCCAGATCATATTGAAACAAAAACCATTTCATGATTTTTTTAATAATGCATAACTATGGTCAATTTTACAGTTGATCTATTTCCAGTTTTTCATTATTTTTACTATGTTTTGTGTATGAACAATTTAAGTAATAACTCGGAAATGCATATCATCTCTTAACAATTTTTTTCTTTCCTATTGATAATTATTTGATTGGTATATTGGTCCCTTAGTTTTTGAATTATCAAGAGTTGACTGTATATAAAGTGGTCACATATATGGAAAAGGTCATTAAGCTCAGATTTTACTATTTGATTGGCTACACAGTTCATCTCAGTGATCTTTTGTTGTGAAAGTCAGTCAGACCTAAAGAGGTTTGGCTTACTCTAATAGAACTAATTTTGTAACAGACAAGGACATAAAACTTTCCCGAATGTGTTTTTTTTTTCCTTCTGCCACTATTTAGAGGTTCGGGTTAAAACTACCAAATCAACAATGTTTGATAATAAAGTAAATTCATTTATTAAATTATTATATTGTTTTAAATTAAGCTCAAAACACTAAGTTTTCCATTTTTGAATATCATTTTCATCATCATCATCAATTATAATGTAAGTACAAGTTACAATTTTAAACACACGATTACATTTCTTCACACCGTGTATTGTTATACTCAGTCAAATGGAAAATGAGTTACAAAAATTAATTAAAATATACAAATATATATTGAAAAAGATTTTTACATGTATTTTATACAAGTTACAATAATAAAAGAAATGTATATTTACAATTCGTCATAATCGTTAGTACTATTGTTTTCCTGTGTCGAAGGAGGAACATCTTGGGAATATATGCATATAGAATTGTCATCTGACACAGAGACTATTTTATTTGAATCAGGATTGTATTTGACTTGCCAAACCTAAACACAAATATGTAATGTAAAGCGTTAGAATGTAAATACTTAACAATTTATTATGAAGTTATTTTCACCTGATCGGTATGCTCTCTAAAAGTGTGAACACAAGATTTACTTTTCAATTCCCAGACTTTGACGAGGGTGTCTGAACTTCCGGATACAAAATGATTACTATCTGGAGAGAATGCAACACTGAGGACCCACGACTCATGTCCAGAAAGTGTAGCAACTGCTGTTGCTTGTTTCCTAAAAATCAATTTAAAATTTTTCTTTAATTTTATCACTTAATATGCCTGTAAGTTACATACATGTCATAAAGTTTAATATGTTTATCATCTGATGCTGTCAGAAGCAAATTCGATTCTGGAGAAAAACAAAGGGAACGGATTGGCATGGCATGACCACCCAATGTTTGTACCAGTTTGCCGCTTGCAACATCAAAAATGGTTATAATTCCGTCTACAGCTCCTGAAGCTATGTAATTTCCATCAGGGCTCTGAAATAAACACCTAACATAGAATCATTTCATGAATTGTAATCATTTAAAAAAGAGGAAAAACTTACATAAGCTATGCTAAGAATAAATTTTCCTTTTGTGTCTAACGTGCTCTCAACAACACCGGATTCAGTGCCATAAACATTAATTTTACCATTTTGACTCCCTGCAATAATATTCTTACTGTCTGGTGAGAAAGCGACAGTCCATACTTCCAGCGGGCCTGCTTCGATTTTCTTTTCTAATTTGGTTTCCTGAGCATTCCACACTCTTATAGTAGAGTCTAGAGAACTACTTATAATCACTAGAATTGACAATAAATTTGAATTAATACAGTAAAAATAAAATAATTTGGTGGCTTACTTGAAGAGTCGTGATTTATATCAAGAGACACCACGCCGAAACAATGACCGTCTAACTGGTTCTTCTGAACTAATTTGTTGTCACTATAATTCCATAATTTTACATTGTTATCCATTGAGCCGGTAACGATGAAGTCTTCAACTTCCTCTATTTCCTCAACATCCATGGAATCCCTAGACTCAATAATTAGTACGCAAAGGATTAAAAATAAAAATAATCTTAACTGACCTGGAAGCATCTCCTTCACCATTGTGATGATCTTTGTGGTTGGATTTTTTCTTGATGGACCTGCCCCACGCACAAGACCAGATGCTGCCCTCATGGGCCATATCTTCTTTTCGAAGGAGTTCAAACTGAAAAAAGATAAAACTGTAAATTAATTGCCAATTTTCATCACAAGAAAAGGACAGGTGGTATAGGAAACGAATAAATAATTAATAAGTTTGAAGAACTTAAGAAAATTTTATTTTTGACCATGTAATAAGTTATGGTTTGTATGTATTTGTATTTATTCAAGGTAATTTATTGTTACTGATCATCAAGGTCTGCCCACAACTGCCAGGTTGTTTCAGCATTTTGCCATCTTCAGTAATCAGGGATATAAGCAGGGTAAGATGTTGATATACAGCTACCATTCAATATGGAAAAAATGCCGAAACACTTCTGGCAGGCCAACTAGTGAGGATAGATAGACCAAGATGATCAATAACGATTAAATTACATGTTCTGTAGACCACAAGAGGAATTCTCATAGGTCATAAATAGAAAGTATTATACAAATAAATGCTTCATTCATAAAGTATTGAATAATGGTTTAGACTATCAAAAACTAATGTTTCTTTTACTTTGAAACTATTTTCAATTAATCTTTAATTAAGGCTTTGGTGGAGATAAAAAAGTCAGTGTCACGAGCGGGATTCGAACCCACGACCTTCGGCTTGATACACCGCTGCTCTACCACTTGAGCTATCGTGACTTGATCCACTCAGACACTAACTTCCCATCTCAACCCCACCTTTTTTAATTTTCCCTCCTTTATCTCAACCAAAACCTTAATTAAAGATTAATTAATTGAAAAGGATTTATTTGGTCAAGCAGACCACGAGACCTAATAAATGTAATTTGAAACTATTGAAAATTCCAAATTTTATTTGCAACACTATATAAATTTATGAGTTTCTCTTGGCATTTGTGGAGTGATGAATCTATAATTTGGTCGCTTCCGATCATTTTGTACTGTCAATCCTCACTGTTTTGGTCTGTCAAGCATATTTCGGTGTCTATCTTCGGTGGTTGGTTTCAGATCAGGGTTACAAGTAGAGTGAGGCACAAACCACAGACCCAACACTGAAGATTGAAAATGACCAAAATATTTCAATGTTTTTAAATCACAAATTCTACAATTCTATTACAACTACAATACAAAAAAATATCAAAAATTGTAATAAGTTGTAGTTCATTTAAATTAAATCCATTTTCTTAATGTACAATTGTAATTTAGAAAAGAATACATGGCATAGAATGAATTTAACCAACCAAGCAACCAAATGAGCAGAAAGGATGAACCAGAGACCCCTGAGTCTAGAAGATGTGAAATGTTATCTCAAAAACCAATGTTGGAAAGAAGGCAGTATACAAGGTCAACACATGGTCCTCTCCTTGCCAAATAAAGACCATAGAGATGAACTTTATGCAGTGCACAAGTATCTGTAAAATATACTTTCACAGAGTACGAGGAAATAGCGCCACAAAGAAGGCCTACCAGCAGACTTTAAACAACTTTTAAAGCACAGTAGTTGTTAAAATAAAATGTTAATATCAGTTGTTCGATGCATAAAGCAAATAAACATTCACATATAAGGCCATGTCTCTTTCATATGTAGGATGAAATAAGACAAAATAATTTGAATGAATGTATTTATTAGCAATGAGTGTGCATTTGGGTGTTTGTTGAATATCAAGTACCCATAAACACACTAAAGTAATCTAGATTATTTAGTTTTATATATATTTGCAATGTAATAGCAACAAACCCTGATTACCGTATTGTGTGAATGTATTTATTTGCAAGAGTGTGTACAGAATATAAAATTTCAACAGACCTGTCGAACCAATTAGGTTAACTTGGGTAGTGAATGTATGATTTTTACTCTGTGTCAATGAATTTATTGACAGGAATGAAGGGACAGCAATATGGAGATGGACCTCTGACCTAACAACCCTAGGTTTAGGTTTTGCATAATTTTAGCATAGTTGAAGGGGTGGGGAAAGGGTCTCAGCAGTATATTGAGAACTTTTAACATATGAATGTGTATTGAGAGAATGCAGCCATCAGTATTTAGGGTTGGGCTAGGTCATGAGGGCACTGTCTACTTAGGTGATAAGGAGGGTGGAACTTAGTGCTAGGAACTTAGCTAGTGGATTTGTGTGGAAGGAGAGCGTGGAGTGGAGGTTGTGGAATTGTGTCCAGGTCATGTACATCAAAAATGGGATGCCTAGGTCTTTGTCAATGGTTGGTTAGTGACATAGAAGGGAGCATTGAGGATGCAACAGAAGTTTTTTGATTGAAAGGATTCATTGAATATTGGATGTCTTGCCTGAACCCCATAGCTCGATTCTGTAAGTCCAAATTGGTCTAATGTGTCTTGTATATTGTTAATTACTGTGTGCACTACTAGTCCAAATTGGTCTAATGTGTCTTGTGTATTGTTAATTATTGTGTATACTCACTGCAGATTTGGGTCCTTTTTGTTTTATGTATGTTCCATGTAAGTATGCTCCCAAGCAGAACCAAAGGTAGCAGATTTGGTTGGAAATTTTGTCTTACTTATATATACACTGTATTTTAAGTGTGAACATCAAGTACCGGTTCCTTTGTTCGTTTAATACGCGACCAAGTGCACTAGTCAGTAATGAAGTCTAGGTGATATTTTAGCTTCAAGGATAGGATTACATAATTCACGAAGGTTGTGATGGGGTGTTAGAGCGTATGTCAGTAATGTAAACTGTGTAGAGGATTGGTCCTAAGAAACTCCCTTGGGGAACACCAGCCTTGATGATCAATGCATTCATGTCTGAAAATTCAGAACCAATTCTCACATTGAACCAGCGATCCAAGAGAAAGAACTTCAAGATGAGATAGTAAGGGGAAGGATACTTTTTAACTGTAAAAGGAGACCAGGGTGTACTATCAAATAGATAGTGGGATCTCGAAAAACTGCTAAACAATAATTTTTTAGGACAGATGATATTGTGTCAACCACTCATAACCACTAGTCAGCAGAATGAAGGGGTCTATCAAATTAACAATTTAAAAACTGAAAACTGCTTATTTTATTCAGGAAAGTATGTATACGTATATACTAAGATAAAAGCTGATATACATTTTTAAAATAACAAGAACATTTATGTTTTGATAATGACAATGCAACAAACGAGGTGATGTTATTTGTTGGTCTGTGAGTCGCTGAACCAACATTGGGTCAGTTATTGGGTCTGTCTTCACTCTCGAGTTTGTTAAACTACTCAAACGAGTCTCAGCATTGTGCCATCTTCAGTGAGGAACTGTTCAAAGGTGGAAACATTAAGTGAAACAATGCCAGCTCAGCATGAACATGACAGAAGATTCGAACATTGGAGAATTTAAACTATTTAATTTAATAAAATAAAAAAATATTAAATTTGAAACATTATAAAAACTTTTTTACCCAAATAGACTGAAATAATGGCTTAATATCGTCAGAGAATGATAAATATATAAATTTATATTGAGCAATAACAATGTACAACAGAAAAAAAGTGTAAATAAATGCTATTTATATTTCAATTTGTAATTAATTACAAACTAAAAAGTCTATTGTTTGTGTATTATGTAAATATGTATAGATACATATTTACATAATAAAAATAAATTGTGTTAAGTATTGATTTGTGTAAAAAAAAAATCCTTTTATCCTACTATCTATAAACTAAAGCCTGCAAATATGATTTAGCAATGAACCTAATAGGGTCAGAATAAATAAAAAGTGACTTTAAATTGTTGTGGGTTAAAAATGTTTTTAAGGTAAAACGTTCCATGTGGCTTGGCTTACCATTTTGTCTGTGGGACACTATAAACAAAGATAAATGTGATAACTACAACAAATTCCGGCTTCACACTTCATTGGCAACTTTCGGTTAGTAGCTACTAACTGTCTACACTTCTGTTTGTACCGGTTTGTGCCTGCATGCTTACGGCCACGATAAACTACTAACAATCTCGCTGCAGTTCAACTCGGAGGTTCCGGAATTGGTGCGAGGTACGAGGTACAAGCGTGCCTCGTGACGAAATTATCCGGGTTCTACTTCTATTTGGAATAAAAGTACTTAAGAACACCATTTCGGTTTCACTTGAAGTCACAGATAAAATATTCTGACACATTATTATGTTTGAAAGTTCTGGTTAACTCTGGACTCAAGTAAGCTAAAGTTCTTAAACAATACGGGCTAAGTTCTTTGCAAGTAACTTAGCTTTCAAACTTGTAAAAAAATTGAGGAAGAAATAGTTAAATAGCAAAAACATAATATTCAAAAAGAAACTACGGTATTTTTGGTAAAATATTTATTCTTTGAAATAGTCAAAAAACGTTTGGCTTCATTGTACCATTAATTTATTGTATTTTTTTAGAATAAAGCTAAATCAAAACTGAAAAGTTTAGGTTTTCAGCTACACATTGAATTTACTGAACTGTGCTGGATTGTTGCATACAACACAATCACTAATCACATTTTAAATTTTATTTTATTACAATCTGCAATTTCTAATTACACATAATTTGCAGATACATAGACATATACAACTATTTACATTGAGGGTAGCAAAAATCAATATTATGTTCCCAGTTCACATTATTAATGAAAGGAAGTCGCAGGGACATTTCTTCTTGTGACGCCTTATGGGTTTTTAACGGATGGGTTCTATTAGAGTGATAGGAACTTGTAGAACATAAGAAATTTTTGGTAAATAAAATTAGGCCTTTAAACATTATTTTCACCAATGTCTTACTAATATACACCATTATAAAATTTAAAAATGTTAAAAATTAAAAAGCATATACTTGCAGTTTTTAGCATATAATATTCTTATTTATTTGGTGTTTGTTAGTCTTCATGTACTACTTGGAGAAAAGAAAACTTCAGTTAGGAGATGGCATGAAGATAAAATGTGTATGGGTGAAACATACACCAGCAAGAATAGCTGGACCCATTTAAGTGGTCAGTGTTGATCAGTTCAACTTCTACTTCTTCCATGCTATTTTACACAAAAAAGCTTTCAAACTACGCCTGAAATTCAGTCAATAAATTAATTTTTCAGCTTGATGAATATCCAATTACTTGCAGTGGGTCACAGCTGAAGGGTCAAACCACTTTACAAAACATTTGACCTATTATTAAATTTACTGAGATTGAGACAAGTGCAGGCTCAAAAATGATCGAAACAAATTGTGTAACAATTAAATAAATAAATTAAAATTAAAATTAAAAAATAGTGAAAGTTCAATAAGCCTACATCCTATTGTGTACTTAATAAATAAAGTTAAATAAATACAACTAAGGAGAAAAAAAAGATAGAAATCAAGTTTAATTTTTTTAAATTTCTAATAGTATGAATCTTAAAAGTCAAAAAAAAATTTTGAATAAATTATCCAAATAAATAAATTGAATTTGAATAACAAATTATAATTGTAACATATTAATTGGTCAAGCGGACCACGAAATTAGTGAATTTAAAAATTATAAGTTTTATTCAACTAATATTGTTATACAAAGGATTCCAATTTTGAAAAAACGGTTCATTCACAAATTTCATCATTGATATTAATGTATAAGCCCATCATCCAAATGATCCCAGCTTCTGTACTTATAGTAACATGCGGCTCTCCGTTGTACGTATTCGATGTGCTGACCATATTTCCAAATGCTACAAAATGATTGTCTGCAAAAACGACCGGTAATTATTCAAAGGGATTTTATATTTACGCAACGACAGAAATTACCCAAATTCCATTTAAGCCCTGTTGAAGTGACATGGTTTTCAACTGGCTCATAAGGCACCACTCCGCACCAAGCTTTATTTACAATCAGATACCGGGGTATGATGATTTTGTGTCGTCCTTTAGGCAAATACCAAACTAGCGAATAACTGCTAAGCAAATAGATTGGCTTACTTATATTGCACAATGCCTCTACCTTTCCGGCTGTATTTATGTGTTGCAATAAATGGTCCAATCGGTCACCACCACTCTCACATATAGCAATAATACAATCTAACTGTAATCAAAAATGAAACTGAAACTAAAAATAAATAAAAAATAATAATAATAAAAAGATTCTTTAAGAAATAAATCATTTAAAAGTTACACAAATCACATGAGATTCACTACAGTAATAAATAATCTTTCTCCCAAGCGGGCAAACATCAGTTATGATACCATCACTGCCTAACGGAACTATGAGACATTAACCATTTCACTTTTAAGAATATAAATAAATTTTACACATTTAATTTAATTAATTTTGAATTATTCTGTTTTCATCACACCTATAAAAAGCAGAACAATTCACTGTATTTTACGATACGCAATTAAATTTTTAATTGCCACTCTCTTTTTTAATAGCGATAGTAAAGGAATTGCTATTTTTTCCATAGGCAAATAGAATAGTTGAATTTATTTTTAATGATAAAAATTAATATACAACATTGGAGTTCTGTTATTCTTGTGTTTTATTAACTTTTAATAATGGATAGCATAATTTCAAAACAAAGTAGTTTTTAAGTACTACACATATACACAAACATACAACAAAAAGAAGAAAAAAGTGTGTAATATCCAACACAGTGGATCTGGCAGAAAGAAGAAAAAGAAGACATTATAAACTGCATTCATTGGGGGCTGAAATGACCTACCTGTCATAGCCCTGGGGCTTATCTTTGGTGGATAGGACAGAAAATAGTGAGCACAGGCAACTAAACTAACAACTCTAAATTAAGTGAATTTCTAAGTCAAGCTTGCCAAAGAAAGTCTAACCACAACTAGGTGCAGTGTATTCTATGAGAAGTGGAATGCACATAGAGAGTGAATGAAAAGGTGGTTGTGAGTGAAAGATGAATAAGAATAAATAAGATAGATATGTATAGATGGATAGATAGGCAAATAGATAGAGATAAAAAGCTTGCAAAAAATAAAGCGAGCTATATTCATTTTGCACTTTAAACACGGCTAGAAGTGAGTTAAAAGGCATTCAAACTATATGTCTATAAAATTACTAATAGGTTTGTAAACAAATATGAACTTTTTTTAATTCAACAATATTTATTTTCAACTAATACAAAGATTCACTTTTTGGTTATTCTAAGGTCTCAATATTGTTTTTGCATCCCCATTGACCACAATATTTCCGAATCTGTCTTAATGGTTACCTCAGACTCTCCGGAATATGTATTTGAAGTACTGATCATTCCTCCAAATCGCACAGACATATTATCTGAAAAAATGTTTGAAAAAACTAACAAAAACGGCTGGTTATGGCTTTTCTGGTGGGATATGTCTGGTTGAAAAATTCAGATTTTTTACAAATACAAAAAATGATTAACTGAACCTTACTAGACTCGAAAATTGTAGTAAAAAAATCTGTTACATGACATTTCAAGCAACTAATTTGTGAAGTTTGGTCATTGCCAATCATTTTGGTCTGCCTATCCTTTCTGGGTCAGACTGTCAGACACACTGAATCTAATAAAACGTTTCTGACAAACCAAAATTATCAGTAACCACCAAGTTTCAGGTTCATCAAGCAGCAGAAAACAAGGACAAATTCACCTAATTTTTAGTTGTGAAATGAGTGGCTGTATGATAATAAAGTTAATTTTAATAACGGTCCCTAAAAAATGAAAATATAAAATCACTCCCTAGTTCCTCAACAAAAAAACTTGAATTTTAAAATGTTAAACTTCATAACAAAAGAATCAAATTATAATGACTGACTGTTGTGATTTTGCTTAAACCTTGTAGGAAAAATTTAATCGTCACTATTGAATATTTTATATTTGTTAAACATAATTAAATTTGTTTATCTTATACCATTTTTTATATAGCGATTAAAAAACGTTACCATTGATAAATTGTCCATAATACAAAAACTTTTCTTTGTGGAAAATAAAAATGGTATTTAATAGGGTTACTCCGACAATTTCAAATTAGTTATAACAAAAATGTATTTTGATGACTTCAAACTTCAAATAATTGAACAGTGAGCTTTATTATTATAATTTTTTAATTAATTTATTTTATTTATTTATGTTTTATAATATATATAATATATAAAAATAAGCAAATTACTAAACAGGAAAATAAGGTAAGAATTAAAATGAACTAATAAGACCAGAAAGAATAAAATAAAGCCAGAAAAATACCAACCTAGATTCCACTTTAATCCTGTTGTGGTAATACAGTTCTTCTCAACAGGCTTGTAAGGCATAATAGCACACCATACCTCATTGGATATGAGGTACTGAGGGATTTTTATTGTGTGCTCACCTTCTGTCAAAAGCCATGTTAGAGAATTTCTAGTGAGTAAAAAAATTGGTGGATGATCATCAATTTCTGTAAAAATATGAACCTTTCCCAGTGTGTTTAGAATTTCTAAGAGTTGATCAATGCGCCCGCAAGTATCACACAATACAATAACTGATGTAAGCTGTAGAAAAAAAAACAGTACCCTACTTACTTTTTATCTCTGAAGCAAAAAGCTATTACAATGTTTCTGTATAAGATTTCAATTGTATGAAACATTGAGCATACCTTAGTTTGGTACTTTTGAAGTATAATTTTCAAACATTTTTGAAAATCTGTGTAATTTTGGTCAGGAGTGGATTCCACCATGACTCCATTTTCTCTGCAATATTCTAACGTTTCTTTCTTTACAGAATCAAAATCACCGGAGATGAGATTGGGAAATTTGGAATTTACATTTAGATTGTGCTTTTCTAAATAATTTAACCATCTGTCTGTCCCCCCGTCTACCGTTGCTTTGAACGTTGCTGAAACGGAAAACAGAAAATATCTTTTAAATTAATATTTTTTTATTTCAATTAGCAACGGTTTTATTCATTTACCTTCGTTCCATAATTTTTCAACAGCCGCTGGCTGAAGGGTGATTTCACGATTGAGAATTAGTAGGCCATAGTTTCCAAACTGAAACGAGAAAGGATCACTAGGGTGTAATGGATCCCAAATAGCCATTTAATAATAGATAATTTTTTGTTTTGTTTTTTTCTCCGAAGCCTTATGATATGAAGAGTAAAACAGCACAAAAATGTTCTGAAACAAAGTTATCCAGTTGAAATAAATTCTAAATTAGTACTGTTTGGCATAACTAATGGTTTACTCACTCACGCAAAAATAAGATCATTATCAAATTAAGAGTAACTAGTCATAAAGTTCACTCAAAACAGACCCAAAATACTATTATTACCTAATTTAATTAAGAGTGGTATTTTTATTTGAAGCATATCAAGAAGGAAAATTGAGATATAAAATCGCGTTATTCTTAATCAGAGTACAACAGATTATTATTTGGAATCGACTATGATCAAATAACAGGTTACACAATTTTTTTTCTTTTTTGGTTAGTAAATATTTTTATCCTAAGATGAGAATGTTTATGACAACTTCTAGCTTCACATTTTATTGACTGTGTATTTTGGGTTTGACAGTGTCCTACTTTTTTAAGGTACTAGCATACTTTTTTGAATAAATTAAATTCCATACGTACAATTCTTAGTCAATTCAGTAAACTACTTTGTACATAAAAAATATTTATACTATAGAATTTTATATATGAAAAATTATAGGCCTTAGAGAAGTGTTTTTAAATAAAATTATCATTTTACGAGTTTCAGCATCCTGTGCGATTTTCAAGAATATTTTATATCTATATCTATAGGGGGGATACTGTTAAAAGATTAGAAGTTTCAAAAACTGAAGAATTTGTCATACTTGTGAAGCGTCTGGATTTATCTTTCAATATTTTATGTGTTATACGGCTAGTAAATTATGAACATTTTTTCATTATTTTTATATAATTTTCATGAAATTTAATTTATTTATAAATGTATGTTTTAATGTTGTTAATGTTTAATTTGCATATTTTTGCTTTTCTTGTGCATTTATTTTCACCTTCTTTGAGTTTGGCCTGTGTTATATTTACGATCATTCAGGATGATGGAAGACAATCAATTTACTTGTCGATCCTATCATTCTTTTTTTTCTAGTGTGTAATGTGTGTGTGAAAGAGAGAGAAAGAGAGAATGGAAAATAATTTTTTTTAATTATTCAGATATCGTGAGATGCGGTCGGGTGTGATGGTTTCAGAAAAAGATGGAAAGAATAAAAAATAATTTTAAAAATGATATGATAAAGAACTTTTACTCAGTTGGGATTGCAATATGTCAATTTTATTTTAATTGAAAAGTAAACTCTCAGAGATAAGAGATTAATAATAACAAAAGTTTTCCGTGTATTTATTTTTAAATTGAGATCAGTCCTCTTATCCAAGCAAAATATACTAAACAGTTTACAAAATACAAGTTAAATATACCAAAACAGAGTCAAACATGCACAGATGTATTTAGCATATACGAATCATGTTTTATCAAGTTATTACTTGCTAATACACTTTCAATTAAGATATATTTTTCTAATTATGAAAGGAATACAGATATCCAGTAATATTTATAATTATCAATGAAATAAAAAATTAAAACTTTAATCCTGTATTTTAGATAGCATAGCTCATAAAGATAATTCTCATTATTGATAATTGCCAAGTGGGTTTCAGTTTGTCATCTAGACGTTTTTTTATTGTTCAGTTGTCCTTCATGGCTTTACTGAGCTGTTTTCATAATTTTTTATGTCACTAAAGAATTTTTTTTTAATGGTATCGTTTTATGGATTTAATTAATCTAAAATTACACTCTTTTAGTTCCAGCAGTATTTTATTTACTTGGGAAAACTTTTCGTTATTTTTGTGAACACCATCAGCCCTATGATTATCAGCTCGCCAGTGATTCCAACCCTAAGTAGGGTCAGATCTCGGTCTAGCCACCGAATTTCGGCTTTGGAGCCTATCAACAGCTAGACCATTTCATCCCCACCATCAGTTTCTGGATCTATACCCACTCATTCTTAAATACATTATTTTCTAGAGGTGAAGTACTTGGTATTCCTCCGTCTCCCTCTATACATATATAACTAAACTAATCTAATTGAGGGTCTCTGCCATTGGCCCTTGCACACATTCACACTGATAAATACAATCAGTATCAATATATACAAAGAAACACAAATTTGGATAATTATGAAGTACTGCATATAACAAAATAGAGCTGTTTCCTCTAAAAATAGAAACAGGAGATCCAGACACTCGCTACCTTGCTCAAGCACAATTCTCATATCGGGTGACATTCCTCCATCCCTTATGTGGAACCAAGGAACCGCAACCTTCAAGTCACATTAAGCACCTTTCTCAACAAGCCAAACACAAACAGAATTTGGCCCAAAAGTAAATATCTGTGGATCAACCTCGCATGACCTTAATCAGGTGTGAATGACCCCCCAGGTCTGAGAGCCACTTACCAACAGTGTTCTTGGTACATGAGAGCTTTTGGGCCAACCTGGCCCCCTGATCAAGCATTTTAATAATTTAGTCTCAGAGAGTTAGATCGTGGTGGTTCAATCGGTAAGTAGGGACGTACTGGCCTTAGCAGTCTCGTCCATTCTTGAATTATTCTCCAGACATGTGTCCAGGAAGCCAGACAACTACCGTTTTGCTAAGATGCTCTAGTTCATAGTAATTCAATGACAAGAGCACAATTAGAGGGTCGACAGAGGATCTGTCATGAACAGCAGTAACCATGCTGAGAGAATCAGTACAACATTGTTATGATATGTATAATATAATAAATAATGATATGTATAATATATAATATTATTAATTATTAAATTACTATTTTTCGTGGTCGGCTTGACCAATTAATAACATTCAATTAATTAAAGTTTTTAAGTTGATATAAAAAAGTCAGTGTCACGAGTGGGATTCGAACCCATGACCTTCGGCTTGATATGCCGCTACTGTACCACTTGAGCTATCATGACTTCATGATCTTGAAGTCACAATAGCTCAAGTGGTAGCATAGCGGCGTATCAAGCCGAAGGTCATGGGTTCGAATCCCGCTCGTGACACTGACTTTTTTATCTCAACTTAAAAACCTTAATTAATTTAATATTATTAATTATTGTATAAATTATTGATATTAACATCAAGTACATATTGAATAACAAATTTATTTTTATAGGTTGAAGTGAACATATATATATTTTTAACAAACAAAATTGCTTATTTAAGCACTTTTCAACTATCTGATTTTCCAACAGTTAGATTTAAATAAAACATCGTCTTTATGTGTAGTATTTAGTGGCCATTAATTAATGACTATTTACAGATTGTAAGATGCGGACTGATGTGATGTAGGTTTAGAAAAACAATTTTCTATATCGTGCCAACGTTTCGGTCTTTATTGAGATCATCTTCAGAGCTTAAAGTGAGCGTTTTCTGTGTGGCACTGTTGTGTGTCGTGTTGAGAATCTCCCAATCTACTACTCACTTATGTCCATTGAAATCTCGTGTTTTTATATATATGTCGTGTATAATTTAAACAATGTTTATAAATCCCAGGCCCTGGAGATGATTGTAATAAAGATTGAAACGTTGGCACGATTAAGAAATTTTTTTCTAAACCTACGTCACACCAGACCGCATCTCACTATCTCTAAATAGTCATCATGTTCATGTTTATATTGCTTACATTTTCATGTATGTGTTATGTTTGAAATATAGTAACATCGAGATTTTTTTCATCATTTATTTTAAAGAATATATTATTGTCATTATTATTTTATCGATTTTATTATGTTATTATTATTATTTTAATGTTTATACAACTAAATTTATTTCTAATATATGTATAAGTAAAGGGCTTAGAGCCTAAAGTATTTGTACCTTAAAAATAAATAAATAATTGAACCAGTACCGGGTCACTTATTAGGTTCATCTACGCTTGTTTTGATTGCATTCAAACTAGTTTTGGTTTTCTGACATCTTCAATGAGAAGTCGTTTTTATTGTTCATGTAGGTATTTGTGTACTGTACGGTTCTGCGGTTGTACCTGCAAGTAAAGACGAGCACAGGGTCAACCTCGCACGGCCTATTCTCTAGGGGCTCATGTCATGAAAATTACCTGCCTATTTTTTTATGCTTAATGACATGCTTTCTCATTGTAGCAGTATTTATTTTTTATTCATAAAACACTGTTTTACTTGTGTTTGCACGCTTCAATTAAGATCTTATGTTGTGTACTACTGATTAGATGTACGTTCTGGTGTAGAATATATATTTATTCAGCTATTAATTACTGATAATTTGTTGCGATTTGTTCAACTTTAATCTATAACTAATTGCTCGTTATAAAGAACATCTTTATACATAAACTGTTATAAAATTGAATAAGAAAAAACAATATATTAAAGTTGAGAAAGTATTCCTGATAGTAAATATAAAGGTTGATACTGGTGTTCACTACAGAAAATGAAAATCTTTCATAAAAACGAGCTTTCGAGGTCAATTAAAACTACATTCAAAACATGTTCAACGAAAGAAAAAACTTACAAAAGTTAAAAGTCAAAGGTTTCTTTCATTCGCGCACGCTGAGCACATAATGGGGAAAATGTAACCCAAAAGGCAAAAAGCACGTGAGGTGCGTCAGAATTACGTCATCATTTCACTTTCAGTTTGAATTGCTGAATTGAGCATTTTCTCTTTTTCATTTCTTTTTTTGTACTCTCATTCACAGTACATATGCTTCATTCGTAATGCGCGCTACACGATCTATGCCAGCATCATAGTCAAAAATGTTCCAATGAAAAATCACTACTTTAAAAAAGTACCAGGTTTATGGTCTTGAATGAAGTTACAAATTTATGCCAACAATTCGCAGAGCTACTAGCAAAAAGTAAAAGGAAGGCTGAACTTTTTGCTAGTAGACAGAGGGACTTCGACAGAGACCGACTATTTCATTTTAAATTTCACCTAATCAACTCCAAAAGAACTAGTCCATTAACAAAAACCACAACTATGAACAAAGAATCTAGTCAAAAAGCACACAATGGTTTAAATGTTCTGTGAAATATGTCATCTTTCTCAAATATGTAATATTTATGTTTTATGTAACATTCAGCAGCAGAGCCCTGATGATGCGACTATATGTCGCGAAATCTCAGCGAAATGTTGGTATAAATTTGTAACTTCATTCAAGACCATAAACCTGATCCTCTTCAACATTGAAAAAAACTGGTCGATCTTCTCCGTAACATTAAAAAAGTAAATCAGTACTAGTTTAGAAAGTTTGTCATTTTTTCTCAAACAGAAAACACTAATTTGGCTCTCAGTTTTATTCTCATAAAGTTTCTTGTATATTGACTTTCCGGGAGTCCTATTTGTCAATCCAGAATAAGTATATTTACACCCAAATCTTTAAACCCATACTATTATGGGCCTGTGCCAAAAAAAGAATGACAGTTCTTACAAAAAAATCAAAATGTACTAACAAATATATTTCCCTTGGTACACCCAGAATAAAATATTCCGCGAGACCTGATGATTCTGGACATTTTTACTGAGATGATGTACCCAGAAACATAAATCACACCTCCTAGGGCATCCAAATGTCATGAACAAAAATGTTCAATTTTTTCAAGCCTCATTCAGTTTTTTCAAGCCAAATTCGTTTGCTAGAATATCAGCGGAACTCTGTGAAATGACAGATTCCTAGACTTCAGTTTGAACTTTAATATACCAATAAGTACACTAGTAGGTGAAGCCTAAATTTAAATGCTTTGTGTATGTAAAATTTAGAAAAAAAATTATTTATTTATTTATATACAGATACCATCCTTGTAGAAAAATATTTAAATGTATTACAATTACGCATAAAAAGAGTACATCATGCTAACAATATTCATTACAATGTTTACACATAATATGGTGTTATTTACAATAATATTATACAGATAGAAGATAAAGGATTTTTTTTAAATGTAAAGACAATGAATATATTTGTCTAAATTGTCAAGATTTGTTTAGCGAATTGTGAAGTTCAGAAAGGTTCAGAAAAATATTCATGGAGGAATTAAATCATTTTAAGTGAGAGATGCAATAAAAATCTTCAAATATGTCATATAAAATACCTCAAATATGTAATACATACAATTGTGCTACAAAAGCCTCAAATATGTCATATTTGCACTAATTTGCATAATGTAAATTAGATACATCACGACTTATAATTAACATTTTTTAACCCAGACTTTTTTGTCTAGTACATACTCATTTTGAAAGGAAACTGAACAAGAAAATCTCAGTCAGACAAAATCATATTTAAAATATCTAAATAAATTAAGTTCAAGGTCTGAAGCAGTGCATCTCTATAGAGCTTATTGTACTCCTGTCTGACTATATTTTGTTTCAACACATGCCCTCGGTGTGCCTATCACTTCTCACAGTCCACTGGCAATTCCAGCCTCGAGAATCAGTCACTCTGGGTGTTGGCAGTTTGGGGTCAGATATCAGTTTCTTCCATCCAACTGCTGAGGTTGGGCTCCGGGGGCTATCAACAGTAGGTCATTTCAGCTCCCAATGCATTCAATTTTCAAGTTCTTCCCTTGGAACGTTCCCTCACTCTTAAATATATTGACCTCCATTTACACTCAATTAGACTGGTGATGAGTACTCGTTATCCTCCATCACTCTTTACACCTATTATATATAACCTAATTGGGGGTGGGGTCGATGGGCTATATACAAAAGTCTACATATTTATTTAAATACTCAAAAATATATTAAATTTTTCAATTAAATATTCTACTTGTTAAAAAATTAGTCCCTACAAATACTACTCATTGAAAGAAAGCATAAATCTAAATACAAAGTCAAAACAAAAGACCCAAAAACTTCCTGTTTGATCATAACAATTTTTTTACGAAGGTATTTCAGCTATGAAGTTATATGAACTCTTAGGGTGCTGATATTTTTGAAAAAAAAAAATCCCATTTGTCAGTATGTTGGGTTCAAATGCAGGGCGAATGGATTTGAACCCAGGACCTTTACCTTACAGTGATGACCGCCATGTCAATGCAAGTTTATCATGTATCAAATAACTTAAATCTTGTTAATTTAAAATCTCTTAGTTATTTATTTCAGCAATATGTACAATTCCATTTTACAACAGCCAATTATTTTTTAACTCCTATTTTTGGAGGAGTATTGATTCCCATTGACCACAGAAGTTCCGCATCTGTAGCTATGGTAACATGAGGAAGCCCGATGTACGAGTTTGATGAGCAGACAAGGCCTCCAAAGTGGATACTGGTATTCTCTAAAACAAGAAAATAAAACATAAAACAAATGATTCTTCTTGAATTATAAATTGTTTCCTTACGTAAATCCCATTTCAATCCTGTGGTCGTGACTGAGGATATTTTGGGCTCAAATGGTAGAATCGCACACCACTCGTTATTCTCGATAAGGTATTTCGGAATGTATATTTTGTGGAAACCGCGGTGCAAATGCCATGTTAATGACTCCTCACTTATCAAGAAAGCATTAGGAGGAGTTTCTTGCATGAAAAAAAGGCTCATTATATTCAGTGTATTTAAGTTGGAAAAAATATGGTCCAATCGGCCAGAATTGTTGCATATTATCAATACAGAATCCAGCTGAAATAAATGTCAAAGTATTAATAATTAATGCACTGTTCATAATAAAGTCTTTTATATACAAACATATATTATTTTTAGATTAATCCATATTTGTTTAGTGGCATAATTGACCATATTCATTATTCTTTTTATCTAAGGCTTTTGGTTGAAATGAAAAATTGAATGAAAAATCCACTTGTGACCTCATTTTTCATCTCATCCAAAAACCTTAGAGAAAAAGAATAATTAATTGGATTATTTTTAGATATATTTATCATTAAATCAATTGTAATTATCTGAAGGACAATTTTTTTGTTTAAATAAAGGTTCATAAATTTGTTTAAAAATTTGTATTAAGCTCTCCTTAAATAAAAATTATGTACTTTTCATCTAAACTTCTAATTGCTTCATTTTCATACTTTCCTCCTGTAAACTTCTCCCACCACCTGCAGAGATTTATGGAAATCTGAGAAGCTCTCGTCCGATGTCTTTTCTATGTGTACACCATTGTGCCGACACAGTTTGAGAGTATTGGGCGATATTGTGTCAAAATCACCGGATATTATCTCAGGGAATTTGTTTCTTATTTTTAACTTTTTTTCCCTTACGTACGCAAACCACCTGTCCGTCGCTCCATCAACTATACTCCTAACTTCCGCTGAAATATCAGATGAATGCATAAAGTTATAATTTAAAATTGCATTTTTAAAGTTTCTACCTTTGTTCCATAGCAAGGTCATTTTTTGAGGTGGTATCGAAATATCCTGGTTTAATATTGAAAGGGCATAACGCCCTACGGTAAATTCAAAATTGTTATGTGGATGGAGTGGTGTCCACTTACGCTCCATATTATCTAAAATAAAAATTCGTAATGTCAACAAATCAAGATCTTTTCTATTTTTTTCTGTTGTCTATTTATATAACTTTATAGATTCTAAATTATATTAAAAAAATTATCCCGTTTTAGTTTGACATATGAGATGAGACCAGTCAATATTTTGTTTTGTCTTTGTTATTTTCTTAATTATTTCTTAAATAACGATGTTATTACAAATAATTTTTTGCTTAGAATTTAATGGTAACCACATTTTACACACATAAGTGTTAAAAAAAGAAAGAAAGAAAAGAAAAGATAAATCCAAGTTGTCCACAACGCACATTTATAATTTTCAAAAACTTTTATAAATTTTGTGAAAAACTGACATACCTGATTTTTATGAAGAGTATAATTATCACAATGATTATAGTTACGTTGACACAAGTATCGTACACATTAGACTTTGTTACGTTCAAATATGCAAAGAATATTTTTTTCAAATTCATGAAAAACATATGGGAATGCAATTTTATTTGTTTCTTGTTCTGAACAAATTGCGTTTCAATCTGCATGGAATCGAAGAAATCAATTTCTAGTTATTAAATTTATGCAGGGTGAACAGGAATATTGATTTTTTGTCCAGAATAAAACTTTTTCTCCTGCACTGTGGTTATACGGAGTCCGTCCTTCACGCTCGACATGGTCTTGAACAAAAGGTGAGCAGGAATAAAGCATCTCGGCAAAAAAGTGCTAGTTGTCTGTCTGAGTTTAAACATAAACAGCCAAATTTTGTTACTAGCTTGAGCGTAAATTTATTTATAATTACATGTAAGATTGCAGTTGCATATGCCTTAAGTTAAGTATATGTAATTACTAATAATACAGATTCAGAGGCAAAGTTGGCAGGACAATAAGGAGGTCTAGCTCCAGCATACCATAAATTGCGTTTTATATTTCTTATGTTTATTATTTGAAAAAGATTTTATGAGGGTGTTTCACTATTTAAAAAAAGAGGACGAGAAAAACAAGAAAATATTTATTCAAATAACAACTCTTATAAAAATAAAATCTAGCTTTATATTTACCTTGGTACAAAAAAATTAAAATTAACAATAAAAGTCAATCCCATTCGCTTTACAATAATACCGCATATAGATACTTATTGATCCGCAATTTTTTTCATTGACAAAACGGTTCCATTATATACAACTGTTCTCTCTGTAAACACATGGTAACTGAGACATAAAAATATTGCTTGTAGATCCAATATTTTAATCATAAAAATTCACTGAAAAACTGTCATCTAATTTATCGAGTGATGTTTAAATGATGATATTCTATTCAGGAGGTGAGGTATAAGCTCTCGCAGAATATATCCTCTGAAGAACAGACATCACCATTTCTTTTAAACTCTACAAAATAAAAAATGTTAAAATCACTTTTAGAAAATATAAATGTATAAATCATACAGAATTTGATGTATTACCTGGGGTTTGCAATGTTCCTCTAGCCAGGAGAAAACAAAAGAGGACAACTCTGAGAAATTAGATACAGAGACAGAGCTAAATGTGATAAATAATTGGTCGACTATGCTCTGAAACTTTTACACAATTGTGACAAAACCTATATATAGATTTTTTTTTCTTTTTAAACTTACAACATGAAATTTCAACTCGTCACAGACTCTGCTCTCAGACATACCAGGCTGGTTTTGTTGGGATTTGACCATCTGTTCATAATTGGCACGCATTATTTGAAGCGCCATCACTTCTTTTTTAAGCCCATTCCGTTCCTTTTCTTGCTTCTTTTTTTGTTGGAGGAGAAACTGAAAATGAGATAGTTTCAATTTGAAATGAAATTTCAAATGCAAAGAATTCTTATTCCTTAGGCTCATAATCGTTTTAATACATGTTGACGTCAAATATTTAAACAAAATGGTGTGACCATCTATTGCAACTAGGTGTGTTGAAAACAGGCAAATCTGTCAATCACAGGTCTAGCAAAAAGAAGGACTGTGTAAAACTTTTGTATTAATGCTACTTGACACATTAAAACAAGTGATATAATTATAAAGCAATTACATTTTAGTTAATGAGAATGTTACACAGCAATTATTCAGTAATAGTTGATCCTTAAAAGTACACTCATTGTGCCATAAATATAATATCTTCAAGACATACAAAATCTATGATAAAAGAAACCAGAAGTTATAGCAGTAGCAATATTGGTCTGTTATTAAGCTGCAACTGTCAGTGTACATCAAGCTTGACGAACAAACAATGTCAGAGAAGGAACAAAGTATTAATAATAATGGAAAGTTGGAAAAGGAGTAAATCTGCCAATCTGTCTTTTTAATATCTGCAAATTTCATCATTAAACCTTTTATTGAGCATTTTAATTGTCACAAATTGCGTCTTTATGCTATATTTGATAAAAATATCAGAAATAATTTAAAAAATCAATAATAATGACAGTAGTAGCAAAAACCAGTAAATCTGCCAATCAAATTTTTCAATATCTGCAAATTTCATACATTAAAGCATTTGTGGTCCAGCTTTATTGCTACAAACTGTTTATTTATGTTATGTTAAATAATATCATATAAATCATAAACAACATCAATAATGAAAGGAGTAAAAAAGTTTGAATCTACCAATCCAAATTTTCAATATTTAGAAATTTCAAATGAAACCTTTCATGAGCATTTCTATTTTTCAAACTTTTAAAAATATATGCTATGTTAAATGAAACTATCAAAGAAATAACAAATATCAATAACAATGAAAAGTAGCAGAAAGGATAAATCTGTCACCCAACTTTTCAATATTTGGAAATTTCAAATGTTAAACCTTTTGTGAGCATTTCTATTTTTCAAACTTTTAAAAATGTATGCTATGTTAAATGAAAACATCGGAGAAATCATAACAAATATCAATAATAATAATGAAAATGAGCAAAAAGGAGTAAATCTGCCAATCCAACTTTATGCTATCTGCAAATTTCATAATTTAAACCTTTTGCTGAGCTTGTCACACATTTTTCTTTGTACTTTACTCAATAAAAATATCATAGAAATCATAAAAAATATATTAATAATAATGGAAAGTAGAAAAAGGGAGTAAATCTGCTAATTATTGTTCAATATCTGCGATCAAATTTCATACATTAAACCACTGTTTAAGCATTTTTTTTATACAATCTGTTAATTTAATACAATCTGTTAATTTATGATTTCTTAAATAAAAATATTATACAAATCATAAAAAACATCAATAATAATGGGAAGTAATAAAGGGGTAAGGCTGACAATACAGCTTTTCATCATCTGCAAATTTCATAATTTAAATCTTTTGTTACAAACTGTTTATTTATGCTATGTTACACAATAATATCTCAAAAGTCATAAAACTGTAGCAATAATAATGGTACGTTGGAAAAGGGGGGAAGGGAAAAAAACCTGACTTTTTAATATCTGCAAATTTCAAACGAGCATCCTTTGTTGTGCATTTTATTTGTTACAGATTATTTAATCATGCAAATTTAAAAAAAAAATATCACCAAATCATAAAAAAAATATTAGTAATGATAGTAAGTAGCAAAAGAGTAAATTTGCCAATCCAACTTCACAATATTCGCAAATTTCATAATTTAAACCTTTTGTTAAACATTTTGTCACAAATTGTTTATTTGTGCGATGTTAAATTAAAATATTATAAAAAATACATTATTAATGATGGAAAGTAGCAAAAATGGTATGCCTATCGAACTTTTCAACATCTGTCTATTTCATACAGTAAACCGCTGGTTAACAATATCTTTTGTTGCAAACTGATAATTTATGCTTTGTTAAACAAAAATATCATTGTAATCATAAATATATCAACAGTAATGGAAAGTAGCAAAAAAGGAGTAAATTTGATAATACTACTTTTAATAATCTGCAAATTTCATAATTTAAATCTTTTGTTACAAACTGTTTATTTCTGCTATATTATACGAAAAAATGTAGTTTTTTTACAGAAATGTAGTTTAGGGATGGGTGTCCTGGGGGCGTGTGATACTGCCGGGGCCCTGGTTTCCGCTGTCGTGGGGTTCCTGGGCTGTGGCCCACTTACCTCCCAGCCGGAAAGCTTTTGATGAAAATGAACCAAAGCAGTTGAATGCCTTATATTTAAAAAAAAAATCCATTTTGTGATGTATCCTCTATTGTGACAAGATGCTAGCTACAGTAGGGTTCAGGACTTCCATGTTGGCTCGCACTTTGGCGAACAAGTCTACTTTTTCATTGCTTCTATGCCCTGAATGCCCAGTGAGACCGATGCCAGGGTCAGGTCATACTGTGGAAATATAACAAAAAAAAAGGAAATTTGATATTACAAATTTCCATCATCTGCAAATTTCATAAGTGAAACCATTTGTTGAGCAATTTTCTTGTCAGAAACTGTTCATTTATGCTAACATTAAACAAAAATATAAAAAATGTATAATTTAAAATGGAAAGTATGAAGAAAGAGCAAATCTGCCAATTGGACTTTTTCAATATCTGTATATTTCATACGTTAAACGCTTTGATTTTCAATTTTACATCTTTGTACTTTTCATGGCCCTTTTAAAACCATTTTCTGATAAAGCAGGGAAAAATGAGACTTTGATTTTATTTCTACAAATTGAATTTGCAAAAGTCACACCAGATCCTGTTAAAGTGAATCCGCTTTTGCAACTTTAAAAAATTGAAGATATATACACATATGACAATAATTTAAGGTTTTTAGTTGAGACGAAAAAAAGTTAATGGCCGAGAGGGATTCGAACCCACGACCTTCGGCTAGATACGCCGCTGCTCTACCACCTGAGCTATCGTGACCTCAATCCACTCGGACATCAACTCCCCATCTCAACCCTACCTTATGAGTTTTCCATACACATATACTCACTTGTATGTAATCGATTGAGCGTTGCAGTACAGTCGCCTTACTCAGTTTGTACCCAACGGTGTCTGACTGCTGGCAAGTTGGTACGAGGTTCTGAAGCGAATCGTAGCCCTTTTTAATAGCATCCCTTCGCTTCTGCTCCGCCTGGGTGTGCGCTTCTCTCCTCCTGTCCTTAAACGGGACAGAGGAGTTTTTGTCAACCGGATCCTCGTCATCTACATTACAAAACAATAAGCTTTTAACAAATATATTTTAATGATAAAAAAATACCATGGCTGCTGCTGCTCATCGTTCGACATCAATTCTTTATTTATAAAATCTATATGGAAATTAAATAAAAACTCAAGGTTGAATAATCTGATTGTTGTTTATTATTTTTATTTTTGTAACATATAAAAATAAACAAACTTTACAGAAAAATAACCTCTGTTGGGTCTTACCTTTATAACCTTCTCTGCTCTTGGATGTCATTTGCATCTTGATTGAATACCAGATCTTTTTCTAATTTTCTTATCTGCATCAAATAATTTTTCAAGGCCTCGAGAGTGCCAAGAAACAAACAAAAACGGACAATTAAACATTTTCTATACAGATAATACTATCGCCTAAACGGGGGCACGGGAGTAAAGGTGATATTTTCAATTCGTCCTTTCAAATTAAAGAGATAAAATGGAAAAAAATCAAGATATGTTAAATAACACCCACTGGAATTTTTTTTTCTAAGGACTGTTTATTGTTTTTTTGATGTTTATTTTCTTTTCTTGTTTCCATATCGAAAAAGTTGAAGAATAAATTTCTTCTCGACTCACTAAAACAACCTCTGTAAAGTTTATAAAACTTTTTTTTTAATAATTACAATAGATATCTGTCTGTTTATCTGTCTAATCTGTTGTCAGCTTTTAAATTAAACTTAAATATTTCTAATCGTTCAGGAATCGATAATCGTGTTTTTCTATGGAAAAAGTCGATATTTGGTTGCTAACAGGCCTACTGGTGTGAAACTGCCGGGTTTCTTGTCCCGACACGTCTTTGGTTCTTTTTGTTTGAAAGATTCAATTTTCAATTTACCAGGTTGTTTATTATTGCAATTCAACAATTATTCGCTTTCTGGAGAACGATCAAAGTTAAATGATAAGGATGGAGACGGTGTGTTCATTTTTTTCAATTCTGTTTTCCAAAGGTCAGTTACATTTTGACTAAATCTCAATAGAACAATTTGTATAAAAAAAGCCTCGTATTTTGTTGTTGGTTTAAAATGTGCGATTTGAAAAAATCCCCTGTGAAAAAGGACAATACTTTGAGCCTATCGAAGAAGGTCGATGAGCTTTTTTCGAGCACTTTTAACAAGGATGGCTCGTTGAATTTCGGCATTGGCCAGACTTTCACATCTGGCTACTCAATGATAGACAGAGACGAGAAGCAGTGCATGGAACAGTGGGGTTTGCCGTTCGACCAGACGGAACGTTCTCTCGTCGGTGTTGAGAAAAGCGACATCTCGATCGACTTCATGCCCAAAAACGACTCGCTATTTAAATCTCTTGCTTCGCATTCAGAGTCGTTCTCGTCAACGTCATCTTTTCCTTGTAAGTTCACACCGCGCGAAAGCTTAGAATTCGACGAAGACTGCGTGCCGAGCATCACCAAGATCGCAGAAGTTTTAAAAAACATGCCGGAAGATTCCGGCCCATTGGAACTAATGGATAATATACTATTTAACTCTTCTTTAAACGTGAATAGTAAGAAAGAAAAAGACAGTAAAAATCTCAAAAGTATGGTTGGAGGTGATTTTACCATCGTTGTCACTGCTGGAGTGGCGATGTCTGCAACTTTTGATGTCCCGGAAAACAGCACATTTGAATTAACAGAATCTCCAGGAGATTCGATCGATATGATAATTAAAAGAATTCTACCGAATAAGCTGCAAATATTTGTAAGAGCACATTTTGTTGGCGTGAAGTACTACGGGTTGAAATCTTCAACAGGCTCTACAGAAACTGGAATCGTCGCATTGAAAATAGAATCAAGAAAAAATAATTTGACCGTTTTTCCAAATCGGCTGGAATTTGAACAATCGCAAAAGCCTGTTAAAAAGAATCTTGAATTGTACAATGGTAACCTGTGTGTCTTGACTCTTGTCATATCGGTGGCAGACGCAAAAACTAGTGAATTTTATTTAGAAAGAATATTACAAAAAGAAACTGTCAAAACACTCAAGTCTGGTGAAAAAGTTCAAGTTGAGGTGATTTGTGCTTCAAACAACGTTAACAACGAAAATCCTTATTTAGATATATTTTTAGCACATCCTCCAGAGCTTAAATCAGTTCGAGTTCAATGTGCACAAATACCCTTGTTGCAGATGAGTGGAGTGAAAAATCCCATCACTTCGCCCTATGGAGAACTTTGCTTAGAAAGCACATCATCCTCTTTGATCTGGGGTTGTGTGAAACTTCAAGAAACTTCAGTTCAGAAATGTATCATCAGAAATACCGGAAAGTACACCGAGAAATTATCTTTTTCGTTCAGTAATAATACCACAGCGTTCATGTTTGAAAGTGAAAAAGGTCTCTCAAACACCTTGAAAGTTTCTTTAATCCCAGCTACAAAGTTTGAAATTAAAGTCCACTTTACTCCGAAAGTTGCAGCACAGTTTAAAGAGTCTGTTTTAATTACAAGAGACCCGCAAGATGGATATAAGAAGCTTATACCTTTGTACGCTTATGGAGGAAAAGGAAATCTCCTTGCGAATAACATAGCCTTTGATTTTGAGAGAAATTGCAAAAAGATCCTCATTAGCGATTCAAATCTTGTTTCTAACTTTTCGCTCGAAAACAATGGTGATGGAACATCTTTTTTTCTTATCGAGCCTCCATCTGTTGACATTCCTTTTATCAACATTACCCCGAAAATGGGCATTCTGTCGCCTGGGGAAAAAATAAAAATTGCCATTAAGCTGATTCAGATGGACAAACCTATGACGAATCTGGTCATCGACAAGAACTCTGAAGTCAAAGTGTCTACGATCACTATAACACAGGGCGACGAGTCGACAAGGCTAAGGCTGAAAAGACTTTATGGTAAATACAAGACTTCCAATTCACTATTTTTCAAACCGTTCCACGCCCAGTTGTCCAAGTTGGTTTCTATACCTTCGCCATCCGCTGTTAACGAATCTCACTTCAAGCTTAAGGATCCGCTCAATAGCTTTATCCAGCTGTACAAAGAAGGTGTCAAGGAATGGAAGATCGATGTTGTCGCCGGCAAGGACATTCTACAAAGCTCAAGGCTCAACTCTACTGAATTCATATCACTCGATGCTTCTTTAATGCCAGATGAAACAATTTTTCAGATGGATTCTATTCGGTTGGTAGATTGAATTGTACTTTTTTTTATTGTTCGCTTACCCATACTGTTTCTAAATTATGTTTTTATTTTAATAGAACAACAATAATTTTATGTATTTTTTGTAATTAACAATATTGTAATATTCTTTAAATAATATTTTTTACTTTTTTATTTATTTTAATCCTCATCCTATTAACCCATACAGGGCAGTGGGTCTCATGTGAGACTCATTCAAGGCCCTGGCCATTTTTCAGATACACTATATTCTATGTTGCTGTTGTACCCAACTTTATGGAGTCCCACTTTGACACAGTTTTACGATTTTGCACAAAATCAAATTTTAATTGTTCTACACCGTTTCGATGTAGCTGTATTGATAAAATTAGCTGTGACAGTTCATTCTTTGGATATTATATTTTACGGTAGAAGGATTAAAAGAAGTATTTTTTAGAAAATTTATAACAACAACAAAAATATATGAAAAGTACTGTGAACATAAATGATGGAAAACTAAAACGGCAGAAGGAAAAATCAAACACAATATGGTAGAGGGTTGGTTGGGAAGAACAGTGCCAAAAGTTAGACAAAAGCGCCATCACCAGTGAAACGTAGATGTAGCCAAATGGTTTTCTATAAAAAGGAATGTGTTTGCAAATTTTGCAAAAGTTTTAGAGGCCAGATTTGAACAGGAGTAGAAGAGTGGTTTGATGATGATAAGGATAGGAAAGGAAGGGTGTGCGAGGTCTTTATACACAACCGACTACACCATACTGCTATACTTATTCAGAAATTGTGAGATGCGGTCTGGTGTGATGTAGGTTTCAGAAAAACATTTTCTTTATCGTGCCAACGTTTTGATTTTTATTGAGATCATCTTCAGGGCTTAAAGAGTTTGTCTTCTGTGTAATTGTGCCATTCTCGCATGGCACTCTCAACACAACACGCAAGAATGGCACAATTATACAGAAGACAAACACTTTTAGCCCTGAAGATGATCTCAATAAAAATCAAAACGTTGGCACGATAAAGAAAATGTTTTTCTGAAACCTACATCACACCAGACCGCATCTCACGATTTCTGAATAATTATCGATTAACGGTCACTAATCACCACACATACTGCTATACATTAGATACAACTTCAGCCCAATAAATGTTTGTTCTAAAAAGCAAAAATCACAAGGATGAGATAACAAGGACTTTGCTATAGTATTTTTTTTTCTGATTTAGGTATTGAATTCAAGTAACGCCTTGAAATTAAAAAAAAGAAAGTTTATTTATCAAAATATTGACTATTACAGTCTAAATAAGTGTCATTGGAAGCCCTAGTTTCTCATATATGAAAAATAAAACAAAACTTCAGTTATAATCACAGTTTTCTCCATTGAGGAAAGTTGATATAGATACACATTTTATGCAACAAATATATATATTTGTTATAAAATTTAATCTTTTGTTAAAACTAGGAACAATAGGTTGTTGGAACGTTTTTTATTACCTTAACATAAAAAACTAAGATACGGTGAGCTAAACCAAATCTACAAAGATCTATTTACAAATGAATGTGTACAATATCAAACAACTTGTTGTTTTTTTTAAACAAAAATGTATTTACAACTCAACATGAACTTACGCGTTTAAAATTGAAATGGAAATTTAGAAAAGGAACTAAACTCAAACGGCATGATTATGCTTATGATTCTTCTTATATTCGTTCATGTTGTGATTTTGAAAGAACTGCTTCCCGTACTCGAACGTCGCCACCATTATCGCACAGGCCGGGGCGACTTTGATTATTCGAGGCATGAGGCCGGTGAAAAGTCCGCTCAAGCCATTCCTTCTGTAAATATTAGACATCACCGAATAAGTGGACTTCTTGGAAAGACTGGGTGGTTCTGAAACAACATAACGGCCTTTTTTGTACAAACAAACAAATAATAAAGATTAATCATAAACAAATAAATTTAAGATTTTTTTTGGATAAACACCTGTAATGATTTCTTTTTCTGCCATCTCAATTTGTCGATACGTCTTGACTACATCAAACGGTGTGGTAACAAATGCAGCCAGCTAGAAGTAACATTCATTTAACACAATATAATTTTTAATATGAAAAAATAAACTTACACTTCCTGCAATGCTGCCCCCAAGAAAGCAAAAGGCAAAATTTGTTTGCTTACTCCTGTTCAAAGTTTTAAATTTCTCATAGGTAACCCAATAAATACCTTTAAAAAAATTAAACAGTGTAACTCAAACTTGTTTAAAAAACTAACAACTGTTTTGAAAAGTTAATAAAACAAGCATAATGAAAAATGTATTACCTGAAAACGGAACATCTCTTAACAAAGTTGGCCCAATTCCTTTCCAAAGCCCTTGCCATCCATGGTATTTAATCAAAGCCTTTATTGCTTCATGCATTTCTACAAAAATAAAATCGATTTATAAAATTGAAAAATCTTAATTATGAAAGAACCAACCTAAGTAACTTAGCCGTTTTGATTGCATTTTGGTTCTAATGAGTTCGAGCGGACTCACTATGGTCGCGGCCCACAGTCGCGCAGTGCATCCTGCAATGAGGGGTGCCCAGATTGGTTGTGGTTCATTTCTTTCTTTCTGTGACCAGTCGACCAACCTAATCCTTAGCTGTTCGTATGTGACGAAGTAGACCACAGTGGCAGGCAAAGCAAGCACTAGCGTCGGGCTCAGCCCACTCCAGAGTGACTGTACACCTTCAGTCTTTGCTATTTTTACAAAGGCGTCCTGGAAACGTAAAGGCGTTTTGACTCTGGCGGGGCGGAGCCGGTTTTGACTACTTACAATAGTCCCGTTGAAATGGCTGGGCCTTTTATACCAGTAGTCCTGTGTGCCATTTCCATTTACACACGTGCACAAATGGTCCATCAAGCCATTGCAGTATAGAAAACATTTGTTCGTCAACAGTGTTTTTTGTTGTGCCTGTAATCGAATTTTGACAACGTCTAAAGGTGTAACTGTAAATAAAATATAAACATTTTATTAGTGATGCCTTACAAATCATTTTTCTAAGTGTTAAATTTAAACAAATACTTCCAATTATTATGATTTAATACAAAAACTAGCCCAATTTACATCAAAAATACTTTTTTCAAAAAGTGGTATTTCATATGCCTTTTTGCTTTTGGGTGTTGGTCTGAGAATCTGCGAACGTATGTTGAACCGGCACTGGGTCTACACCTCGAGGGTTTTGATATTACTCAAACGTGTTTCAGCTTTATGCTATGAGATGATATCTCACTAGGATGGCACAAAGTCACACTGTGTTTCAGTTAATGTCCAACCAAATGAGTGTACAGACCCAATAAATGACCCAGCGTATTCACCAAAAAATAAAAATTTGTTAATTCAAAAAACTAACTTGTGTTGACTAATTTTATTACTATTTGTAAAAGTAAACAATTTATAAAGCTTGTTGTGGGATTGTAATGCTTCTCAGGTGATTTCAGCGATAAATTTTGAATCGTGCAATGATGCACGATCCAATATAACTCTCTTGAAAGATGCAACTCCTCAACCAAATTTTTGAACGATCTTATATTCCCAAAAATATGTATTGAGGTTCTTCTATGATAAAAAAGTACAATAATGACAATACATTTTATCCAAGTTATTCTTGATAAGAATTATTAAGATAACCTGTACGATTACATTTCCTGAATGGATGCGTATCAAGGAATTCTATTAATTATTCGGAGATCGTGAGATGTGGTCTGGTGTGATGTAGGTTTCAGAAAAACATTTTCTTTATCGTGCCAACGCTTCAATCTTTATTGAGATCATCTTCAGGACCTGGGATTTATAAACATTGTTTAAATTTTACAAATACATGTAGGATGTGAGAAAAAAAATGAATTTATACAATGTTAGAAAATTTTAGATTCAATCAAAGTATTTGTACTCCCTCAAAACGTTTGTTTTCCGTGTCATTTTTATCTGTTGTATTGTTATCTCACTGACACTCTCAACACGATAGACAAAATGACACATCTACACGGAAAACAAACACTTTGAGTGAGTTTTGAAGCTAAAAATTTTCTAGCATTGTATAAATTCCTTTTTTTGAATCTAAATTTTTTAACATTGTATAAATTCCTTTTTTTTTTTTTTTTAGCATTGTATAAATTCATTTTTTTGAATCTAAAATTTTTTGGCATTGTATAAATTCATTTTTTTATCTAAATTTTTTTAGAATAGTATAAATTCACTTTTTAATCTAAATTTTTTTAGCATTATATAAATTCATTTGTTGAATCTAAAATTTTCTAGCATTGTATAAATTCATTTTTTCAATCTAATTTTTTTTTAGCATTGTATAAATTCATTTTTTTGAATCTAAAATTTTCTATCATTGTATAAATTCATTTTTTTGAATCTAAATTTTTTAACATTGTATTTTTTAGCATTGTATAAATTCATTTTTTTGAATCTAAAATTTTTTGGCATTGTATAAATTCATTTTTTTTATCTAAATTTTTTTAGAATAGTATAAATTCACTTTTTAATCTAAATTTGTTTAGCATTATATAAATTCATTTGTTGAATCTAAAATTTTCTAGCATTGTATAAATTCATTTTTTTATCTAAATTTTTTTAGCATTGTATAAATTCATTTTTGTATCTAAAATTTTCTAGCATTGTATAAATTCATTTTTTTTAATCTAAAATTTTCTGGCATTGTATAAATTCATTTTTTTCCAAATCCTACTTGTATTTGTAAAATTTAAACAATGTTTATAAATCCCAGGCCCTGAAGATGATTTCAATAAAGATCGAAATGTTGGCAGATAAAGAAAATGTTTTTCTAATATCTATGTCACACCAGACCGCATCTCATGATCTCTGAATAATCACTGACTAACGGTCACTAAACACCATACACATAATTCTATTAAGTTAAGAATTGTTTTCCAACCTGTAGATTTTAATAAAAACTATGAACTTGTAGATCCCACGGTCGTGAATTGAATTTCATTACACAATATTTTTATATTTTTGCTTCCATTTTTGGGACCATTAATTGCAAGGTTATAACAATAGGAAGAAAAACGGTAAATTCTAAAAGCAGTTCATGGCAAGATTCATTGATAGACCAAGTAGTATTCGGCTTTTAGGCTGAATTATTCAACAAATCCTGCATAAAAATAATTTCTCTGTTGAGGATGCCTGAGGAATTATTTGAAGGATTAAATTTTTTATAATTAGAAGAATGTAAATTCTAGCAGCAATTCAAACAGATTTGGTGATAAACCTTGAGCTTGATACATTGAGCTTTTAGACAGAAGTTCTCAACAAATCCTGCATAAAAATAATTTTTGCATCAGGGATGGTCCAAGAAATTATTTGAAGGGTTAAATTTTTAATAATAGGATGAAAATTGTGAATTCTGGCAACAATTCGAGGCAAGATTCATTGATAAGCCAAGTTTGAGGCTGAACTGCTCAACAACTTCTGCGTACAAATAATTCCTGCATCAGGGGATGCCTGAGTAATTCACCAAGAATTGTTTTTGCTTTCAACTCTGTGTTAAAGGTTAAAATAATAGGAATAAAAATAGTAAATTCTAGGCGCAAATCAAAACAAGATTAAACCAAGCTTTTTGGCTGAACATCTGAATTAATCCTTCATGAAAATATTTTGTGCTTCGGGGATTGTCCGAGGAATTTAACCAAGAATGTATAATGTTATTTTTGCGATATGACATTTTAAATTTCTAGATTACAATAACGGGAAGAAAAACTGTGAATTTCAGCAACAATATTTTCTGCATTAAGTAATCCCCAAGCAATTATTATTTTAGAGAGTTATTTTTGCTCTCATTTTTGTGAAATTCTAGCTAAGGTTCAAGGCAAGATTAAGTGATAAACCGAATCAGCTTTTACGCGGAAAGTTCAAGAAATTCTGTGTGAAAATATTTTCTGTGTCATGCAATGCTCAAATAATTTAATCAAAAGTTATTTTTGTGATAGGACTTTCAAACTTCAAGGTTGCAATAATAGGAAGAAAAATAGTAAACCCTAGCCGCATTTCAAGGCAAGATTCAGCGATAAACCGATTCAGCTTAAAAGCTGGATTTCCAAGAAATCATGCGTGAAAATATTTTCTGCGTCATGGAATAGTCAAATAATTTCACCAAATGTTATTTTGTGGTAGTATGTTTCAAATTTCAAGGTAAATTCTAGCTGCAATTTAAGGCATGTCCAATGATGAACCGGGTAGCTGTCAGCTTTGAAGTACTCAATACATCCTGCATGAAAATAATTTCTGCATCAGGGACTGCCCGATGAATTAGTTGAAGGGTTAACTTTTGCTAACTCATTTTTTATGAAAGGACTTTTAAAATTTAAAGGGACAGTGAATTGCGCCAGGAAAATAACTTACAAACATAAATGATAGGCTGCAGTAAAACCAATTTGAGACAAGAATCGCTTTTTACCTGTACTTAACAAGAAAACTTGTCCTGAGCCAGATTTTTTTGCAAGTGGTTTTTGCAATTAATTTATTTTAATCAAAGCTGAATTATAAAAGATAAGACTCAGTAAAGCTTCAAGAAGCTGCTTATAATTTGAACTTAGTAAAGAAAATCTTTTGGGCAGGAGATGAACATGTGGGTAAGGCAATTTAAGAAGTTGGTTCACAGTAATCGTAGGACCTGTAGACCTGATGGTTTTGTAATAAGTTTACCTTGCAGTATAGTAAGAAAATTGGAAAGAAAAGATATAACAAATTCAAGGACAGCTGTACAAGTTTTTGTCCCCTTTTGCCATGTGAGTGTTAACAACTTACCGAATAAAGAAGTAATAAGAGCGCCAGAACAGGCGGCGGCCATCTGCTGGGTCGGGGTGATCCTGAACTGAGGGTCCTCCGGAGTCAGCTCGCAGTCGCAGCAGGGCTGCTTGGCGCCGAAGCCCTCCAACACCATTTCAGAAAACCCTCGTCACCGGTTCACCAGTAGTTTCGGACGGCTTTAAATCGGTGTGCATGCTCCAAAGTGGTCTCCACTTCCCCAGGATCCGGTCTCGCCGTCTGTCATTCTCCCCTCACCATTTAAAACTTGTGTGAAACTGTCTAAAACAAATTTTCCCAATATTTGACTAATCCATCCCACTACTTATAACCATCGCTCGCCTTCCCCAAGGTCTTCAAAGCAAACAATATGACTTTTCCCCAAGGCATTATTTTAACACCAGTAAACTGTAGTTTACTAGAAATTCAACCTAGTTGAAAAAATTCGACCAATTCTTTTTTATAAATAACAATCCTTTAAACGGACCTCGACTCGAATTGATAGAATTATATTTAAAATCAATGGAGTCTTGAAAGATGCCATTTTGCCGGAGGACACTTCCATATGATTCATCTATTGTTTTAAATTATTTTAAAAAACTCATTACAATTTATATCCAAAAAAATAAATTTAAAAAATACATTTTAGCACCTTGGTCTCTTATTCTTTGGTCAGATGTCTTTCATATTACTATTACGTAACAAGCGAAAATGGGCGGACCATTTCAATATTTTATTTCGTGGTCCAATTGACCAAATAACTTCTTTTAATTAATTAATCTTTATATAAGGTATTGGTTGAAATTAAAAAGTTGATGTTTCGACATTTCATTTCAACCAATAAGTTACATAAAGATTAATTAATTGAAATTCAATATTTTGTTTTTTATTTATTTAACCGACCCTTTTGCATTGAGAATTGAAGTCATTTAAAGCTCAATGAAGGGGCATAGAGTATTTTTTTAGTGAAAGATTGTTTAATAAATTGTTGGATTCGTGAGGAGAGGTAGTTTAGAAAAATACCCTTTTCAAATTTTTGCCCGCGTTTCGACCTTTATTCGGGTCATCTTCAGGGCATAAAGTGTGATTCTATTCTTGTGGTGTCACATTGGTGTTGTGTGAAATTTTTACAATTGTACAACCAATTAATTTACAGTGGTTTTGTCCTTATTGGTCTCATCCCTCATAATTTCTTCACATATTAAACAAACAAGTCCGGGTATTGGTTTTTTTTAAAAAGATACCGGTAAAAATACATACTTTTTTGATGTTTTTGGGGACTTTTGATATTTCGTTAGTTTAAGAAAGTATTTCTACATTATTTGACCAATTTTTGACCCGAACTAGTTGAAGTAAGAATTGTAAGTCTCATAGAAACTGATTCTTGGTTGTAGGGAGATCATCAAAGCTCAAAGAAGGAACAGAGTTTCTTGCTTATTGGCCTCATTCCTGATTCTTTTTTATTATATAATTAGTCAACAGATATTATGTATGTGGTATTGTTTTTTTGTATAAAAAAATTAATTATGAATGGTAAGTTTTATGGAGTCATTTAATTAGACTTATTTCATTACTGAATATTACATTTTACATGTGATTAATCAAGAAGGAAAATGTAAAATTATACATGTTGTGATGTTATTTGAAAAGGAAGCTAGATGTCTGGTGAGACTGTTTGTAAAAACGAGGGCTTTACAGAAGTTGTTTATCGATCTGGGGATCGAGCAACCCCACTTTCTTCAATTGGAAACTAACAGCTGTTGGAAGATCCCGCACCCCACTCTCTAGTCTTATCAGTAATCACAATAGCTTATTAAAACTTTCTAGTTTCTAGACCTCCCGAGGTTTGTACATCATAACATAAAAGCCGACGTCGGGGCAAAAAAGAGAAAAGTAACCGAATAAACTGGAAATTCCAAAAGTGGGGTAGGTGTCTTCCTTCAAGATGTGCGGGGGTTTCACCTGTTCGAAGAACGCTCTCACCGCACTCAACATCCTTTACGTCGTGAGTTGAAAATTTTTACGCATTTGCAAACCGGATGATGATTGTCCGCTTTTTCAGGTGGTCGGCTTCATCCTCATCGTGGCCGCCGTCTATGGCCGGGCGTCCGCTCTCGTCACCAACTTGCCCATCATCGGCGGCATCCTCGCTTGCGGCATCTTCCTCATCCTCGTCTCCATCCTCGGCCTCTTCGGCGCTATCCAGCACAACCAAGTCATGCTCTTTTTTGTATCCTTTCAACAAAAAATCGAAAGGACATACAATATGTTTATTTAACAATTTTTTTATTTAAATAATCTGTATAGTTTTATACACCAACCATAAACAGGGACATTCTTTCTTTCCAAATCGTTTGAATAAGAATTTTTAAAGAATTATCTAACATTTGGTACCATGATTTGAAAATGACATAATTGTGGAGTATCAGAATCTTCTTCAAATCACTGGCCTTCGAAAATTTATGCAAGATTTATTGTCTGCAGTCTCCGGAGCAAAAAATTATGCATTTGGTTTTTATCATTGTTTCTTTAATTTTGTTATGTAGCTAAAGGCTTCTTTGAACAACAAACAAGACGATTCAATAATACATAATATTTTATGTGCAAACCCTTTGCAATTAATATGGTTTGTACCAAGCATTCTATGAGGTTCCCCCCTCCAGGGGTTTGCAATAGCAGAGGTCATATCAACCCCCGGGGTGCCGATAAAAGCCCTCTTGTAAATCCATCTGGTTGTTAGTTTGTCAAACCCAGGACCTTTACCCTACAGGGATGATCACCGTGTCACTGCCAGGTCTCATGACTCTCTCTCTCTCTCTCTTTCATGGTCCATAAATTTTCAATTGGGTTTATGGTGAATTCCTCTTTCCCCATACCTTTGGTTCAGGTGTACCCCCAGGAATCCCACTCAGGGCCAATTGAATTCCTCATATTTTTTATGGATGTTAACAAACATTTTGCCACCTCTTCATTCTCTCTCCTTGCAGATGATCTCAAGCTTTATCAGTGTCAAGCTTGGCTGATTGTTGGGACCTCATTTTTACAAATGCATAAAATTTTGTAAATTAATAAAATAAAAAACTGGTAACTTTTGGTTTATCTTGAAGGCACTCTTATTGAGGAAGTGGATAACATTTCTGATATTGGTTGATTTTTAGTTCAAACTATTCTTTCAGAAATCATGTCATCGATAATAGGAATAAGGCATTAAAAACTTAGGTTTTACCTCACGTTTTTCCTTTGACTTTTCCAATCCTCATGTCCAGACCCAGAGCCTAAAACTCTCTACACTACCCTTATCAGAAACCATTTGGAGTATACATTATTTTGATTGTATGTGTGGGGTCGTCGCATTGGAATAAGTACGGTTTTTTGTCTCCAACTTTAAAAAAAAAATTATGTTCAGCATTCAAAATACCTTCGGTGAATACTAATTCACTCATGTAGCACCCATTCTATCACACTGTCTGATTTTGTCCAGCAGATCCAAAAATCTTAAACTTTAAATTCATCTGAGAAGATATCTTTACAAAAGTCCAGTGATTTATTGATATCTTCTCTAACAAAATTAATCTTTCGTTCTGTTTTTATTACATATAAAATGATCTTTTTTGGTGATTTGTGACGTAAAATTTGTCCTAAAAAATGGAGCAGGGCCTTTTGTGATTGTGTGCATTATTTCTCAAATTTTTTTAATCTTGTCTAACTAATTCACCTGCTTGTCTCGTAAAAATTTTACTTAGTTTTCTGAATCGTATTGCATTATTTGTAGAACCAGTCTTACACTTTTTAAATATTACTTAAATAAACATATAGTTAGTAGTAAACTATGGTGGACCAGGACTTTTTCCTTTTTTATTCTTTGTCTAAAAATTTAAAGATTAAATTGATTGAGTTGAAACTCTTTCTATCATTCTGGATTCAGTAATTGTTACTTGCTCAAGGACTAAGAAAAACTTTATAATTAAATCCATTAGATTTCAGGTTCCGATTGACTAAATAACCTCTTTCAATTAATTAATATTTATGTAAGGTATTTAGGTAAGTATTTATGTTTATAATTTAAACTTTTGATCAGAACCATCCTGGCAGGTATTATCTGTTGAGAGTGAGTAAATGATGGGCTATTTGTGGTGTACGACCATAGCAGGAACTTGTATTTGATGATGAAATTATCTGCAAATAGGCAGCAAACTTGCCATGATTGGGTAGAATTTTTTAAATTCTTTTTGTGCTTGTTAGCTCCCCTGTTTCTTTTTGTATGTTTCATTCTTCTATTCCTCTAGAGTTGAAGCCACTCCCAAAAGGCAAAATATTAATTTTATTTTGTCACCCTTCTCACATCAACAATGACAAGATCTAACCCCACTTAACACATTAACTGTGTGACCTATTTTGTTTGACTACCAGGTCATTTTTAATAGATATGAAAATACTGATGAGCTTGATGCTACTGTGGCATCTTCCACCTGATGAAACAACTCACTCGTGATTCCACTATGGCATCATCTGCTGTAAACCCGTTAAGGAAAGAATGGAGAAACTATACGAAAAATTATCTGTTGCTACACGTGCTCAGTTTTGTTAATTGTTCAGTTTATTCTTCCAAGGATTGAAGTAGATTAACAGATAATTTGTGCATGGCCATTTTGACAGTTCAAATCTTATGCTCCCTGGTAGACCACTTGCTGGTAATTCTTGAAACGTTTTTCCTTAAAGAAGTGAACACTCACTTAAGTGTCTTTTAGTCCGTCTCTTAAAGATTTTTTAATTATTAACATTATAGCTGATAACTATTCACAATTTTTTGATTGATTAAAGAAGCCAGATATTTTTGGTTGAAAGAAAACTTCTTTTGCCAACATTATCTAAAACCTTATTTATTGCATTTATTCTGAATCAAGCTTTAAATTGTCAAAATGCCCCCACAAAAATAGCCTGGTTTTGTCCAGAAGAGTAAAACGCTCTGGTAACCCTGCTGTCCTGATTGTGCCTGAAAATCCAAATTTTGTCCCAGGTAAAGATCCGTTTGATAAAATGTTTGTACATGTTTCCATGCATCACTTGCAGTAAAGTGATTTCCTTACATCAAAAATGAATTTTGAACAGTTTGTCAATCTGACCGAAATGTATTTTTTTAAAATCAATCTCAATGGCTTTTCTAGTCAACTGGCAACAAACTTTTTCAAAATTATTATTCTAATTCCAGGTTAAATCTGGCCTCACACCATCGTCTGTTGTTCTTGATGGTAAAACTATTCTAGAGCCAATAATTTGCGAATTTATGCTAAATTAGAAATTATCCAGTTTAAGAAAATTTTCTTCTCAGAATTTATTAGTCAAATATCATTTTTCAAAGTACAAAGCTAATTACATATTTAATAAATGTGAAGAGCTAGAATCAAGTTTGAAAGTACAGTTTGCAATTCTACATCGATAATATTTTAGTCAAACAGAGTTATCTCACTTATCACGTATTTACTGTTGATTCATTCATTAAACATTTTTAACTAGTGATGTTATTATTGATTATTGCTGATATATAAATATTCAGGGAAGAAATCTATATAAATTTCATTTTAAATTTGGAACGACATACCATCTTCATCCCATATTTTTTAAAATTTATTGGCACATTTTTTTACAACCTTAAGTTGACTAGTTTTCTCTGAATAATTTGTCAATTATAAAGTATGATTGTCTACTTATAACACATAAATTGAATGGTACAGTCTGCTTATTTTTAATTTTTGGATATTTCAAAATTAATGCCTATTTTGGCCATATCGGCTTTGACTTATTGTCACATAGCGTTTATTTCTTTGTAATAAATTACATAGACACATTGAACATGTTTTTATAATGAATTTCTGAATTCAGTTTGATTGGAACTGTGTAACCTTTTATTGCAATGTAAGATTAAATTTTAATAAACTCAAAGTTACAAATTGACAGCTTTTTCATTTTAATTTGTTCTCTATTGATAGGTTGAAAAATTCCAAGTTCTCCATGGTTGAAAACTTTTATTCAATTTAGTAAATTACATGGATGTTTTGGGCTCCTGGCCCATCATCAGAAATTAAACATAGAGAAATCTTGTATAATTCCCAATCTGAAGGCACACCCATCAGTAATTTCCGATTTTCTTGTATGTTTAGTTGCTGATGATGGGCCAGGAGCCCGAAACATCCATGTAATTTACTAAATTGAATAAAGGTTTTCTACCACAGAGAACTTGGAATTTTTCAACCCATCAATAGAGAAGACATGAACCGTGGAGTTGGTAATTTATAAAATAAGATGTTTTTAATTTGTTATCAAGTGAAGTACTACTATATCAGACCTTAATTTATGCATAGTACATGGTAATTTTGTTCCTTCTTCTTCTTGTGCAGTTTAGTGTAGCTTGCGCTTGTCTTGCAGTGGACATGGATGAACAAAAACAACTGGCTGAAAAAGTACTTCAAAGTTTACATTGTATTTAAACATACTTTAATTTCGAAACATTTTCAGGGTTGGGGACAAGTCGATGACGAGCTTAAAATTAAAGTTCAGAGGACTTTCAGCTGCTGTGGCTTCGACAATAAGCCCCATGCGCTCAATGACTCGATGGGCCATCCCGTTTGTATTAAAGATGTGAGTCATGATTATTTCCAAAAGAAAAAAAAATTGACCGTTAAATTTTTTTTTTTTTTTCAGCTTTCTTGCTGTCCGTTCGGCTCTCGAGATGATTGTACTTGCCCGCCTTGCATGTTCAAACTCCAGTCTACGATCAATTACGCCTTTAAACTTTGCGGAGGGATCGGACTCTTCTTCAGTTTTACCGAGGTTAGTTTTCACAACAAAATAAACCATCTTTAGTCACTAACATTTCGTAATAGTTACACAAAAAGTAGTCAAAAGCACGGTACATTTTTGACATTCTTGCATAGTGTGCGTTTTCTTTTGGGTAAGAGTAATATTAATTAAATTTTTTAAAGCAGTCTTAAAAAAAAGACCTTTTCTGTGCGAGCACTGTAGATTTTTGCATGGGTTATGCTTTCCGTTTTTCTTTTGAATAACATTACTAAAAAATCCTTTAATAAATTGTTAATATAATATCTTCAATTTTTTATTACTAACATTACTCTTTACAAAATAAATTAAATTAATCTGTTTTCAACTTTTAAAAACTGGAAAAAAATTATTTAAGTTTCTTGTTTCTATATAAAACGTAATTTTGAAACAATCAACATAATTTGCTTTATCATGACGATTTTGTATTGTTATACTTTGTACTGATGGTTTGTTTTCTTGAGAGCATTAGAAATTTAGCAAAAAATAACATAAATCTTCTTTTTTAAATGCAAAGAAACATAGTTTAATTTAAAATATTAGGGTGAGTAAAAGAATAGATTATCTTTTAATTATTATTTTTTATATTTACAACAAATATTTTTGACCGTAGAAAATAATAAAGATCCATTGTAATTGATTATGGTTGATTACAATATTGAGGTCAGCTGCTCATTCTCTGACATTATCACTCCTATTAAATTGGAAGAAAAGTCTTATTTCATTTTGGTGCCTACCATTACAGGCACAAATTCAGGATGAGGCAGTCGTCTCAAGAAACAAGGTCACGACTAATATGGTAGATTCCATAATATTAAACAAAGTTTTTGTTTTATTGGAAATCCTCTGGGTGTTTTCTTGTTAAAAAAAATTCCCTCACATTCATCAAACAATTAACAATTCTTTTGATTTGAAATTGGGCAAGCGATGCTCAGCTGCTGCATGGTGAGATTTTGTCAAACTTCTCTAATGCACCATTTGCTTTTTATGTCTTTTTAATGGTTGACAGTTTGAAAAGCTTTATGCAGGGTCGGCCTCAGTAGTCTCTCAGCTGTTCACAGCAGACCCGGACAATCTTTTCTCTTTTTCTCCCTTTGTAGGTTTGCTTATATTGTCACTTTTTCTGAAAGAGATTCTGCTCATTGAGTATTTTACTCTTTAAATTAGCAGAGGAAAGATGTGCTCTTTGCAGTTATTTTCTTTTATGATGGTGCTGCAGTATTACCTTTTTAGTGACGTGGGAGTCCCTCAGGGTAGCATCCTCAGCCTGTTACTGTTCTCTGTGTAATGCTGATATCTCTTCCCATCCTAATAGCATTATCTGCACTGATGAAACTGCCATTCTTTTCTCTAACTCCGACCTTGTCACAGCTATCCGAACCCTCCAGACATATTTAATTGAATAATGGTTCAAAAAATTGCGAATCAAGGTATCAAACCAAATAGCGCAAAGTCCCAAAACATAATCTTTACCCTCTGTCGTATCTACTTCAATTTATTATAACCTTATCCCCGATCCCACTAAAAACATCATCCACTATCTAGAGCTGTATCTAGACAAATGACTCACCTGTAATCCTGTTATAATACTTTAAAGGATAGAAGTGAACTGACGATACATTACTTAAAAAACAACAGATATAAACTTTTCCTTGACAACAAAATACTCGTACAACTCAATACTGAAACCAATAAGGACGACATATAACTTTTGTTTCAATCAAAACTTTCAATCTCCGCAGATTCCAGATCCTACAATCATAAATCCTTAGAACCATCATCAATGCTTATGTTTCTTTGCTTCCAATAGTACCATCCATAATGAGCTAAATATTCCCCTTTTAAATGAATTTGCAAAAATCCAGCTACAAAAAATTACACACTGACCTACAATCCCACTTTAATCCCTGATTACTTTCCTCCCGATCTTTTTCTTCTTTCTGGACATCTAAAAAGATAGTGGCCACGTGACTTGTTCTCAAAGAGTGCAAGTGATTAAGCGATGATTTCTGATTTAGGAGTGTTGTCACTGGATAGCTTTTTTTCCTTAATTTTTCTCCTTTTCTTTTGTACTATCTCATTATAGCGCTTTATGCAGATAGCTCAGTTACTCAATTAAAAAATAAAGAAATGAATAAAAGACTTTTTTTACATATTAGCCAGAGAATGCATATTAATTTGTGTATGTTTTTAGGGGGGGGGACAGGGATAGAGGACATGGCCACAAGGCCTACCGTACGTCGACCTAAATAGATCTATTGTGCTTTTCTGTTATTTATAACTTATTGGACAGCTTCAGGTTATTAACCAGCCTACAAAGCTTTGCCATAAGTTTCTTGGTGTAGAATCTTGTGGTTTTTCTTTCCTAGTTGCAACTGCAGCTACATATACCTTTGCAAAAACATAAAATGTGTTCTGTGGTCTCCTCCTCTTCTTGGCAGTATCTGCTGTTTCTTGTTTGTACTCCTATCCGGTACATGTGCCTTCCTAAGTGGCAGTGCCCTGTCAGGAGTGCAACCAAAATCCTGGTTCGGTTGTATGTGATAACCAACGTCAGGATTATAGGGTGGAGACTGGGGTAGAAGTAAACTTACACGGGCAGAGGAAAAAGTTAACTTCTGTATTAAGAAATTAATAGCTGCAGGAGTGGAGAGCTTACGGGAAACAGACTTGTCAAATATTACAATCATTCGTATTATATACCCTGATGGGAGGTCTAGGAGGGAATTAGCAATGATGGGAGTGAAGGGTGTTGGTAATGTCTTATCTTGGGAGTCGGTACAAGCGGAAAAGCTTTTAAAATAAAATATTTATGAATAATTGGAATAAGGGATATTACATGTAGTTGCTTTCCAGTAATTTTCTTTTGTAAGTTTTGCAGATGGTCCTTCTATGAATCTCTTCGCTTGCCTCATACCTGTTGTATTATTTCACCAAGTTTTGGACTCATTTTAAAATGTATCTTTTGTGACAGGCTGCTAAAGCCTAGGACGCACTGGGATTCTTTGAGTCGACTCTTTGAATCTCCGGAGAGTCTCGGCTGCATCTAGCATGAGTCCGGGCTGCCCTGACTCATTGTTGCAATGAATCTGGTGTGTTGCGGGCTAGCATTTTTGGACTCTTGAATCCCATCCGATATGGGATTCTTTGACTCAATGTTGTGCAACATTTGCCAGTGTGGACGTGAATCAGAACAAGCGCACTTGCTTCATTTGTTTAGTTGACGTTGTGGTGAGTGTTTTCTTGAAGATTTTGACAGTGTCTTGTATAAAGTAATGTAATCTTGTATAATGTTGTGGAGTACCGAGTTGACATTACAGTATCGAAGACATGCATTCCCATTGGTGTTTATAGGAAGTATCATTCGTGGAATACAGAAGTCGGGAATTGAAAACCAAACATTGAACTGTTTAGCCCAAAAATTCAGTGTTTCCGTCGCTGAAATTGGGAAAAAAAAAATAAAATACACACTTTAAAAGGACAGTTACGTTTGTTTTGAAATCCTGAAGGTGTACATGAGGCTTGTATACGAGTCTCCACTCGCTAGGAACCGAAGAGTGGCAGCTAATCTGTTGGCCGGAGAGATAGATTCTCAAAAGTTGGTATCTTTATTGGAAATTTGACCGCCAACTTTCATTAAAATGGTTTCAAAATCAGTCAGGGACATCCACAAAAAATTTCTGAACCCTGCGCCATCATTTAATCTCAATGTGTCTAAAAGATTTTTCCCGTGCTGATTCCTGCCGTGAAATATTTGTCGAACCCACCGTCTTTTTGGGCGTTTCATGCATCTCCGATTGGATGTACTACTTACAATGCAAAAAAGAACAAGGGAAATTCCTGAGAGAGCTAGTTCTTCCGTCATTTTCGCAGGCACTGATGAATGTGAACTGAATCTTTGTCTGAACACTGTTCTTTGTCTTGCCCCGCAACATGAATCAATTCAAAGAATCTCAGTGCCACAGCAGGGTTCAGGACCCAGAGAGTCTGTTGGCCCCCTTTTTGGGACATGAGCCTCCATGCAGTTCCAAACACTCTTTGCCTTCACCTCGCATGAGGCTAGTAAGTACTAAGTGCTGCCAGGCTGTCAGAGAAAATGGCTATCTTCTGAGAATGTATTCCTAGCCTTTTTATTTCTCTGGTGCATTGTTCAATTGCTATGATTTCAGACAGGAAAACTAGCATATTTGTGTAGGCTTACCAGTCCTTGGGTTCATCCCGAAGACTCCAGCTCCCGTACCCTTGTCGATTTCGGAGCCGTCGGTATACCAGTAGGAGTTTGCCTTTAATGGTATAACTTTGGCCTATTATTCCTGCTCTGGTATCAGTATTTCATACTTTTTGGTAAAGTTGTAGGGAGCTTGAAAGAAATTTCTAGGGATGTTGGTGGGAATCGAACCTACAACTGTGGGGTTTACGAGCTGAGAGTGACACTAACCCCTTGGCTACTGCTTCCCCCCCCCCAAAAAAAAAGGGGCTAAAATGATAGTAGCAATAAGGGCATTGGTAGCCATAACAATTAATGATCTTTTTTTAAAAAACATCAGCACCCCAAGGGGGTTGATATGACTTCTTATATTGCACCCCCCCCTAGAAAAGTGGTCATTTTTACTCACCCTTACAATATATCTATATTTGATCATGTGCTTAAATAAAAGTGAGTAATGTTTAAGGAAGCTTATTACTCATTTCTTCTCCTGATTATAATTTTTTTTTTTTGTTTTGTTCATTGTTCTTAAAGTGATTTAGGTTGGTTTTTAATTTAAGCTTTTTTTTTTATTATTCGTTCTAAATGAACCTCTTCAAAACATTTTTCATATCTGAACAAATTGTCAAGTTTTTAAATGTTTCAATTAACATTGAGATCATAATTCTCAGGCAAATTTTCAATGTGTTTAAAATTTAACCATGTATCTATTTATTTCTAGATAATTTTTCTCAATTGAATTTTGGTTGATGTTCACAGTTTGTGGGTGTTTGGTTGACTGTACGTTATCGAAACCAGAAGGACCCCCGTGCAAATCCACGTGCTTTCCTTTAACCATTAACTCCACTCGGTGGTTGGTCACTTCACTAACTCACTTAGTATTATTAACGACCCTGTTCAAATAAGCTGGCGTTTATTTTAACACGGTCCATTAGCCTTACTAACCCTACTGACATCCTTGCATGCTAGGTCTGCTTGTTCCATCCTGCATGAGCGTACGTTGCAGTTGCTTCTAGAAGAGTAGATCATTAAATGAAAATCTCAAGCGATATTTAATGCAACCAACTGCTGAAGGCAGGATGGAAATTATATCTTCTTTTTTTTTTCGTTTCTTTTTAAAACTAAACTTCATTTTTGGGAGTTTGTTTTTACAAAATTTTGCTTTATAGCCACAGTTTGAATACTTTTATAGCTTACTGTAATAATTATATTACAAATAGGTAAATGTTGAGTTTAACCTAACTTGAAATAGAATGAGTAGAATAACATGACTCATTTAGCTGAACTTATTCATTTATTTTTAGAAGCTTATGCTTTAATTTTGTTTATTTATTTTATATCTGGTAAATCACGATATTTTTAAATCAAGGTTAATAAATAAACATTGATAATTTAAAAATATCAAAATTGAAGAGAAAACATTGAGTTTATTGTTTTATTTTACTAGGGTAAAACTGTGGTATCAACAAAGACTAAGGCCTCATGATATTTAAAAAAAACAGAAAAAAAAACATAATTAATTCAATATTGCGATAAGTTCTGTACGTCTGATGAGAGACTTATGTATTGCATGTAAATTTTTCTTTGTGTATAGCCGATTTCAAACTGACTTCAATCTAATTTGTGTTATTTCAGGTGATTGGAATCATGCTCGCTTTCCGGTACCGTAACCAAATAGACCCAGACATAGATTTTGCCAAAACTTTGTTTTCACGGCATAGAAACTACCGGTACACTAACATTGGCCCACCCGTCACCACCGATTATAAGTCACAGAATTCGTTATAATACTAAGGGGGAATGTTTTAAATAAAAAAAAAATATCCTGACTTAATTAGTTAAGTTTACAAATACGAATCCAGAGCCATATCTTAATTCCTCTCATTTTTTTTACATTGTGAGATTTTTAAAAATATTTATAATAATTTTAATTAGGCTTAATTACTGCTAATTGTCAGGATAACTTTGACTGAAATATTTTGCTTGTAAAAAAAAGAAAAAAAATTAAGAGAAAAGTTAAAGAAGTGAAATATTTTATTGTGAACTAATTTTGTAATACTAGAGTAACTGATCTTGGTCAGGAGCTTATCTCTTGCGTTCGGTTAGCCCTAATTTAATTACTCACTACTTCTTTACATCACGTTTATATTTTAGGAAATGACATTTTTTTCCTTTGATTTTTCTAGTCGGTACCATTGCCAATAATAATGTGTAATTATTGTGATAAGTGTGCACTTTTGCAGGGATACGATATCAATAATGTATGTATGTGTAGAAAAGAAAAAAAAAAACTTTTGTGTTTTATTAGAGTAGTTGTGGCTATATCACCTGACTCATTTCTTCTCACTGCATTGACGGTTGCTTAACAATCATGAGTAAGGTGAAAACAGCCATTTCAGGAACAAGTATGATTAATTTATTAAGCACCCTTCAAATTCTCTAACAGCTTAATTAAAGGGTATTAATATTAATTCATTTTTACCTAACAGTAATATTTACAAGCATTTATTTTAATCAAAACAAGTCATTTTTTTAAAATATTTTTTTAAAACCTAAAACTCAATGTGATAATTTTTTAAAACAACATTATATTTAAATCAAATTTAAGATTATATGATATAATCAAATGAAAATTAATAATTTTTTAGTTTGTCTAATTTCAAGTACAGTTGATTAGTAAAGATTATATTCAAAGGTGCATTATTCATCGGGATTTTAGACTATATTTAACAACAGTATATAGTTTGGTATAAGACATAATCGACCCATTCTAAAATTACAACATAACGAAATATATTTTAATTTGTGATTATTCGGCTCTTCCTTATATAAATAAAATTTTGGTGTGTATAAATATTCTTTATCATAAAATTGTGTAAAACTGTATATAACGCTTCATTAATCAATATCAAACACCCTTATCGATTGAATTAATAAATTTCAAGCCGAATTGTTAAATATTATCCAAAATTAAATGTAAACGCTATATCATGAGACAATATATTCGACTTTATGCTTTTTAGTAATTAAACTTTTATGAATAATGAATGTGATTAAGTTACATTATGTAATTATATATAATTATTTTCAAATGGACATTCCACCGAATGACCTTTCTTCAATTGGTGTTTTTACTTATTAGCTTTTTAAGTAAATAACTCACTTGATCAACAATCGAATATTTTTTTTTATTAACTGGCTTTTTAGACGATACAAAATTAGAAAATAATTTGTGACTTATGTATTTTAGATTAAACAGCCTTTGTAATTGAAGTTGTAAAATATATATTTTGTGTCTCCACTCGTATTGTTGTTGTTTGTAAGGAAAACCAAAAGTTCAATTGAAAATCACATGCAAATTTGATTTCTTTGAAGGGTGGTTTTTATTCAGAATTATCGAGGAAGCCACTCATCACACTGTAAAAGATTACAAAGTTCTATTCTGTCTTATAAGAAACCTCATTTTTGTGAACAAGAGGAATATTTTCTTTAAAAAATTGGAAAGTTCACAATAGCAGATACAGAAACGTTAAAAAATGCCAAGTGCTGAAATTGAGTGGAACAGCAGGGACCAGGGTGAAAATCTGTAATCTCTTGGAATATTATATTTTTTTCTTTCCAAAAGGTAGATTGGGGATGAGGCCAGGAAGACATAAACATTTATTTTGTCGAGCTTTTGGCAGAATATATCGCCTTCATCAGGACTCTGTATTAACAAATAACCATAAGTAAATTTTCAAATATACAATTTTTAAAATTTTCCTTAATTACTAACTCGAAAAAAAATCGTTATACTATATGAACAGGTACATGTGTGGATAACAGATAGCCGGTAGAGTCCACCAAACAAATGTTGTTTCTGTCTTCCTGGCCTCATCCCCAATCTACCTTTTGGAAAGAAAAAAATATATTTAAACTGAGAAGGCTGATCAATCACCAAAGAAAATCTTGGAATATTCATATATGGCAGCTAACCTGGAATGCCCATGTATACAAAACCTTAAACGAATCCTACTCAGGAGTCTAGATGCTGCTTACTTTAATACATGAATCTAGCCTCAAATCATAAGTTGATATACAAATCAATTTTCATGCCCATTTGACATCAATAATAATAGCAATAGTCCTGCTTATAGAGAAAGGTCGCTCAGTATGTCACACTACCACCTTGAGTAGTGCCATGCCTTGGCCTCTTATAGGGAGCAAGTAGGCATGGCACCCGACAAAAAGACTTGGGCATCAGAGTTGTATATAATTATTGCATAACTGTGTAGTTTGTGTGAATGTGAATGAAAGAGGGTCGAAGGTGGAATATCATGTACCCTGACTACACATAATATAAATTTATAATGTCTGTTTGTTTCTTGTTTTTTCAATCTTGTGTGGGGATTATATATGTTATGCAGGGTGGGCGACCAAGACCCGAGGGGTTAAATGCCTGGGTAGACTCATACCCCATCCCTAAAAGGTCCGGGACTTGGTCGGCTCACGTGTCCTGCATAAATCTCTTGGGCCTGTTCACAAGCCCCTAGATTTTTGACCATTTAATCTCGGGGAGTGAATTGATGATGTCCTCTCCTTAAAAGATTTCAAATCTAGACCTAGCATACCTATCACACTCTGCGAGGTAGTGCCTTGCTGTTTCTTCTTTTATTTCGCAAAAACGGCAAAAGGGATCTGGTAGGATACCCATTACGAAGAGGTGTCTTCTCAGTGGGCAGTGGCCCGTCAGAATACCTATCAGCCTCCTAATTCCCTTCCTTGAGATAGAGAATAGCCATTTCGATTCTGCTGGCCTTAACAAACTCTTTCGATTGCCTGTGTCCAGGGGATAAATTTCACTCCCTAAGGAATTGTTTCATGCCCCAGTTTTTAATACTGTCTTTCGCTATGCTCTATTGTGGGTCCTTTAAGGGAATGATTATATTCCATCTTTTAAGGTTTGATTAACCCCCTTGAGGCCGGTGATCTGCCTCAAAATCAAAGGAATTTTATTTGGAAATAAATTAGAAACACAATTGCAGACAGACAACTCTATTTTGTTTCTTTTAAAATAAAAAAATGTATTAAGATACGTTATATAAAATATATAAAACAACAAAAAATGAACCTTTGCTTACAAACTAACAATATAAAAATAACTAGATATTATGGGAATAATATGGGCCTGAAGGTCAAAATTAAAACAATCAACCTTGATAACCAAAATGGAAAAATACCAAAAAAACAAAACAAAAACAAATGAAAATGGGCCATACAACAGAAATAATTTATATTAATAAAAATCAAAGTGTATACAAATCTGATTTAACTGGCTTTCAGCTAGATTTTTTTTCTTATTGTTTTTCTTCCAATGCCTAGGCTAGACTGAACTATCTGTCCTCGCTTTCCTGCCTGTAGCATGGAAGGGAGAGCATGGACATAATTTTTTGTTATAGCTCATAGAGTGTGGGTATTACCACTCCAAGTCTGTCGTTTATCCATGAAAAGTCCATCACGATAACGCACAAGGTCAGTGGTAGGCAATAGGGTTCCATTACCTAACTGGGCATAGATATTTTTATCCAGGGTAAAATTTGTCTGTGCGGTTTCCTTTAGGTTTATTTCATTTACTATTTTGTGAACTGCATTGCACATTCAGGTTTTGTTATAAGTATTGAGAGATTATAGAGGGTAGAAATTATGTGCAAGGATTGCAGTGTCATCAGTGAAAGTGTTTTGAAATATTAACATGTGTAGGATTATCTGCAGTGTATATTGAAAATAGAAATGGGCCAAGTATACTTCTCTGAGGAACACCCTCCCTAACGTGTACGTAAGGTGAAAATTCAGTTCCCTGACGGACTCGACAAAATTGGTCTGTCAGATATGCTCTTAGTATGAGATAGTACGCATGAAGAAGGATGTTCAAAGTAAGCCCAAATGTAGACTAGATCGAAAGCCTGTTCTAAATCAAGAATGTAGCACCTGCTGAGTTGTCGAGTGAAATGAACGAATTTCTAATTGATGATGATGAATAATATTACGATTTTCAACTATGAGCAGTAATCTTTAAAGGAGTTTTTCTAGAATTTTGGCAAGCATAGATAGGAGACTAATGGGATCATAGGAACTAGAAAGATCAGAAGTTTTATTTGATTTTGAATCATTTTAATTATTGACAATTTACATTGCAATGGAAAATATGTGATCCTGAGTATAGCGTTGTGTAGGTATGTGAAGAAAAGTAAAACTCGGAGGGACAAATTATGTAATATTTGTGTTGCAATTAAATCATATCCTGGAGCTTTTCAAGGAGGTAGTTCTCTAATAGTCTGTCGTATATCTGATGCAGTTGCAATTCTAAAATTTAAAATTCTCAAGATAATAAATGCCCACTGAGGTCAAGTTATCCTAATATGTAAATTCATATGATAGTAGCTGTCGGTGAAACTGGTTCATTAAAAATTATGATTTATTGTGTGAATATGAAAGCTTTGTTACTCTTTTCAACACACCTATTTAGCATAATCATTAATAATTTAGTAATGAATCATTCATTCATTAAATCTTATATGACAGTATATACACAAGAATTAAGGGATCACTGAAAGAATTGATTGGTTTTTAAAATGGTTTATTTTTGACATGTTTCATAATTTTTTCTTTTATTGATGAAAAAACACAAAAAGTGCTAAAACAACGAAAAATTTGGAAACAAAAATGTGATGGTTTGTAACTTCACGGCTGTTAGTACCCAGTGTTACTTCTGTGGCTCTTGATGACAGCTTGTAAATGGTGAGGCATGCTCTGAACAAGCCTGGAAATGTTTTCTTGTGGCAGTCATTCTCACTCTTCCATTAGCGCTTCTTCAACCTCCTCCAAAGTTTAGGCTGATTTGGATGGCCTCCGATGGCCATCCCTAGCTGGTCCCATATATGCTCTGTGGGATTGAGGTTGGGGCTACATGCTAGCTAGTCCAAAATGTGAATATTGTGCTCTCTCCACTCTAGCTGTATGTGGTCGGGCTCCATCCTGCATAAAGATGAAATCAGCACTAGGAGCGACAGCTTGGGGCTGAACATGATCATCTAAAATCTCTTCAATTTAGCACAGTCAAAGTGCCACCACAAAGAATCACAAGTTCGGTTCAGCCATGGATTTTTATGCCTCCTCATACGATAAGAGAACCACCACCAAATTGTGATGATAGGAGCAAGCAGCAAGGGACAAAACGCTCATTTCCTCTTCCTCAAATTTTCACACACCCATCTTTACTAAACCGTGATCAGTTAATTCACTGATCCCTTAATTCTTTTGAGGCTTTTATAATTTAGCAAGATGAGTATTGGTAGTTGTCCTTTTTTGATTATTGGTCCACCTATTGACTAGCTGGTCTGATGCATTTTGTTTTCTCATTTTCCTTAGTCAATCTAGGTTATAAACAGGGTGAGACAAAAACTACATCCCTAGAATTGAAGATAGCAAAAAGACGAGAAGCTGATTTGATGAAAAAACCAACAGGCAGATGAAAATGATTGGAAATAACCAAACTACAGGTTCACACCTCACAAAGTATTGTTGAGAAAGAAATGGAAAATATCTAAAAACTATAAAAATCCTAACTTAATTTGTATATTATTCAACTTTAATTATGCAAGGAGAATAAATAATAAAAATTGCAGATTCTTTTCATTTATGATAAGAATCTAAAAAAATAATAATTAAACAACTTGCAAATCTGAAATTATTAGTATAATAAATTTTCAATCAATGTCATAAAACTGTCCCAATAAGTATTTTCATATATTAGCCAATGGCAGAACCAATTCATTAAAAATCCTCTTTTCAACACTCATCAATTTATCATAATAATTCTTTCATGAATAATTCATTTTTAATTTTGATTAATCATTCATACTGTTATAATATATACAGTGGAGTTACAACTTAATTAACAGTTTTTAAAGAAAGGGAAAACAGAAACGACTGCTTTGAAATCTGACATCAGCGAAAGCTGCTATTATTTTAATACTACCATTATTTAATTATTGTTTAATGATTTATAACATTTTAACAAACTGAGATGTATAATGTCTTACATAAGTATGACAATTATTTAAATAATTTGAAAATTATATCAATCTTCGTTATATGTGCTTATTTATTAATTTTAAAGTACAATAGATTTTATAAGGACTAATATATAATAATAATGTTTATTTAACAACAAAAAGAAATGTAAACAAAACAAAGTAAATTAACATTATACACCATGGTAAATGTTAATGGATTGGCAGATAAGGATTTATAAGGACTAACAATTCATTATTTCATCAATCAATAATTAAATGTATTTTCGTAGTTTCTGTTCATTTCGGTGTGCCAAGCCTAATTTTTTGTGTGTGTCAGGTAAATTGTGGCTTCTTTGTTCTGTTGTGATCTTAGCTCTACTGTCCATGAAGACCCTTGGCTTCCCTGACAATGTCACTCTGTTCTATTATTGGCTACTGTTTTCCACCTCCTGATTCCTAACTTTCTGAGGTCCTCTTCAACATCAACCCACCTCAGTCTAGCCTACCACCTGGATGTTCGTGCATCGTTCCCGGTTACATACCCCAGCCATTGCAGCCTCCCGACTTAATTACAGCTATTAAAAAAGGCTCTTTATAAAGCTCCATCAGCTTTGCAATTTTTTTCTTTTTCAACATTCATTTTCTATTTTGACCAAAGATTTTAATTAGAATCCCCCCCCCCCGAATGTTAACACGCAATTCCACCTTTTTAGTAAGCACCCAAGCCTATGGGGGTGTTTGACTTCTCGCCATCATCAATGTTGGGTTAGTTTCATGTCAGAGTTATATGCAAGGTGGAGGCATGATACACCCAAAAATGATGAGAAACTACAAAACCCCAGATACAGCAGAACCTAAATGTTTTTATATTTCTTTAGATGACCTCAAACTGTACCCATGATCATGAGATGTCTTTGAACCATCTTTTTGTTAATTTTTTTTAGTTGCACTGTATTAATAATAAGTTTTATTATTAGCTTTGTAGACTTCATTAATTTCATAGGTTGACTTAAATTCGGTCATAATTTTAATTTGGTTTTTCTGTTTGTTGGTCAACAGCCAATAAACTTTACAAACTATTCAGCAAGCAGCCTTGCTCCATGTGAATGTGTAATGTTTAACATGTTTTAACGCGAGTTTTAGTTTGTTTTTATTTATTTATGGGCAGTTAGTTTTTATTGTCATGTGAGTGTGTGAATGTTTTATTCCGTACAAAACATCGTTATTTTTTATATAATGTCTTGAGCAGTTTCTCTTCGAAACAGCCTTATTTCCAGTCTTTTCTATGCTCCCCAAACATAAACAGATCGTAAATTTTTCAATTATTTTTTATATCTTTTGTCTCGACGTTTAACGAGTAGAAAGTCAAGTCCGTCGGTCGTTAATTACAGGACGGCTTAAGCCCGATCCTCCTCGCGGGGACGGCCGTCCTCGCCGTCCTTCTGTCCTCCGGGTAATTGTGGGTGAGCGGCCCCCCTTGTCCTAGATTCCTCCAGGCACGACTGCTCATTACAAAGATCGGACTGTATCAGGAGGACAAGGAGAAGTGAAAACTCGCCCACTCTCACTCACGTCTCAACGAAAGTGTGAGTTGCTCTCCTCCCTTCCTGGGCTCAACATGGCACCTCCAAACTGACTCCTAAAATGTTATTTCCTTCCGCCGTCTTCTCCCTTGTCGTCGCCGTCCACTCCTATCGAGGTGAGTACATCAGTTTTTATTAAATTTTGACGATTTTTTAAATTTAAAATTTGCTTGTTAAACGACGTGTTTTTTTATGCGCGGGCCGGTGGTCCCGCTCGACACGGCTATACTGCGGGTCCAAGCACGTCCTTTTGAAGGGGCTACGCTTTAACGGCACCTGCTTAACATTTTCGAGAAAAAAATCGCTCTACTTATCCGGTTTTATAATTTAAATCAATAAATTAAAAGAACCAACGGTATTTTCTATATATTATAGTTCAAACTTGCTTATATCCTCTTCAATCAATTAAAATATTTTAAATTAATGTGCTATTGCTGAACAATACAGTGCAGCAGTGTTAAAAAACCTTTAATACTGAATGTTTTATTTTTAATTAACAATTTAAACATGTCCTTTCTCAATCTGCTAAATGTCTATTTCCAACTAATAAGTATATTAAATAAAACAAGCGAAACAATAAGACAAGTGGATATTTTTTTATTTATTTGATATAAATTTACATCATTACTGATCATTTTGGTCTGCCCATTGCTGGGTAGATTTGACAGAAATATTTAGGCAAAAGCCATCTTCAGTGTATGTACAACATGCAGACCACACGGAGAAATTTCACAATTTTTTTTTGTTTTGGCTTAAATAATCTTGATGTTGGTCAGTGTCAAGACGCAACCCCGAGTTTAAAAAATGTTGCAGATTTATTAGAAACAGAAATAAATTTCAATATTTCACACACTGATCATTCTATCATTGTTATTATTATGAAAGGGTGAAGTTTACAGTTTGATTTTTTTCAATAGAGAATCACACTTTTTCTTTTTGAAAGCAACTGATCTGCCATGGTAGTTGGCAGTCGGCCTGGGATCATCGCCCACTGGCCTTCCAGTGCTGGCAGTTTTGGCTATGATTCCCTCTTTTATTATACTCCTGCTGATCTCAGTCGAAATGGAAAGTGGCCAGGAGCTGAAATGCCTGTTTGATGTGCTGCACCATGCATAAACTGCCCCTGCTCAGATTTTCTTCTTCTTGCTTATATTTACTTGTCATTTATTATATAGTTTGTAGTTATTTAAAATTTAGAAAACTTTTTCCACCTGGCACAATTAAGAATTACATAGTTTTAAAGTCAATAATTGATCTGCAAGGTGTTGGATTTGTAGATTGATCATTCTGGCAAAATCTCACTGTTTTTGCCTGTCAGATTTGATTCAGCATTCTACTATTTTCAGTGAGTGGATTCCTTGTTATTTTTATCAAAAATGTCTTTTTAAGGTTTTTGTAACAAATAAAAAACAAAACAAAAAGTAATAACGCAGTAAAAATCCATTTGACAGTCTAAGTTGACAAAGTTAATTTTATTAAAAAGTACATATATTAAAACAAACCTTTTGCTAAGAACAATTAAATTATCATCCTATAATAACAATTATTTTTTAATCCGCAAGATTATTTAAAAAAATACATCTAATTTGATTTATGATCTTTTCTATTTATTCGAAGTACATGAAAAAATTCCATCAGATTGATTTGTCCGAGACAATAATTGACAGTTTGACTGATATAAATCATATTGTCATTGACTGATTTTGAAATATGTTTGATGTACGATGAATTTTGCCTGTATTAATTTGTCAAACTTTACTCGCATATTATTTAAAAAATAACCTGACATTTAAGAAAGAATTAAGAAAGAATCCAATAATTGAAAGTTGTTAGTTGTGTTGTAAATATTTCATTTTTGGTCTACTTAATCGTTTGAATATTTTTATGAAATATCCAGTTTTAGAAAAATTTGCAACAAGTACTTTTTATATTAGCATTTCTTTAATACAACGACTTTTTAATATTAAATTGTAATATCGAGTACAAACATTTTAGCTTTTAATAGTGATTATTATTGAAAAATAACAAACATTGATAAAAACTTTTCAGTTAGGAATATGCTTATTTGTGATTTTTTTTTTAATACCAAAATAATATGGCTAACGAGAATTGAACAAGAATATTCTATATAGATCTAAGTATTGAACAAAAATAATATAATTAAATATCTGCCTGTTAATTGTTTGATTCCCTTTTTTTTATTCTTCATTTACAAATAATAATAAAATAAAAAAATATATAAAAATCAAAATAATAAAAAAAAATTTCAGTACTGAATGAATTGTTTCTTAATAGCTTGTAAAACATTTTTCTTTTGAAAAGGAGATTATTAAAATAAATATATATTATAAAATATAAGTCAGAAGGAAAAAATGCATAATTTTCATTTGATTGTGCTGTAGTTCTGATTTTTCCCCATTTCCTTTTGGCGTAGAACCCTCTATTTTATTATTTTTACTTTTAGAAATATTTAAGTACTTAATAAGCTATTTCTAATTAATCCACAAAAATAATATTGGCAATTTATACCGTTTATATTTTTGTTAAACTTACAAGATTGTTCAAACAAAGAACAAGAAGTTACAAGAAAAATTAGTGACTTACATTTTAACTTTGACCCTTTTTAACATCAATCTACTGATTTCTTCAAAGTAAATATTCCTGCAGTTGCTTGTTTCTAAATCACTAGGTTATTTAATCAAAACGAAAATTAAAAAAAAATTATGTCAAAAAGACAGTACTTGGCCCTAAATAAATACTGGTCCACTTGATCTTTCAGTCTGCATTATGATTAATTTCATATCCCTCCGATTTTAATGCTCCAGCATTTCTCAGAAAGCAATGTTTTCTGCAGTCACTTATTTCTAAATTATAAGATGATTTAATTAATAAAACCAAAATTTGCTATGAATTAAGTTAAAAAGACAAAAAAAGTGTGGTTACGATAGTCTGAGTAGTAGTCAATTCGACAGTTGAAAAGTATTAGTTATCCTTTTCAACTATAAAAATAAATAATTTCTGGCTCACTTTATCACTTTATGTGAGACATTTAACCTCCCTCCAATTTTAATATTAATTCCACTCTGTTCTTATTAGAGGCATCAACAAATGGATGTATGAGTGTAAAATAGTTTTTAGTAAAATAGTTTTTTTTTCTTCTTCTTTTTTTAATGTACATACACATCACAATAAAGCACTGGTAATGATTCAATTTAAAAATGGCAATGAATTTAACAATTTAAAAAACTATAGATCATTTATGATATAATTTATTACTGATGCATACTTCAGACAAGAAGACTGAACAATTTTCATCACAGATTGTCTTATTTCTAGAAAATCTTTTCTAGAAAAAAAAATAGGGTAGCTATAGACTTTTTACAATTAAGCTATTAAAAGTAGTTATGTGTAGTATTTAGTGTCCGTTAATTAATGATTATTTGGAGATTGTGAGATGCAGTCTGGTATTATGGAGGTTTAGAAAAACATTTTCTTTATCGTACCAATGTTTCAAAATTTTGGCATAGTAAAGAAAACGTTTATCAACACCTACATCATTTCAGCCCGCATCTCACGAAATGTAAATGATCAATAAAAAATAGTTTGTACATCTATTCACATTAGACAATTACTACTTATAGATATTTTTTTGTAAACCAATCGTAAGAGTTCTGTATGAATGGTATCCCATGGAAAATTTTTAGCAATATGAACTTTTTCATCTGTTCCTTCAGATATCCAATGGCACTCGGATTTCGAGGTCTGTGGGGTAAGTAACTTCGTGAACTACAGGCAGCCCAGGGGGAACTCGACATCGCCCAGGATCGTCAACGGGAAGCCGAGCCGGAGTGGTTCTTGGCCATGGCAGGTGATAAAACTAGACAAATTTGACTTTGCCAAAAGGTAAAAGAAAGGCGGCTCAGAGGGAAATGGCTTTCTTTGGCTGTTTGATTTTTTTTTTTTTAATATCATGCATAAAGAAAATCTCATTGGGAACCTTCACACGATTACATTGCATTAATTTATGCACGAAGACAGTCTTAAGCTGAAAACGTGCGCATAAATTATCAAAAACGCTTTTGTTTTCTCTGTTGGAGTAATTTTGCCCGTAATGTTACGTAGATGGATCATACTTATTTTACAAATCCACGAACTCTCAGACAGGAAATTAAAACGAGACTTTGAAATTGTTCTTTAATAGTCTGTAGTAATTAAAATAATCGAAATGTTTTATTACATAATGAAGCGTTTGCAAGTAAATAAAAATCCTAAAAGGAGGTGGATTTTGTGTATATTTTGGTCAGTTTTTTCTGTTAAAGTTGCACTTTCTTTCGAATTCACTCATCTTGAGCTTTCTTCGGATATAAAAAATAAATAAATAAGCTTTCTGTTTTTCAATTCGTCGTCCATGAAACTGGAAAGTAATTAGCAATTAAACAACGCCAGGTAGGCTTTTACGCGATTCGTACTTTTCAGCTTGGGCTCGAAAAATTAAAAATAATTGAAACAGAAGACGCCTCAAATTTGGTAACCGATAAAAATACCATTAAACTGTATGGAATTTTATCTTTTTAAAATTCAATAGTACTTTTACAGAAGTAACTTTGCTGCCTAAAATGGCGGATTATCACGCAAATGTCTAAACACAATTATGATAACTAAGGTTAATTTTATGTTTTGTAAACTTTTATCTAACAATTTGACTATTTTAGTAATATTTTATTATTAAACTCGTACTTCATTTATATTGGAATTATTCCTGTCATACAGGAGGTCTTAACACCATTGGGTACCCGAACGAAGAATCAAACCACTTAACAATTACAATCACTAAATAAAATTCCATTGGCTGTGCCGGGATTCGAACCCGGAACCTACTACTGTGGCAAATAAGAGTCGGACGTTCTAACCACTCGGCCATCTTTACTTAAAGGAGGGAAAAAAGTTTATTTTGTCAAAGTGCTACGATTTGTACATTTAAAAATTGATGAAACTAAAAGAAGAAATCAAATTAACACAGTACAATTTAGATCGAATAATTAGGTAAGAGCAAGAATCAAAACATTTTTGTTTAATAGCTTTATTTCATTCTTCTGGAAAATACAGAAAACTTTGACAATGTCAATATAAAGAATAAAATTAACCAGAGTTTAAATCTTGCGATTCTATGCTTACTTCTAGAGGAGGATAAAATCTGGCAAACCAATATCCATGAGAAGCCTATGATCAGAATGTGACAACATCCACGTGGGGATTTCAAATTACCTACTGAACCAGTCAAGTAGAGAGTTCGGATTTCTGAACCTGTTCGATTAGTAGCCAGTGATTAAAATAAATAAAACACAGCTAAATCCACGTGATCACAACACAACAAAGTTCAAGAAAATATAGTGAAAACTAGTACAAACAGCGAGTATTGGCGGATCAGGGTCCAACTTCAACAAGAAAAATACAAACATTGATATTTCTTTACAACTCAAATTTATCATGAGAAAGAAATTAATACGATTTAGGAGGAGTTGACAAAAAAGTTTATCGTATAAATATTGGGTTGTAAAATAAGTTAGTAGCGATTTTCAGTACTTCAATTTTATCCCTATTCTGTTTATTTAGTCATTATTGTTTCGTCAGGGATTTCATATTTTTAAAAGGTGTTTTGCTGATTTAAAATCAAGAAAGAAATAGTGCATTTTTCTCATTTATGTTTTTTTTTATTACCGCAAAGCGAAAACCGCAGCTCAGACTGCTAGGAAAATTTGTGATATCTATGGTGATGACGCTTTAAGAGAAACACCGTGGTTTTGCTCGGTTCAGAAGCGGAAATTTTGATTTGGAAGAAGTAATGCCTGTCGACCTTCAACCATTGATGATAAAATTCAACATGTCAAAAATAACCCACACTAACGTCGCTACGACAAACAACCTCGGTACAGGTCACTAAGGAATTTTGGGTAACAAAAAGGTAGAACCAGATCTGCAAGACCCTGTAAGCCCTGTACCTAATCTTGGATTAACAAAAACAAACATAGAATACTCCAATTAAAAATAGACAGAAGAAGTGCTTAAAAACTAGATACAGGAAGCTTATGTTATATAACAACCCTAACCAAAACTATCAAACTCACAGCTACAGTTAGAGAGCGCTGAACTCAGAGAGACGTAGGTCTACATACCGGTCACTGGCATCTGAGAAAATGATGACCCCCCCCATTTGTAGGTTAGGTGGGTCGAAGGCGAAGCATCACCCAATGGAAATTGGCGACATAGACTTGCACTCCTTAGGAGAAGGATCGAGTCTACTGCGCTGAACTCAGGACCTTGGCTAGTACAATAAGCCAGAAGGCTGCAATACTTGGGGAACAAAAACCCCCGACTTCCTAGTGTCCAAATTCATCATCATCGCAGGGACACTTAACTTATCTCATATAAATGTTTCAATGCATCTTAGATCAGCTGGATATATTTGCCGGAGTTTTGAATATGAAGTTTGAATTTGGGTTCCTTACATGTCGACATAATTATTATTATTATTTTTTTTACGAGGGTTCGCAACAGCAGAGGTCATATCAACTCTCGGGATGCCGGTGTTTTTGAAAAAAAGCCCATTTGTAAGTATGTCGAGTTCGAATGCAGGGCCGCTGGATTCGAACCCGGGACCTTTAACTTACAGTGATGAGCGCCGTGTCAACGCCTAAACCATTGCGGCCACCGACGCCCCTATGTCGACATAAGAATTTACTGAATCGCATCTCCATCTCCGATTACCCCCTAAAACACAATGTAAACTACTAATTTTTAAAAGATTGATAAATAGGAAAGAAAAAATGAGTCCTTTACAACAAAATTCAGAGAGGAAAATCGTGGGGATAACGCAGCGACACACCGTTAACAACTTAAAAATGCATTTGGTGGGTTTGGAAGGTGGTGCTTTATTACGATATTTTTTAGGCCCAGTCAAATCACTGGAATGATTAGTCAATAAATAATTGACCAAAAACGACCGGCTTCGGCTAACCGCAAGGGAATTGTTAACCACCTTAACATGAAATGGCCCCTTCAGATTTTTACGTACACTGGGCTCTGAATACTTTGTTAATCGAAAAACTTTACTTCACTTGAGAACTGCAGAAAACACACTGAGATTTTAATTTCTTCAAAAAACGAGAGAAGTTCTAGTAGGACGGAAGTACAAATTACATGGAAGAGGGCAACAACTAATGGAACAAAATGGTTCATATTTGTGGATTAAATTTGTCTTTAAGCACCTGAAATTTCCATTAGAAAAAAAAACTTCAGATTTATTTTACGACCCGATAAAATTACGATATTCTTGCTGAGTAATTTATTCGAATATCAAAATTCATTGACCTACTGAAAACATTCTTTATTTTCCTGTCTGGTTTTCAAATAAGATCTGGGTTCTGTCTTTACGACCCGAGATTTAAAAGGTATCTTCAAAATTTTGTGAAACCTAGGGAAAATATTTACAAAGACAAAATCTGATATCGATAACATGTAAAGAACAAAAAATTAGTTCATTATGACAATCTAGTCAAATAAATCAGCCCAAATTTGCATATTACATTTACTAATTTTTTTCACAAAGTTGAGAACATTAGCACACAACAAAAAGACATACACCTAAATAGACAAACAAACAAATAAATAAACAAAAAATGTAACTCGTCTGTTTGTTAGTACGTCACTAGGTGAATGTATAAGTCACCATTTTAACCAGACTACTACAACCAATTTTACTACAAATTAAACAAAAAGAAAATATTAAAGATGAGATGATGTATCGATCTGCTGTTGAACAACTTGGAAAAAAGGATCTTCGGTGAGGTCATAACAGAACGACAATTCTTTAAGTTTTGCCGATCTTTCGACGGTTATATCGTTATCATCAGGGCCAATTTACGTTAGGAAAATATCGCAGTTAGAACATGTTACATCGTTAAAAAAAATGTTTCTTATTTTAACTCTATGAGTGTTGAAATAAATCTTGAGAACAAGAAAGTACATTTATAATAAGATTAATTAAAATTAGGTGAAGCTCAGTATCTAAACAATTAACAGTATGGAATTAATTAAAAACAATAAAAATAACATAATATAAAAATTTTCAAAAACCACAACGTGGTCGTATAGGTTACCTCGGTTAAAATATAAATATAAGTATACGCCTATTTTTAAAAAAATAAAATTAGCTTTTTTTCACAGGTGCGTTAGAATATCACAGTTAAGATTAATTAAGCTTTAAGTTGTACTATTTATAGGTAACTTAAATTGAAGTGCTAACTTCTACCACAAGGGAGAGACATGAGGCTCAGGTGGCTTTTCCGTTACAAGAGAAACAAAAGAAAATATATTTATCTTTCAGAAACAGTTTTTTTTCCAAGGATATACCAAATTGTAGAAAATCTGGGAAAATGTTGTATGGAACAAAGATTTTTTGAAGATAAGAGCAACTGCAACAATGTACTAGCTACCATTTTAAATAGACTTTTTTTTTCTTTAACTGGCTTATATTTTAATTTGGATTGATAATAAAGTAGATAATTGTTGTATTTCTTCAGCGTTTCGGATTCAAGTCACCTTGACTCAGGTTAGGGAAGTAAGTAGGGCGAGGCACAAAACACTGGCCCGCCCCTGAAGGTGGTGAGAAGCCGTTACGGAACAAAACAGCGAGGGTCGGCCTAACAAAATATAGTTTTAGAGAAAAAAAAAATATTTAAGCCTGTATCTGGTTGGGATTTGAAAGATTTTCGTTAAAAATTTAAATCAGGCTTAATTTACGTATTTGTTTTGTCATGGCTCTTTCTAATAATTAATTTAGTATTTCGAGAGGCTTTCTAATCACGTGGAAAAAAAATGCTTTTAATTCTATACTTGTTCGATTAACCAGCTTTCTCGTGTCAAAGGTGTGTATTCACGTCTAGTGACTGAACTTTCTCTCAGGTGTCATTGCAAGTGCTTCATCCGAAATACGGCCTCATCAGCCATTGGTGCGGAGGCGTGCTCATCGACCCGCACTGGGTCTTGACGGCGGCCCATTGCATCGACAAGTACGTCCGAACGTAAAATCACAGGAAATTATTTTCGACTGTTTCTTTTGGTTTTTGCCTTTTTAATTTAAGCCGGTTTTTTTCTGTACGTTTTCAGCGATATTTTCAACCTGCCCCTGCCGGCACTATGGACCGCCGTCCTCGGTGACTGGGATAGGGAGGTGGAGGAAAAGACGGAGCTGAGGATCCAAGTGGAGGAAATACTTATTCACAACGCTTTCAAAAATTACGATAATGACATTGGTGAGATAAAAAACTAAGTTTTTATATTATGTCAATTACAAAAGCAATAAACGCATCAGAAGATTATCTGAAATTTTAAACTGATCACTTTACTGTGACTATTGTCGTTGGTTTACATTTCACTCATACGCATTCTGCTTCTCTACGTCATCAGTGAGGAACTAGCTTACATAACAGGCATAATTTGAACAACATAATGAACTAAATGGATAACTAAATTGAAATGAACTAAAGAAAAATGATAGAAAGTATTCTATTTTATTTAAGGCCCACATATTTTTATTAGTGTGTTATGCGTCTACTTTAATGAAAATATTCAAGCTTTGCAGCTAGATTTTTTCTTACCCCCATTTTAAGTAATAATCTCACTTTATCATCTAAACTTTAACAATAACGATTATCTGCAATTTTAAACTGATCCCTTTCCTGTGAAATGTGAATATTTTCGTTGGTTTACACTTCACTCATACGCATTTCTGCTTCAAAGACGTCATCATTTATGAAAATATTCAAGCTTTGCAGCTAGATTTTTTTTTACTCCCATTTTAAGTAATAATCTCACTTTATCATCTAAACTTTAACAATAACGATTATCTGCAATTTTAAACTGTTCTCTTTACTGTGAAATGTGAATATTTTCGTTGGTTTACGTTTCACTCATACGCATTTCTGCTTCAAAGACGTCATCAGTGAGGAACTAGCTTACATAACAGGCTTAATTTGAACAACGTAATGAACTAAATGGATAACTAAATTAAAATGAACTAAAGAAAAATGATAGAAAGTATTCTATTTTATTTAAGGCCCACATATTTTTATTAGTGTGTTATGCTTCTACTTTTATGAAAATATTCAAGCTTTGCAGCTAGATTTTTTCTTACCTCCATTTTAAGTAATAATCTCACTTTATCATCTAAACTTTAACAATAACGATTATCTGCAATTTTAAACTCATCACTTTACTGTGACTATTTTCGTTGGTTTACATTTCACTCATACGCATTTCTGCTTCTCTACGTCATCATTTATGAAAATATTCAAGCTTTGCAGCTAGATTTTTTTCTTTCCCGCATTTTAAGTAATAATCTCTCTTTGCGTGCTCTCATCTAAACTTTAACAATAACGATTATCTGCAATTTTAAACTGATCTCTACTGTGAAATGTGAATATTTTCGTTGGTTTACGTTTCACTCATACGCATTTCTACTTCTCTACGTCATCAGTGAGGAACTAGCTTATATAACAGGCATAATTTGAACAACGTAATGAACTAAATGGATAACTAAATTAAAATGAACTAAAGAAAAATGATAAAAACTATTCTATTTTATTAGGCCTACATATTTTAATTAGTATATTACTACTTTTATTACTATTACTTCATTAGATTTCGTGGTCCGATTGACCAAATAACATTTTTCAATTAATTAATCTTTATGTAATGGCATTGGTTGAGATAAAAGAAGTCAGTGCCACGAGCCGGATTCGCCGAAGGTCGTGGGTTCGAATCCCGCTCGTGGCATTGACTTTTTAATGAAAATATTCGTCAAGCTTTGCAGCTAGATTATTTTTTCTTACCCCCATTTTAAGTAAAAGGGACTTTCCTTTTTAGCATGTAACTTTAATCTATTTTAATGCCTGATCTCAGCTAATAGATTTCCTCGAAGATTTTCAATATAGAATTTTGTACAGCACAGAAGTGCCTTTCTCAGGTACTATAGCTAATTCCTAGCTATTGCAAAGCGTTGCACAGTTTTTTTTTGCAACGTTGTTTTCTATTATTTTTATATCTTCTAGACATAGTCAACCTTGGATAACTGTCGAGATCCATTTTTTTTGTGACATTTTACTGGAGTATGTCCTATACATTTTTAGTTCTTTTAGGTTGATAAGGATTTCCTCTTTCTCGCATTTTGTTTTTGCAGGAATAGGTCAGGGATATAAGATTACAACACAGAGACCATCCAATTGGATCATCAATGCTATCAAAATTTCACTTAATGAAGAAATGGAAAGTGTCGAACTGCTTCTTCGTTAAAAGATTTGCATGTGGTTATTTTTTGAAATATTGATTTCCACAAAGTTTTCCTTTGTCAACTTATCTCAGTTGTAAGAAAGATTTTTATAACGATTGTCGAGCGAATCGACCGTGACGTGACTTGCAACGATTCGTCCTCCTCTCTATTGTGGTATATAGCTCGTTTTTTTGTAAGAAAACATCACTTTCTTCTGCCCCGTGATCCGCGAGGTGGACTAATTTCTCATTAATTGTAAATATATTCAATATCTACTGTCAGGGATTTCACCGGTCCGCTAATTTTCGATTTGTCTCGGGCGATCTTCGTTGAAACATGTCTGTAGAACATGGACGGCGCATCCGCAAGAAAAATATAAATGATCCTGTTCGAAGTCAAAAAGCACCTATTCACCATTCTTAATATTGTTAAATCGTAGTATCAGATTTTCTCGGGATTTTCCTGTTGAAGACACAGAAATTTTCAAATTTGGTAAACCGCAGCAACAACCGCGGAGTTAATGTCAGAGAGTCTTTCCGCTTCGATTAGCCCGTCACAAATCACTTTCACCTTGTGCTGGCATCTCGTGCGATTCCTGGGGTTGCCCTGTTTTTTCCTTTTTTTTAAATTCACTTTTACCTTCGATCGTGAACGATAGTGAAAGCACACGATTGCGCCGATGTGTGACCGGTCCCGGTGGCACGGTGCTCTTTCTCCTTCCGTTCCACGACTGATAATAGCGTTGAAATTTCGGAAATTTTCAACACAGGAGTTCTCTCGAAAGCTGGTTCGACGTATAAATGAGGAAATGAGAGGGAAAATAAAGCTGTGAGGACTGGGAGGTAGAGAACTTCTAGTCGTTTTAAATTTCCTCTATGTTATTTTGCCTATGTTGCCCTTGTAGATTTTTACAACAAACAGCAAAAACACAGACTTACTACATAATAACCAAACAATCGATAAACCTAATTGTCCAAATAACACAAAACATCAACCACAAAAAAATGGCGAATAAAGGGAAACGTGCCTTGAAAGAAAAAACAGTGAGAATGGGCATACCAGATACAAAAAATACTGTTCAAAAATAAATACTTTCGACTAATAATATTTGTATCTTTAACAACTTGTTATACCATTATTTAAAATTGAATCAAAATTAGATATTGATTGATCCATTTCTTTATTCCAATCTTTAGCAAAAATTATGGAAAAAGTATCAAAAACCAGCAAAAAATAATATAATTTCTAATAAATAATCAATTTGGTTTTCTTCTTAGTAAATTAGCAGAAAAAGCCCTATTTGAAGTTACTAATCTGATTGCTCAAGAATTGGTTGTTAAAAAAAATCGCAGGCTTTTTTTTTGTTTTGTTTTGAGATTAAGAAGGCATTTAACTCTGTTGATTCAGATAATTCAAAAGTTATCTAAAATTGGCATTAAAAGAACTGTTTTTTAATCTTTTTAAACCATATCTTTCTGATAGGGTTCAGAAAACTAGAATTGGATCTTGCTGTAGTACACTATTATCAATTAAATATGGGGTATCACATGGTACAGTTTTAGGTCTTATTTTTTCCTTATGTTCTGATTTATTAAAATTGAACCTTTCTGGGGAAATTTTTAGTTTTTCAGATGACTACTATATTTATTCAAGAAAAAAATTTAAATGAAATTACTATCTCTATCAATAAAGAAGTTTTTACATAAAAAATTGGCTCGATCAAAATTCTCTGCTTTTAAATTTAGAACGAAACTAACATTATGTCCTTTTCATTAAAAAACATACCCAATTTAAACAAACATAAAATTATTTTTAATGGTTCCTGTAAACTTCTTGTTTTTGTGAATAAAATAAAAATACTTAGGCATATTACTGGACCACATTTAAACTTTATTTTTCGAATAGCAACATTGGTAATGAAAACCAGAAAACTTTTTAACTTTTTTTAAAAATTTAGAGTTCTTAGATGCATTTTACCTTTCTCTACACCTAAAATCATTGTATTTTGCCTTAGCACAAATCCATATTTTGTTATAGGATTACTGGGTGGGAAAGAACTAGTAAGAATATATTACAAGCTCTAATAGTCACACAAACTTGTCTTATAAAAATAATTTTAAATTAACCGAGTATATAATGCAAAGTTACTATAAAGGAATTTAAATTTAGAACAATTATGTTTAAAATGTTCTTCATTTGTTTAAATATAAATTATGTATTTAATAACTTATAATAAATCCTTCAAATTTATACATAAGATTAAACTATTGCCATGATTTACCACAATTAAATACAACTAAAACCTATAATTTTTCTTATAACAGGGTACTTAAATATTTTTATGAAAATATAATTAATATCAGTAATTTCAGAACTTTAGTCAGCTACAACAAATTTATTTCATTCTTGACTCAAAAGATTAAGATTCTAGACTTTTATTCTAAATTAATTTTATTTTTTACTTGTTTTGTCGTACTAAAAAGACATACAAGGAAAAGAAGGCTGTAATCGAACAACGGCCAATTACTTTTATAATTATGTGCTAATAAAGTTTTTTTATTATTTGACATCGAGTCCCAAAAACTATTATTTTTTGCATTTTTCATTATAATGAAATAAACTTTTATTATTACTATTGTCGATTTTTATACCATAAACATAATCAATGTTAATATTAACCAAGTAAACTCTGGTTTGTCTTTGTAAATTAATCTGTTTTATTTAAGCATTTAAAATAAAAGTGAAATAAAACTGATCATGGCATGAAATTGGTTTTGTGAATAAGAAACAAAGAAAAGGATCAAACTATTGAACATGTTCAACTTGTTTCTTCATGCTGATTAACAAGGAAAGAAGAAAGTTTACTTTTCACTTAAATTAAAACAAAAAGAAAGAAATTACAGACTTGCAAAATCCAAATAAAAGATTTATTGTTTTTTTTGTTGATTTGAAGACAGATGGGTCATGGAAGAAGTTTGATATTGAAGCTAAGTATCGGGTTGTCCGGAAAATAATGCAGGATTTTAAGTTTTCATTAAAAAAAATCTATATAAAATATTCTGTTTACGTTTACAGGATTACTCATTTGTATGAATGTCAACACTTATTAATCCTCTTCCAAATGATATTGTTTGTTTACCTCTGTAGCATTCCGCTACTTGGAAATAATTCAGTCATCCTTATAATGTCAAAGCGAGAATTTCGTACGATTTTCTTTTACGAGTTTAAACTCGGCCGAAGCGGAGCCCAAACGGCTAGAAACATTAACCAAGTCTGGGGCGAGGGTTGTGTTAATGAGTGCACTGTGCAAAGGTGGTTTAAAAAATTTCGGGAGGGAGATTTCAGCCTTGAAGATGAAGAAGGTCGTGGAAGGCCTTCCTCTCTTAATGATGATGTTCTGCGATCAGTGGTGGAAGAAAACCCCAAAACAACTGTTCGAGAACTTGCAGAGCAACTCAAAGTCAGTAAAACGACCGTCGCTGACCACCTCAAGGCGATTGGAAAAGTGAAAAAACTCGAAAATTGGGTTCCACACTCATTAAACGATCGCCAAAAAAATCAGCGCTTTGATGTTTGTGCATCACTTCTTTGTCAAAACAAAAATGACCCATTTCTGGCCAGAATTGTTACATGTGACGAAAAGTGGATTCTCTACGATAACACTAGACGTTCTGGACAGTGGCTCGACAAAGGAGAAGCTCCAATACATTTTCCAAAGCCCCCAACTCATCAAAAAAAGGTAATGGTTACGGTATGGTGGGCTTCATTTGGTTTAATACACTACAGCTTCTTAAATCCTGGCGAAACCATCAATGCTGAATCATACTGTAACCAAATTAATACCATGCATCAGAAATTGGCAGTAATGAAGCCCTCTTTGGTCAATCGGAAAGGGCCCATTTTGTTGCATGACAACGCTCGACCACATGTGTCACGTGTAACGTCACAAAAATTATTGGAGCTTGGCTATGAAACTTTGCCTCACCCACCCTACTCTCCGGACCTCTCGCCTACTGACTACCATTTTTTTAGACACCTGGACCACTACTTACAACACATAATATTCAAAAATCAAACGGAACTGGAAAATGCATTTATTGACTTTATCAATTCTAAAAATTCTGAATTCTACTCAGACGGAATTAATAAGTTACCAACACGTTGGGAGAAATGTATTGAGAGTATGGGAAATTATTTTGATTAAAGAACATTGCTTTAAAGTAACTAGTTTCTTTTTTTTTGTTTAATACCAAAATCCTGCATTATTTTCCGGACAACCCAATAGTTTAGGCATTTCCTTTAAATTCCTTAATATTTTGAAATCTCTGTTTTCAAAGAAATGTCAAGAAGATGTGTCAGACTTTGTTTAAGGGTCAGACAGGGCTGTCTACTGAGTCTCTTATTATTTTCTATTTTTGTAGACAATCCGTCAAATCGAGTTGGTGGTGATCATCAAAATATTAATGTACGCAGATGATACTGTTATATTGATAGATAAAATGGAAGGCACATTGAGCATGTTGAATTTGTTCGTTCATGCCGATTAACCATAAAAAGGACGTTCTACCTTTTTCAATAACAGAAAGTTTATTTCCCCCTTCTTTTAAGAGAAAATGGAGAAATTTAGAAAACCTTTTTTCTATGGAAAATCATTGATGGTTAAAACCTATGAATTCTTCTTGAGGGATGCAGGATGATGAACTTGCTTGCAGTTTGATCATTTCTGGTCATCTTGATCTGCCTATTCTCACTGGTTTGGTCTAGCACAACACTAGTGAAAATTGGAAGATGAGGATGATCAGAGGCGACCAAAGAAAATAATAATGTTACAGGAAAATAATATGAGAAATAATTTGTACCCAACATGCTCTAAAATTTTATCTGTATAAATGAGAAACATATTTTAACATATTTATTTTTAGGTAAGAAATGAAATTCTATTTTGTCTTTTTATGTTAATTTTTTATTTTTAAACACCATTTGACCCTAAGAAGAAATCAAATCAGCTCTGATTTGCCTTTTATGATTGACCTGACCAATGAGGAAGGAGAATATATTCAAACTTGCAGTTCAATAGTCATACCTGTTTCTATCATTGATTTCATAGATTTAAGTCAATTATTTATTGCAAAATATTTTGTTAAGGTTTGACATCATCTTGTTTATGTTGTTAATAATCTTTTAAAACAAAAAATTCAAAAAAATTACAATTGATTCAATTCTATTTTGTCCCCAATAGCATTAATGCGCCTTTCAAAGAGAGTAAGCATGGAGAAGGGAGTGAGGTCGGTCTGCCTTGGAAGCAGGCTGGACGTAGAACAACTCTGCACTGCTACTGGCTGGGGAAGGGCAACCCAAGCAGGACCTCTATCTTCGACACTGCGGCAGATAAAAGTGCCTCTGCACAGCAACAAACTGTGCCAAGAAAAATATGGACCTGCTGTCAACATCCAAGAGGGGCACTTGTGTGCTGGAAAGTTGGACGGGTCAACCGGTGCCTGTATTGTAAGTGGATAAAATTCTACACATTTTTCTTTACTATTTTAACAAAATGAATTAAACGTTATTAACTGTTGTGAGATTTTTCTTACAGTCTGTGGGGTGATGAACCTGCAGCTCGGTCGAATTCCGAACAACAATTTTTTTAACTATTTGTAAAAAAAAAGTGTTTTTGGTAGAACAAAGACTTTTAAAATGATTAAATAACTGATGTTGACCAATATAGATCTTATTGTTCTGTAAGGAAAAATCAGCAATTACTTAGATTTTTACAATTATTTTAAATTTTTATCGCATAATGACAGGTTAAAAATTTATTTTTCGATGTTTCAGGGTGATTCTGGTGGGCCGTTGCAGTGCAGCAAGAACGGAAAATGGTTCTTGGTCGGGATCACGTCGTTTGGCTCCGGTTGCGCCAAGCCGGGTTTTCCTGACGTTTACACAAGACTGTCTTTTTACCTTCCTTGGATTCAAGAACAAATCACATCTAACACTGTTCACTAATTTCAACGTTTAAAAACATTTTGTGATACTGTTAATGAAAATTAAAAAAAAAAAAAAACACTTTCAGCGAATACGGTAGAAAGTGATATTTAATTTATTGTTTTAAGTGAAAACCAGTCTGTATCAGATTAATTTATAAACTATTGTTAAATTTTATTACAAATTGATAAGTGTAAATATATATGTAGCCAAAACAAATTAATACGCTTGTTATGATATTGAATATTGATTTATACCAGTTCCGCTCTGCACTTGCATGTACATACATATGTATATACACTCACTTTTGCGCCAATAAATACATTCATTCTACCAAAAACACACAAAGAGATATCTATCCTAGTTTGGTGGGGCTGTGGGGTACTCGATATTCCGACCACTACCCACCCATACACTCACACATTCTCGCCAATAAATACACTCACTTCAGGAAGGGAAAATGAAACCACGTGTGGAGGAGCATTAAAGGCGACCATATGCATTTATTTGCTTCAGATATTTGATTACTTTCTTGCTGTTGTCATTGCTGTGTTGCAAAACCTCTTTCAAGCTCGAGGAAAGGCCACACTTTGTTCTGTGCGGCGCCAATAGTTCGCATTCGGTTAGTAAATGTTTAACAGTTATTTGTGCGCCGCACAATGGGCATCTCCGTGGACTTTTCCTCGCCAAGGGATGGTCCACGGTTTGACCGACTGTTTTAGTTCTTTTAGTTTGTCGGTCATTTTGTCCCAGCGGTTCTGCCAATCTTTCCAGCAGATTCTTCATATATTTTTTGACATCCGCTGGGCTCACGGGAGTTTCCGGGTCATGTGGCATATTATCGCTGCTCGTTTGGCAGCTTGATCGGCATTTTCATTACCTTCTATGCCGACATGGCCCGGTATCCAGGCAATAACTACCTCCTTTCTTTGTTCGTGTATTTCCCTGATTTTCTCTTGTATTGCCTGGATTAGTGGGTCCATGGTGAAGATATTACGGATGGCTAAGACTGCACTGAGTGAGTCGGTGCATATGACATATCATGCTATTATATATTATATAACAATTTTGAGAGTCGATGGGTGTTCAATATTCTGCCATTGTCCCTCTCACTCTGCATTCATGCTAATAAATTCATTCACTCTCAATGTAAAGATACACAAGAAGAGATCATCAGGTTCAATTATTCAGATAATCAGGATCAATTATTGAGTTTATCTACACTTATGAGTTTTGATTTTAGTCAAATGAGTGTTGGCTTTTTGAAATATTTCAGTGAAGACTGTATGTTTCATCATTCGTGTAGGTATTTATATACCATGGGGTTGCAGTCAGACCCAGTGCCAGTACTTTCGCCCATTGACTTGCAGACCAACAACCACCATCACCTTTAAGAATGAAAATTACTCGATTTAAAGTTATGCAGCTAAGCCATAATTATTTACATTAAATTTATATTTACGTATTATTTGAAAAAGAAGTAGAACAATTGAAGCCTGCTAGTTTTGCTCTCCTAGCATTGTTTAAATGCGAGTTAAGTAGGATAATAATATGATAAAGGTATACTGTTTTTATTTTAAAACAATTTCCACAAAATATACAAGGAAAAATATTTACAACTTTGATATTTACATTTTTAAAAGGCTCGAAATTACAAAATAAGAAATAGAATAGACATAAAATGTGTATTCGCCCACGACCAGTGGTGTACTGAATGGGATTGAAAATACGTCCGACGATGTCAAAAACATTTCAAACAAATCATTAGACTGGGGTTGTGTCATCAAAACTGGTGCTATTTTTTAAATATTTTATTTAATAATGTTATTAAGGTATACGATAAAACAAAAGGGGTGATGTACATAGAAAAAGAAAAAAAAAAAGATATAATACCATCGTCTTTGATTTTCAAGGTTTATTGACTCTCAAAATGTACAATAAATGTGCTGAGTGCTGTTTTAATAAAATTTTGCACTTGAGTTGTATATCACATTAATTCTTATGTTCTTGTGTTGCTATTATTTTTTTTTTTTAAATTAACATATTTAAAACATATTAATTTTGTCTTGCCAATATCAAAGAATGGGGCTTTCCGGGTAAGAGGAGCTTTTGCAAAAAGCTAAAATTTTAACGATAAATGCTTAGCTTCTGTGCATCTTTTATATATATATTTTTTCAAATATTTTTAAGAATATATATTTTTTTTAAATTTCATATAAAATGAAAATGACTCTTTATCATAGTGTATCTAATATAATCTTGGGCATATTTATTTGAAAATAAATTTTCTTAAACATTTTTATACAACTTTTATATTTTTGATTGAATAATGTCTGAAAGCACGACCATTACAAACAATATTTACACAAACATCAGTGATATTTTAGAAATAGTATTTTTATTTTAATAAGACGTCAGTTTATAGTATATTATTGGTCTTGTGATTAATGTCTTATTGTATAATAACATATTTAAATTAAAAAAACGCTATTAATGGAGTATGACAAATAGTAAGCGCCTTTACATAGAATATATATAACATTGCTAGTATCAAATTACAAATTTATTATAGAAACAACAGAGGCACTCTTCACAAATATTGAGTTGTGTGAACATACAATTCAGATGATTTATTACCAACTCTTTATTGAGCCTATCATTCATATCAGTTATTTACACCCACTGGAAATATAACGTCCATTTGCATTGATTCATGCACAGCATATAAGATTTTTAATGTAGAAGTATAATAATGTAAATGGTGTTTCTGCATTATTGCAAAAGTCTAAATCTAAAAATACAATAAAGTTACAAAATCTATTACAACTTTCGATTAGAACATTACAACGTTTATATTGTACTCAATATAATTTCGATTAAAAAAAAAAATTGTTTTTAATCGATTACAAAAAGAAAAAAAAAACATTCCCAGAGTCTATAAAGAAATATGGAACATAAGGATCGTAATTTAGTTAAAACAGAAAACAGTAGCTGTCTTTAATTAAATTATTGCTGAAAAGACAAAAATATAATTGATTTGCATTAATGAATCTTTTTTGTTTTGAAAAACAGAAAATACAAAAGCACTGTTTTAATTAATTCTATGGTAGAATTTAATTATTAGAGCAATGGAAAAATTCTCACTTTCAAGTATGTTTTTTATTCTTAAATTAGCTTGAATTTGAAGCTGGGAAAGATCAGTTTGGAATGTAGTTATAAAAATATGTCAAGAAGGTATTTTGGAATATGACTAAATACCTTAAAAATTATTAAATTTGATATTGATGAATTTCAACTTTTTTAATATTTTGATTACATTTTTAATAACAATTAAAAAAAAATTGAATTGTTGATTTGTCAAATTCTTGCTTGCTGGGATCTAGAAAAAAGTAAACTAAACTAATTACTGAGTGCTTAAAGGAGAAATTTAAATTAAAAAAAGAAAAAAAAAGAAGTAAAATAAAAAATGGAACAACGCTTTATAATATTTACACAACAATTTTTATAAACTAAACCATTTAACATCAACAATTCGTAATCACAGGGTTTTGGTAACCATAATGTAAGAGCAAAATTACTCAAATGGGGAGTGTTGTTTGCAATTAATGGACTAGAGTAATATCACTTTATGGTATAGCAATATTCAGTTTATGATATATATTATGTATATAAACAAAGTGTAAATATTCATTTCTTAATATGTGCTAGTTTAATTTCTTTTTTTCGGACTATTAAGAAAAAGAAAAAAACAAGGTGTGCAATAGTTGTTTCGAAAGAAACAATTTTCTAGTCAATTCGAGGCCGCCTAAAAAAATGTCGCAGCACACATCTGTGACTGTTAAAATCGCACAAATCTAAAAGTGAAGAGAAAACAAAAGGGATAACACCATCAAGGGATGATCAATCACAAAAAAAAAAAAAAAAACAGAAAAACAATCAATTGAAAAATATTTTGTATACAGAAAAGCCAGCACTTTTACTGTGCTATTTCTTGTGGTAGATCATGATTTTTGTCTTTTATGGACATCTAATTGTTTTTTGCTACCTAGTCGAATTAATAAAGTTAAAATGGCTAATTCAAGAAAAGTCATAAGCTTATTGACAGCAAAAAATTTTCACTTTGGTAAAATCTTATAAAATATTATATTAAAAAGTTTGAGTGATACATTTAAGAAATAAATATTAAATTGCCATTAAAATTTATTTCTGAATTCCTCCAATTTTTGTTTAAATAGCTAACTCTATGTTTGAGTTTTTACCCCATTTCATATAAAGAATAAATTAAATGCGTAGAAATAATTAAAATTAGGAGGATAGCTCTGTCTATTTAATGACTAGTTTAAATTCGTTGGTTTACAAGTTCAATAGTTCTAGAGACATATTTTTTTTTTTAGACTACTTATAAACTACTTTGTAAGCTTGTTATTCCTCCAGAGGGTTCATTGTGTCCTTATTACATGCCCTGGAGTATTTTACCATTGAATTCACTTTACAGCAATGGTCCTTGATATTTTCTTTTCTTTTTTTTCGGCGTGAAGAACTTATGAGAAACCTTTGTAATGGATGAAGAAGAAAATTAGAAATATAGCATAAGCTGTAGGGAAAATTATCCGCGCTATGACATCTATGGTCTTAGCTACTCTGATCGGATGAGGCGGCTCTTTCTTCCTGACCTGAAAAAGATTTCAAATTATCTAACACGACAGTTTAAAAAGCCCAACAATTAAAGGTTCGCATGATGAAACTTAGGAAAGAAAAACATCCCTTGCTAAAGTTGAAGAATCTATTCAAAGCCATGCACATTATTATTTCAAGCTTGTGCCAGCATGTTCAATAAAGAATGAATTTTTTTGTTGAAAATTGAAATAAAGAAATGCACAGTACAATTTTCTATCAACTGCTTACACATCCACATTATCCAATCAAGACATTTAACTCTTTGAGTGGTATTAATTATTAATTAAGATTTATTGCATTTATATTAAAATATTTAGACTTTTTTTAAAGAAATATTTTAAACTTTTCATATTCCAAATATCGTTTGGTGATAAATATTATTCCAGCTATTTATCAGCTTATTGAAAATTGTGATTGTGAAAAATTGTGAGGCATCATCTCTTCTCATCCTAATCTGCTCATTATGGCTGGATTTGTATTTCAAATGAGTTTCGGCATTTTCCCATCACTGGTCAGTCTGAGTGTTCTTTTATTAATGCCGAGAAAATTGTAGTTTTCACCGTGATAACTTATAAAAGGAGAATGTTGACAAAATAACACACAGACTATCCACTGAATATGATAAGAAATACTGAAATACATTTGCCAGGCAAACCTAGGCTACAATCCTTGGAAAATATGTAACAAAAACATTCAGAATCTACGGGATACTGTGGAAAATGGGCTAAAACAAGACTTTTTCCAGATGTTTTCTTTGAAGGCAAAAAAAAAATTATTAGATGGAATGTTGAACTGAAAACAACCAGTAAGTAAAATGTTTATTGCTGATGCCTTTTGGTCCTAAATCTGCTTTCATCTTTTGCACATTTTTCTCTCGATATTGATTTGGAACAAAATGCACCGACAATAAACGGCATAATCACACTGGTTGTTTGCAGTTTAACATTCCAGCTATTAATGTAAATACCGTTAATGCAAAACTCAATTTTTTGAGAGTTAAACAGCCTTAGAAGGAATTATAAGATCTGATCCTTTATTGAACTTTGACAGTTTTGCAGATTAGGTCAGACTTTCTGACAGCCTGTACAAATATGCGTTAAATGTGAAATATCGGTTGTTTGTGTGCTCGTGTGTCCATTTGCAGATTGGATTTCGGGTCCATTTTCAATTACTGCATACAAAAGAGAAGTAAAAGACATTGATCATCTTTTACTCGACTCACCTCTAACGTGGAGTAAGGGCCGGAGGGCACTGTCACGCAATTCTGCAATTTAAAATTGTTATTTTTTTCCTGATCGGACTCGATCTTTTCAAAGCAATGCATTTTCAATGTTTTTTCTTTTTAATCGACTCTGAATCGAATGTGATATGTTGGGATTAGTGTTATGATTAGTTAGATTCTGAGTTGAGTGTTTTAATCCCAGCATAAATTATACCATTAAAAGAGCACCAAGTGGATTTTTGTGGAAATATTTCAAGCATTTTTCAAATTTTTGAAATCAAAATAATGTGCAGATTATGAATATATTTCAATGTAATGGTCGATAAACTACTATAACAATGTTCCGGTCTTATTTTAAAGAAAACTTACTTAATTGGGCTTTATTGTTTAAAGTTTTTTAAGAATTGAAGCTAAAATTGTGACATTTGGTGTGCATAATAAAGAAAATTGCTGTATAATTGTATTAAATAAAAAAAAAAACAACTTGTTCTTTTCTTCTAGCATGGTGTTATTTATTCCAATGTGTTGTGCTGAGTGTAATAAAAAGTCGGATTGAAAATCTTTAAAACTTAAAAAAGAGTAATTGAAATATGGACATCACGTAGCCATTATCCATGCACGTTCCCATACTAGAGTAATATTAACACAAGAAGCACTTGATGACTGAGAGCTCACAATTAATTTTGAGTTGATAATAATTTTGAAACTTTTGTGTCGTAAATATTTACTGGAAAGTCAGAAACTGAGGATAGGAAAACTAATAGATTTGTGCCACTGATATTTATTTATATTATGCCAGAAGTTATAAGTAAAAATATATAATTACAGTGGAACTTTGTTTATCCGGACCCGTTTGTTAAAATATATTTTATAAATTTTTCATAATTTTCAATATATATTAATTTTTTAAATTCAAATTCAGTTATGAGTCCTTTAATTTATCGTTCGAAATTCATAAAGGCCGACAAATCGCCGTTCCACTAATCACACGATTAAAGAGGCCGGAGAGGCTGACAGTCTGTTTTTGTTTTAAAAAAATTATAAAATTATAAATTTATTAAAAATAAAAATGAAAAAGGTGTATCCCAAAGACAAGAAAATTTGCTTCCATTGAAATTTTTTTTTTATTATGTACATTTTTATTAGGTAATTTTTTATGTATAAATTTTTCGCGAAACGCATGTCCGGACTTAAACAAAAGTCAATAAAAGACTATTACTTTAAATGTAATTTGACATATGAATAAAAGTATACACTTTTGTATGTGGTGTGTGTGTGTGTGCCTGTGTGTGTTTAAGTCAGTTTCTTTATAAAATCACAAATTTTTGTTTTATCCGGACTTTCGATCATCTGGACAAGTCCCAGCCCCTTCAAGTTCGGATAAACGGATTTCAACTGTACTTTATTTATTTATATTTTTTTAAATATGAGGGTTTACAACAGCAGAGGTCATATCAACCCTCAGGGTAAAAAAAAGTGCATTTGTAAGTATGTTTGAACGCAGGGCCGATGGATTCAAACCCAGGACCTTTACCTTACAGTGATGAGCATATGTCAGTGCCTAAACCATTGTGGTCAACGGCGCCCCAGTACTTTATTGAAGGATATAATAATTTATTATAACTGCAAAAGGGTAAATCATGTAGTCTACACTGTGTTGAGTCTGCAAGGTGATGAATTTGTAATTTGGTTGTTACTGATCGTTTTTGTCTACCTATTCTCTCTGGGTTGAGATGTTAGACGTTCTTTAGCATTTTGCTGTCTTCAGCGACCGGCAGGCACACTGTGGATGAGATGTATCTGACATACAACCCAATAAGGACAGGCAGACTAAAATGATCATAACCAAATTACATATAAAAATGTAGGTAAATGTTCTATAATAAAGTTGAATATTGCCAACTCTCAGTCATAAGCCCTGTTCACCCAGAATATTGCATCAAATTTAAATGGTTGCAGTGCTTAATGTCAAAAAAGACGTCCTCTTTTAAACGAATATGAAATCCAATTATGCAAATTATATTTAATAATGCTACTTTGTGAAGTGTAAAAGGATGAACGGGGATAAATTGTAGAATCTTTTGATCAAAAGGTAAATTTATGTAAATGGTTTTGAATCATTGTGGACCTAGCAACACCAGGGTCGGAGGAAAGATGATTATAAGATGATACCAACCTCAGTTGCACAGCCGTTATTCGCTGTGTGTGTACAAGGATTGGGCCCACAATTTGTACATGTAACTATTTCATTTGGAGCCGCTCCATCGGATTTTTTGTCTCCCTAAAATGAATCGAATGATTAATTAGTTTTTTAAATTGTGATTTATTTGTTTAAAAAAAAATTATTGACTGGAATGAAGGCTGCTTTTTTTTGTTTTCAATTTTTAACAATATTGCTTTAAATTAATGAAATAGCATCTTAAACTTTACATTTTTGTTTTAAATTTGTGACTTTTTTATATTATCAATTGATATAAAAGTGATAAACCTCTAATTTGTCTAATTTTCTAGAGAAAAGGCTACACCATTCTTTAGCTACATTGCCATGCAAGCAACAAGTTGTGAATCTGCGATATTTATAAACAAATACTATACTCACAGATGTTCTAGTGGAAAACTAACAAGGGATGTTATTTAGATAAATAAATTTTAGTCATAAACTAAGAGACTACATTCCATTTTCATTTACCATAAGCTCAAGACTATTCTAATATTAAAAAAATTGTTGTAGGAATCACATTAGAAATACGAAAAGCACAAAAAACAAGTGAATAATATAAAAATTGGTGTTTTAATAACATTCCTTCTCTTATGCTAGAACTACGTGGGCTAATGGGAATAGAAGAAAAAGGAAAAAGAATCCAAAAAATGTTTAGAAAAAGGAAAACTTAAACGCAATGAAAATTATGTAAACTCTTGAGCTTTTGGTGATATTACTTTGTTTTATTACATAAACAGTATTTGAAACACACCTGTTTAATAAGATTGCAGACTCTAGATGCCTAGATAGCATAAAAATAACAAACATGTTTTAACTCAATGTGACATTAATTTCAAAAGTAATAAAAAGTATGCAGAAGGAAAACATTGTGGACATTTATTTCATTCTCCCACCTGTTTTTAACTTAATCGGCCGTTATGTTTTGTTTGGAAGAAATAATTAATAGAAGATAATTTTACTGTGTAGTAATTTTTCTTTTTATTTAGTTTCTTTTCAAATTGTGAGCAATAATGCAAAAGAAAAGCTAAACACTTATTGCATCAAAATTAGAACATTCCTTTACAACAAAAACCAAATTACAATGCAACATTATTGGGAAAAAAGTTCAAAGGAATCAATTATATATAAAACAAAATTGGAAAAAAGAGAAAATAAAAGTATGGTACAAATTGAAAAAAAAAAAAAAAAAATCAAATTCACAGTATTTAAGTATTTTTTCATTACCATCAAAAGTAGCATTGAACCTAAATAACATCCACGGAAGATAACTTCCACAAGTCGCCTACATTTACCCTGTACATTTACCAATATTTCAAGCTATAAAACCATTCCATTTTGGCATTCTAATTTCTAATTACAAAATGCAAATAACAAAAAAGAAGTTTTTAATAGCCTGTCGTACTAAAAGAGCAGATCGGTTCTATTCTATTTACATACTTGTTCAAAGTTAAACTGTCTCTGGAAAATTCAATCTATGAATTTAATATCATAAAATAACATGTTTGCATTTCTTTTGTTTAAGAATCTTTTAGAAAGTAAAGTTGTAGATATCTTCGCAATTTCTATCGCTTACGAACCATTTTCTGTGCCTCGACAGGAATCAGCATGAAAATTAGTTTATATCAAATTCCAAGCCATAAGAAATAAAAATGTAAAGGCCAAACGTTTTTTGTTTTATTAAACAAGTTTGAAATTCATTTCTAACTTTTAAATATGAAAATGTTAAGGTTAAATTGATATTTTCTAAAAAAAAGTGCTAATTATCCCATAAGTAGTAAAGGCTATGATGCACCAATGGCAAAATGCCATTTGTTTTTTTGAGTTTCTAAGCCTATTTTCCTCCAGTTTTCATGTACAATGGTGTAAATCAAATTCTAATATATGTACCAGATGAATGATTTTGATTGATTTTCAATTAATTTTTGTTATCCTGCAAAAAATCCATAAGAATATATTATCATTGAATTTATTGCAAAAACAATAACACTGAATCTGTCATTTGTTTTTATTTTTTGTCTTTATATCTTGTTTTTTATATCTATCAAATTCAAACTATTTATTTGAAATATACAAAAGCTTTTAAATCTTATTGTTATTCTTAGTATTACTTAATGTAATTACTTTACATTTATACCCTTTTTTATGTTCATTCTTTAAAGAACGATGCACGCTTTGTGTTAAAAAAATTTACCCTTTTTTCAGCATAAAGTGGTGTTTTTTCTGTTTCAAACTTGTGCAGCACAATTTAAGTGATATAATGTATTTGTAGCATTGCATTGCAATTAAACTTTGTAAAACAAATTAAAAAAAAAAGGTGCTTTGTTTGTGTTTATTTGCGAGATGTTATTTACATGTGAGTGAACAAAATGTTTTTAACTCTTGAAAATTCACTTACCTCTGTTCTTCTGATGTTTAATTTAAAATGATGACTGATAAGATTAAAAAAAAATTGTATTTATTATTGTTTGATATGCAATGCTGACTCCTGCCATTGGATCAAATAGGGCCAAGTTTTAGTATGTAAATTATTATCGTGTTAGTAAATAAATACAAGCATTGTTACTTTGCGAGAGCTTAGTTTATGGTTAATGAGCAATACTCAGCTGGTTAATATAAAATTGGTACTTTGTAGCAAAAGCATAAAAAAGCACCATAACAAATGCAAATAGATTTTTACAACTAAACAATTCATCCAAGAAAACAAAATCAATCAATTAAAAAAAAAAAAAAGCAAGGCTGATTTAAAAAAAATTAAAAGTGAGTAGTCAATTATTTATAAAATATTTATTTAAAATAAAATAAAATGGTGAGTTAAAGGCCAAAAAAAGATGTGTGTAAAAAGAAAAACAAAAATTCTTTCTCCATTTTGTGAAAAATTTTATTTTCTTACCAACGGAGTGGCCAATATAATGCCAATTCGGCTGAGGACTGCGGGCAACCGCTGTAACAATTTAACACACACTCACAGCACATGCCCACTCAACGATAACTAATGCACCCACATAATAAGTAAGAAAAATGCAATAATTGCTAAAAACAGGACTATTGAATCGAATATAAAAAGTTCCAACTTTTTAAAATTTCCTAAATGTCAAATTTTTTCTAGCATTAAATGGGCACATTAGATTTATTTTAAGTTTTTTTTTTTTTTCCCAACAAGTAATAGGATATAAAAATAGGTAATGCACAAAAATTCCATAGTTTTATTCATGACTAAGAACTACACATGAGGGAAATGTACCACATTTTAGGGGGTTTGGAATGAAATGAGTAAATATTTCATTCGTTCGGTGTTCTGTATCACACAGGAAGCGGTGAATGGGTTTCGGTGAAATAAATGAAAACGGAATTGTGCTTTTAAAAAGGTTATCAAGAGTTTAGTGTAACATGTTAATTTGGTGAAAAGTGCAAAAAAAATGCAATCTGTCTACCAACTTACCTAATGATAAACCAAGAGATGAGAACAATTAATGAATTTATGGGTAGAGGAGAATTTAGGAAATGACGGTTAAAAAAATGCATTTTTTTACTAGCATACCCATTATAATAAAACTCTTAAAACTACATAGAATGAAATGTGTTTTTTTTGCTTTATTCTAAACTTGTACCAAGTGGAAATGAATCTACGTCCTACATGCTTTGAAAAATAAGGCATAAACCTATCATGAAAAATCCAAGAGTATTGCATAAATCAAATCTACTTTGCACAAAAAAACAAAAATAAAATAAAATAAAAATAAATACACAAAATTTATGAAATAACTCTTTCATGCGATATTTCACATTGAAAAATGCATTTTATTGCTCCACAATTTATCATAGACATTATGTTTTAATAGCATGGAATTTAAAATTGCTTGCATTATTTTTAAAGGCATTGGTTGTTCCTTCCAAACATTAGTGGAAGTCAAGTTCATCTCACATATTTTATTCGTATTCAAACATTCAACACTAGAAAATAAAACATGTTATAAAAAAAATACTTTTAATATAAAATTAGGGGATCATTAATAAATTTTACTTTGTAACTTTTTATAATGCCTATTCCCCCCTCCTAAAAAAATCTTTCTCTTAATTATTAGTTCTCCTAGTATCTATAAATTATGTAGATGGTTTGTGCAGTAATTAAATTCAAAAATTTAATATCTATTGACAAAGAGAGGTATGAATGAGGTGGGACCAGTTAGAGCATTAAAACAATATATTGTTATATTGTAAGTTGCCTCCATGAAATATTCATAAAGTCCAAAGTTCAGACTTTTTTGAGGAGAAGTTATGATCTAGGGACTGAGATGCTGTGGGAAATGATTTATTCTTTGTATTGAAATTTTTCACATTTAACTTGGGTTTCAGGGGGTAGTCGATTCAATTTTATCATATTTTCTATCTATGAGGCTGATTTCAGGATTCTAGAACCTAGAATCACCATCAGAAATCTATTTGTCAGTGCTCAAATTTTTGGTTTACAAATGCATCACATTTGGTAGTAATTAGTTTTAATTATTGCATTTTTAATTAAAGCAATTTATTAATCTGCAAGTCAAAAAATATCGATGTCATGCTTCAAAGATTTGATGCCGATGCGTGATTAAAATATGAGAAATTTCTCATTTCCGACTCGGGAAAATATTCTGAGAAAATAATCCAAGATTTAATCAGTGGAGTATGCAGCGCCATGCCATGCGTTGAAGGCAATTGTTAAAATTTTCAATTCTCACAAGCTTTCAAGAAATAATCTCGTCGCGCTTCAACAATAAAATGATCCCTTAATTTCATCATTGTGCCGTTAGTTATTGTATCAGGATTGATTAAAACCTCTTTCCCATTGCCTTAAATCAGTATTTAAAAAATAGTGAAAAGTAAAGTTAGTTATTCAAAAATCAATTTTTTACTACATTCAAATGTTTGCTGAAAAAAATTGTATCAGTATTTTTCAGAAGTATCTTTATATATAAACCGTATTGAAGTTTAATGATAGCAATAAAAGTAGGAAGAGGCAATTAAGGAATTAGTAAATGTCAAATGTTCAATTTACTTCTTGATGTAGTCTTTTTTTTTTGTATACTACAATATACATATAATTATATTCCCCTCAACCCGTCTAGAATTGATTCTGAATCAAATGTCTTATATGAAAAAGATCTGGGCCCATGGGAGAACGGAATGGTCCAAACACACATGTGAATCTCGTAAAAAAAATTATGAAACATGAACTTATGGCTATGAGAGTTAATCGATTGAAATGACTGAATTACCTGAGTCACTGGGTTTTCACCCGGCCTATACACGACATTGTGCAGCGGCCTTTTTCGCCCTACGTAATTTACACAGACAAACTCGAGCAAGCTTGCGTATATAAAGCACATGCACACCCCGTCCCAAACGTTCATAGCTGTCAGGTTCGAGACGACGGGCAATGTCCCACGGAATGAATTTGATGTTGTGAAAAAGTTGAGCATTGTCGTGACACCTGAAAAAGTAAAGCAGAAATATTTTTATGTTATACATTAAAACAAATTATTTTTACATATGAACCGTAGATAAAAAAACTTTATACAAATTATAGTTCATGCTCACATATTGTAAAATAAATCAACAAAACATAAATTCTTTGGTTTTTTATATCCAAATTGCACAGTGTATAAAATAATTTTAATTATGTATTTTAACAGAAATAATTGTTGAAATGAAATATGCTCGTGCAAAGTAGACTCTGATAACTTACCAATCATTACCCTGGCAGGTACTGCATTCCACTCCAACCAGAATGTTATAAATGATGATGTTACTAATATTATTCCTGGTATAAATACAGTAGTAAAATAAAAAGCTCTATCCCTCGTGAATATCAGGTCTACTTTGAGGCAACTGTAGTTTCCTAAAACATTAACGTTATTATGTATGTTTTATTGTCGTGTTTCAGCTCCTGCTAAAACTATGCTACAGAGCTAGACTGTTAAATATGAAATCATTAGCCGATAAGTGTTACATGTCTTGAAAGTTATCTTTTATGCAAGTATTCTTCTTTTTTTAACGCTTGTGCAAACTGTTCTGAGCAGAGCAGTGATTGCTTTGTTTTGTCTAACTTCATCGTTATGTAAGTCGACATATCTATTAATTACTAGAATATTTTAGTGATGTACACAGAGCAAATAGACTCTGGCGGTGAAATAATTGCAATAAAGATAAATTCTGTTGGCAGAGATCAAGCGGTGAATGAAAGGATTAATAATACATTTTTGGCTGAACATATATTAGTAGATAAATCAATTAATACAACAACACGAACTTTGGATTAAAATCAAAGCTTTGTTATGATTCAACACTCACACATGGACATCCCATTACACTGTGGACAGAAGGAACAACTTATCTCCTCCATAATTGGCTATAAAATACCTATAAATGTTTTCCAGTTTGTGTTTACCTTGCTCTTCAAACCGCCGTTGGCAAAGGGAGCATTTGGCTGCGGTGTTCCCATCATCATCATCATCATCTGCCAAAACAAACTTGAGTCACCCCTTGGCAGAGAAACTTCTTACCAAACGCACTGCCTTATTTAATAGGAACGAGCCCATCTTGATTCCCATATTATATTATGATTATATTTTAATTAATCTTGTTTATGCTTGCTTGTTCATTTGTTCCAAGTTGTTTAGTTTAGAAAAAAAAGTTTTAATTAAAATTTAACTGTTAAATTTTATTTATAAAATTAATTCATTAGTAATGGTATAAAGCAAAGGTGATTCATTGTCTTGTTAAAGATTCAATATAGGACTTACTACAAAAATAATATTAAAAGTGATCTATACACAAGGAGAAGCAAGAAAAGTGGCCACCCTAAATTTTTTAAATTATCTCTTAGACAATCCTCCATTGATTATCTTAGAAAAATATTTGGTCCTTTTTAAAAGGTTAGAGAAAAATAAAACACATAAAATCTCCCACTTGTACTTAAAATTTAATTTTATAAATAAATCTTGAAATAGTCAATTTCTTCTTTGTTGGTTTTTATGTAAAGCTTCTTTCTAACGTTTTAATGGTTTGATTTTTTTTAAGTGGTATTATTTTTAAGTTTCAAATTTGTTTGAGTGATGGTTTTAAGTGATTCTACTAGAATTGTTACATTGTTGGAACATAGAAGTCATGTGTATATGACCAGGGTTCTTAACATTCCCAAAACCACTGTCCATTATGACCAAAACCCAGAGGTTACTCAAAAAGACTTGAACCAGGTCACCATCTCCGAGAAATGATCGTTTTATTGTTTCGAATTTAATGCGTGATTGACATTACACCGATGTGGAGATCAAGCAACTTTAACAAGTTAATGCACCAGTAAGGTGAAGACTTTTAGGCACAGAACAGCTTGGTTAAGTTTTGCAAGAAATCACATCAATTGATCTGAGCAAGATTGGAGTAAAATCTTGTTTTGGGATGGGTCAAGGTTTTGTTCGAGGCTGATGGCTGAGAGAGGTTTCGGCGAAGAATAGGAGAGCGATACATCCACGCATTTTTACTGCCGGGGAACCTGTGGAAGGTGGTGTTATGGTTTGGGCAGGCATTTGTATGGAAGTTTGTATGGATGAAAAACTTCATCGTGGGTTCTCTAACAGCAATAAACGAGGGTGGCCACTTTTTTTTTTCTTTCTTCTCTCGTATAGAAATTTGTTATGTGATAGGTTAGGTTATGTGATATGAAATTATGATTAGAACATGAAATGTTAAAACACTAATACAGCATTACACTTCTCTTCCAAATAAATGGCATTAAGTACTAAAGACAGACAGAACATCGAGAAAAAATATAACTTCAAAACAGAAATACCCATACTCATTGTGCACCTATTCTAAAAAAGGAAAAAGAATCATTGTAAAATTTAATGCAAAGTTTGTAATTAAATAATTAAAGTTAAGTAATTTGTTGTCTATTATAAATACTGTTTATATATTAAAGATTGTACAAATGTAATTATTACTTAATTGGACTTGCTAAAGTTAATTTCTGCAGTATTCCAACCAATTTTAAATTTTCAGCAATATACTAGGTTATTTATTGAAAATTTTAATACAGTTGTTCGAATATTACAAGAAATTTAAGAAAAGCCTTCAAGACAAATTTTAATATTTTCAAACATTTCAGAGGCAATGATGCTAAGTTTGGATATAACTCAAAATATTAATATTCCATGTTTCGTGGAAATTTAGTAATGTGATAAAGTCACATGAATCACCTAGTCGACAAGGAATGTTCGAGGTGATGTTTGATTTGACATGATGATGTTTGCTGAGATAGGACAGGAATCAAGATGAACGAAAAATCTTTTGAAGGGCTGTGCAATTTTACTGCGCTTTGGAAGACTAACTTAAATCGACAAATTGGTTGAAATTTAATTTTGCCACTCTTTATAAAGTAGAGGAATAAAAATATTCAAAAAAAGTAAACGTAAGCTAATACACTCTTATAATATAGATTTAATTTAAATCTATTTAAGACATTGCTTTGGAAAAGAAGCTTTGAAAGGTGAAATAAACATTTATTTCAAGAACATTAAACTCATAAGTGTTTATACAATCATATTAATAAAAGTGAACACAAAAAATATTTATTGCAGTCATACAATTACTGTACAATTAATTTATTAAAGTGAATAAATTGCACACTTTAAAATTAGTTGAAGTGACTTAGTGAAACACACTTGGAATACATTCCCAATATCAAGTCCTACCAGATTTGACATTTTCACCACCAAAATTTGAGTTCTTTTTTAATCAAATAATTTTTAGTTATGATTGCTTTTCAAGTATCAATTGAGCGGCAAAATGAAATTTACAGCGAACGACCTCCACCATTTGGGCTGATGCCACAAGCATCGTAGTTCGTACGTCATAAGGAAATTGAGTTGTATTAAGAAATAAACAAAAAAGGAACATAAAACCATACAGTTGGGAAACGGAGATGGCACAACAAGAAAATTAATATTTTGTTTCAAAATACAGAAATTGCAGTAGTTTACTGTCTTCATCGCCATTCTGAGAGAATAGTCATGCATTTTAATTCTCTTTCGTGCAAGTTACTTGAAAATGCGTTAAAGCATCATTCACTCAGCGTATACGTTATAACCCTCAGTTACATTGATGATGACAGTATTAAATGTTAATAACACCTCTTATTATAAAGCTCACAAACTACATACTGACTGCAGCTCCACACATATAACTGATATGTTTTATTTAACATGAAATATAAATTAAAATAATAAGATGTAAATATTCGCTTTTTATTAAAAGAAAAAACCTTTGTCTGTCTGACATGAATTTCATGCACCTTGACAAGTACAATGTGGCGAGTAATAGAAATTTTCTGTCCTAATCAATGATTACTAAAGAAAACAGAAAAAATATGAGAGAATATTTAGAACAACTAAAATGAAACTATTAATACTAAAATTAGGACAGTTTATAAGCTTTATGGTATGGATGAAAAAAAAAACAACAACAACAAAAAAAACAACAAATTCAATTGTTATCCGCCAAGCTTTTGATCTATTTTAAGTCCATCACCAGGAGAAAAAAAATCTTAAAGATACCTACAAATTATTTAAGGTTTTAACAAACAACTTCAAATTTCTTTGAATACCAAGTCAATCCCAACACTGCCAAGGACTCGTCATTCTATACTTGTAATTTATAGACATCTTGAAGATTGTTTTGTCCTGATGATGACCTTAAATAGATGAAAAGCTTAGCAGATCACAATTGAATTTGTCTTTTCATCTAGATCATACCAAGATCCAGATTATTTGTGAGTGAAAAAAAAAAAAAAATGGTCGACACATCTAACACTTTAAACATGAGGTCTAAGGCACAGACGATCATTGAAACTAAATAAATATGGTCTTGAGACTATTACACACTTGTTGCAATACTCTATACACAAATTAGTGCTTATTCTCTTGACTGAATGGATTAAATACATTAGGTTGATATTAACATTCAGCATACTTGATCCATAAGTAATTTGAAACGATTGAGAACTCTAGTTAAAAAGACAAACGTTTAAAACACCTTCTAGGTTTTTGTCTTTGCTGCAGAAGCTTAGCTTCAAAAAGGGGGCTTAAAAAAGCTTAAAATGATTTGGGGCTGAAACACAAATGTTCAAGAAAATAAATAGGTAGTGATGATCCAATTGTTACATAAATTATGACAATATTAACATCCCACATCAATTTACTGTAAATTCATTATTGCCATTTTTGATTTTAAAAAGATTATATTAAATTAATTCTTTTATGTTATAATTTTAATGAGAATTTTAGTGATCTATTTTATTTTCATAATTTATTATCGATTATATTATTTATTTCAATATTCTTGTTTTTGAATAATTTGTGCTCCTTGTATCCACGCGGTCCTATTTACTAAAAGTGAAGGAATTATAAGACAAGCTTAAACTGACTTGAAAACAAAGTACATTTTTTAAATTTATTTTTTATTAAGAAACAACACCAAATTTTGACATTGTAGGTTTATTCCGTAATATAATAATTATTATTATTGTATATTTTTAATGGACTTTTGTGGAGAAACACAGAACAGTGTTTATTTTCTGCGTTTATAGTTAATCATTTCATTTAATTTTAATAAGTTTTAATATGATTTTTCTTAAAAATTTGCTTTCGAAATGAGTAAACTCAAAAAACAAATTGCAACTTCTATCCCATTATAACTAAAACCTTGATGATTAAAAAAAATCTATTAAGATGATGCCTAAATGGTCAATTATAAATAAAACAAAATAAAAAAGTGAAAGGCATTATTGTCCAATTGTTTAATTTCTACAAATACACTCAAAGAAAAAAAAATAGGTATAAAGATTAATTGACTTAGTAAACACAACATTAATAACGTGTTTATCTTTATAGTGTGTTACTAATCCTTTTATACTCTTTTGAATGAAAATAAAGAAAATCAATTGAAGTTAGTTAAATTTTCTATAAGTAAATGTTTTTCCTGTATTTTGGTGTATTTTCTTTCAAACCATCATAATTAAATAATTTTTATTAAAACTTACAAATTTCTGATCTCATTTAAATTAAAATAAATATGTTATAATGAATGTAATGATAAAAAAATACATATAGTTTGAAATAAACAAAAAATATGAATGTTTTTTTGTCTTTGAGCATAAAACAGCTTATGGAGGCATGGTTTTAAAGTTTTTCCTAGGTGCAACAGCTTATTTCCTCTGCACACAAACAAACACACACACACACACAATACATAAATAAGGAGCCAATGCCATCTTCATTTTTAACAAGGGTAAAAAAGGTCTACATTTAATGGTTCATTCGTTTTTATCTCTACAATTTTTTTCTGTCCAAAAGTTTTCATTCCCTTGTTTATTTGTACAATTAGGCCACTAGAAAATATACTGTAGGATTATTTTATCTGCTCATAAGAACCATAGAAGAATGGAATGATTCAGAAGGATACTACAAATTGTCGACTCGACTGTTTGTTCTTTGTATTAAGATTTCATAACAAATGAAATATTTTGTGTTATTGCCATCATAAACCTTTCATAATGCGTTTCATAGTAAAAAGCAACGCAGTGATCAGAGTAATTTTCAAAATTTCATGGATGAATCTCTTGATTATTTATGGGCCTTACGTGAAAATCAAAATTTTGAAACGTCATTTTAATTATGTAACAGCCTAGACTGAAATAGATATCTGTAAAAAAGAGGCGAAACAAGCCGTAGTTAACAGTATCATAGCCATAATCATGAAGGAGATAAATTTATACATTTAATTTTAATACATTTTACTTAATTAAAACTTTCATTTTACAAAAAAATTATTCTTGCTGAGTGCATTTAACTTACAATCTACAAGTGATTTATCTACAATTTCATGCCGAATGCTGAACAATGCTGATACATAAGCATATTGCATTATTATCTCCTTTTCCGTTGTGTGATTTTCATGCTATCCGTATTGAAGCAATAGGTATAGTTGTTTTGGTTTTACTTATCGTACCCACTAACTTTGTATTAACTAAAAATATACGAAACTTGTTGGCATAAACCAAAGGTGAACAAATTGTAGAAGTAGAAAATTAGAATAAATGTGGGAGAGAGATTTACCTCGCCAGCTTGCTTTAGTCGGGCAAGCGATGGTTTGGTTTTGTATGAGATAAGCATTCAGGGTCGTCAGCGATGGTGATTTCCTCAATGTGCCTTCATCATTTTTCCAAACGTACGTGATTGCAGACTGCTCGTATGAAACTAGCGAGACAAAAAATGATTTTCCTATGTGTTTCTCTTTAAAAAAGAAAGTGAGGACTTACTGCTTTCCATGGCAAAGGAGCATTGGGGGTCGTCGAAAGGGAATATGTGCAACGCCCCTTGGCAGGATAGTATCAAGTGCCGCCTGCCAACAAATTGAATTTATCACTTTGAAAACTTTTCCTTTTCCTCTCTCACCTCATAAGATAGTTGACGGTGCCGTTCCTGAATATCCTGAGGGCGAAGTGGACGGGAATGAGGGGGTCCTTGAAGTCTCCGTGCATGATGAAATAAGTGTCCGGGAGCCACACTTCTTCGTGGTGGTGGATCGCATTGAGGAAATCATAATCGCTCTTGTTCCAATACTGCAAGCGTGGATCGAACCACTGCTGCTGAAGGAGAAATTCGACTTCATATTTCTGAAATGTGATGAGATTAATTATTAAACACAATGGTACAAAGTCTAAGAAACTGTACAATAGAGTGCCAACTTTAGACCATTTTGGGTTAAAGGAGTAATCATAATTATTACATAAAAACACATAAAGAATAAATAATTTTGTAAATTTCACTCAATAATTTTACAAAAACTAATAAATATGATCATAAGAGGAAATGTGCTTTGATCCTTTCCAATCAATTCTTCTGCAAATTCTTCTTACTGACCAGCATATCTCACAATAGAAAATAATAGATAATGTCACAATATTTTTTTTTGACATTGTAAAAAATAAATTGCAGACAAAACATTATTTGAGTTGAGCTAAGTTTTTAGTGTTTCTGTTACTACTATTTTACACTTCAAGGTGAAAACAATTTTTAAAAGATTTTTAATAGAAGTATGGACTCTAGATTTAATAATATTGAAATGTATGAATTTTTTAAAAAACTATCAGTGGTTTAACTTGCTTTATCAATTTTTCTAATGGGCGAGTTTCATTTTTGTTTCTGTAGAGCTGGGGAACAGAAAGTGAAAAGTGTTTCTAAAGAAAAATTTCACCCAGGGAATGGATTCGGATGGAATCTCTGAATTCTCTTATTTACGAACTTCCTTTTGACCGACTCTTTGAATAAACTTCACTTAGGCCCACGAGTCTCATTTTGCATAAATAATTCAATCTTTTCAAAGGATTCCCCCGAAATGAAAGTTCTCAGCCAACTTCCTGCAAGCCTTATAGAACTGGCTGGGTGTTAAACCGGGAAAAAAGTAGAAATGATTTTTTATTATTGATTTATCAGTCGATGCAAGACAGCTTTAATCCATGCCGTCTTTGCCTAAAATCAATGTTGTTTACAGTAAAGTAATAACAAGAGAATACTTACCAAACTTGATTCATCCGGTGAAGCTAGTGACAGCAATAAAACGCTCATATTGACAGTAAGCGTCCCTGCAAGAATAAAATTATTAAACTTTTTCAAAAATCCATCTAAGCAGTGGTTTGAAAAATAGTGGTTTCAAGTTGCTGGGTCTGTGAGTCGGTGAACTCATTCTGAACCAGCATTGGGCCACTTATTGGGATCGCAATCACTCAACAGTTTCTCACTGAATTACATTCAAACGGATCGATAAATATAAAAACATCTTTAATGTAGTTGATCAAATTTTTTTAAACATAATTCAAAGGAGACAGTTCCCAGAGAAAAAATGGTAAAGAAAAAGCTGGATAATTATTGAAAAGGTTGAAAATTCATAAAAATCCAAAAATTCCTTGAAACTATTTTCTAAAAAATATGTTCCACTTTCTAAAGGATCGTTCTTCATCAAAGTCAACAGATTACTCAAAAAATTGAAATTATGACTTAGTGCAATGAATTAACTGTTTTAAAAAGTTATATTAATAAAGTCAACACTATTTAAATATTTTTTTTAATTAAAAAGAAAGATTATTTAATAAATAAAATGTGAAACCATCAATTAATCAGTCAATATATTTTTTTTATAGCTTTACACTATTTAAATATTTTTTTTAATTAAAAAGAAAGATTATTTAATAAATAAAATGTGAAACCATCAATTAATCAGTCAATATATTTTTTTTATAGCTTTTTCTGTCTAAACAAAAGACATTTTTCAATCTGGATAATTTTTAGCAAAATTTTTAAAAAATAAAATAATAATTATTTGAATAATGATGAATTATAATGATTAATAGCAAGGAATATTTAAAAATTGTAAAAATGTAACATTGTAATGCTGTCAAGAAAATAAATATATAGTTGAACATGGATGCGATAAATGTTTTTTGCTATTTATATTAAAATAATCTCACTTTTTTTATTGGGTACTTTTTCAAGTCTTAATCATATGTTCAAGTCCAGGTCTACAAGGAGAACAATAAATAGGATACGTGACTGGCATTTGTAACATTTTCAGATTTTCCCTTCATATTTTCAAACGTTCAAGTCTACTTTTATTTTCAGGGATAAATTAATGACGCTTTTACCTCCTTATCGCTTGGGGAGATTGCACATTTGATAACGTACAATGAATAACTTTGCATTATTTAAGAAGTTCATACATCTCAGCCTGGTGCAAATATCTTGAAATCACGAATAAAATTAAGCACAAGCGTGATTTATTAAACAAATCAGCATATTTGAAAATTTGATTGCGAGGCAATTACCCATTTTTTTTATAAAAAAAAAAAAAAATAATAGCGTATTAAAAATAATTTATTGTTTTGTATATAAAATTTGGAATATACAGACTTTAGTACATCTCTATTTTTATGATTGTCAGTAAAGAGTGATCCTACAGTGTTAGCCAGTTTGAGTTTATTTGTTATTTTGGCAAAATGAGGATAAAGTTTTTTATTGTGAAGCTTAGTGTTTCAAGTGAAAAAAAATCTGAACTCGGTTTATACTCAGTTCAGTGCTGAATTGAAATCAACTCAAAAATTGGCGCCTTTCAATTTGTCTGAACCGAGTTTAAATGATGATCCGGGTTCAACTTTGAAAGGGGAGCTTGGGTTAAACTGAGTTCAGAATTGAACGACTCCCATGTCATAATAACTTATGTGTTGTTGAAGTACTCGCAATTCAACTTTTGATGTTTTTGTTCACATATTTCAATAAAATGTTTGATTTGGAAACCATTGTTATTTCTTATACATGATTCTAATCATCCTAATTTTGTTTTTCTAATCAGGAATAGTGTTTCCGGCGATATGTGTGTAAAGCGGATGGCATTACACTAGATAAATAATAGCTTTTTGTGTTTGAGACAATGTTTTATACCCAGTTACTTAATTATTGAATTTAATATACACACAAAAATAATAAAGAATTTACAATTGAAGTTGTTAAAAAAAATTTAATGTACACATTTTGGCAAATTGAATAACTTCATTTTTCTAGTAAGTAAATTGATCCTTTGGGCAAGATATCTTGAAAAGTTTTAATTAAAAATTGTTCAAGTATTTTGTTTATTAAATAGTTGCAAATAGTAAAACTAAAAACTTAATTTTTTTAAATTTGCTTGTTTCAGATATTTTACCCAGTCTTGGTATAAAAATAGTTAGAAATGTTTGAGTATTATTATCATAAAAAACTAGTAATACTAGTAGTACTAGTGTTTTCTGTTTATTTCTGACTAGAAAGAGTCAAAAAGTGCAACATATCCACTGATGAAAAATATTAAATCATAACAGTAATTTCAGAGAAGAATTGTCTACAAATTGTCTACCTCAGAAATTTTCAAAATATTATTCCTATGTACTTGTAATCAAGATTAACAATATCCCGATAAAAATTTAATACTATTTTTCTTTGCCAATTTAGCAGGTGTTCCTGAACCCAAGAAATAGTTTGCAATTTCTGTCATTCAGTTCTTCAGATTCATATAACATTCATTATATAAATCTGCCCAACTAATTGTCCAAAGTCTGATTCACGATTTTATTCCAAATATTGCTTTTCAGATTACTTCAACCTTTTACAACTTTATTACATAAAGCCCTCTGTATCTCATAATTTGATTACACCAATGGAAAGGGAATTGAAAACCCTACAAAACTGATTTTTTTTTTTTTATAAGCAAACTTAAGCTCACAAAATATAAATTCATTTAGAAGATAAACGTTTTTCCAAAGTTACAAAGTAAACAAAAAATTACTTGTTGGTACAAAATTTAGCAAAATAAAATGAAGTAAGGAAGTGAAAGGTTGGAGTGCTGAAAAGTGCATATTATTATATATATTTTTTTTTGCAACAATTCTTATATATTTCTTTATATAAAAATATTTTCCAAATTAAGCCTGAGGAAAAGTACAAAAAAAAAAAAAAAATCGTTATTTATCAGCACTAACCAGGAACAGGTGGAAGGAGTCTCTTATCATATCGTTCTGCCTTGAGGAGAGCGTCGAGAATTTCCTTGTCGGATCTTCCTTCTTCAAATCTGGAACACAGGCGTTGTTATTACCATTGTTGTCATAAATGTCATTGTATAAAGATAACCTAAATAACAATTTATGAAAAAAAAGTTGTTTGTTCAATTTTTTTGACACCTTTTTCATCCTGGGTCCAATATGTCCGATAAAAAAATCTTTCTAAAAATCTCTGTTTCTTGTGATGTATCAGTACAAATGCATAGAAAAAATCTACATTGAATAGAAAATTATTTAAAAAAAATTGGGACTTTATTGTTAAATCAAATACTTAATAAATTATATAAAATATTGCTTATTGCAGTACAAAAATGATGTTGAAGAAAAAAGACAAAGGACAAAGAGAAGAGTAGAGAAGAGAAGAGAAGAGAGGAGGAGAGAGAGAAAGAGAGAGAGAGAGAGAGAGAGAGAGAGAGAGAGAGAGAGAGAGTGTAACGAGAAAGTGGATTTAATTGTAATTGTACAAAATCAAGAGAAATAAAAAAACTTGGTTCACTTATAACAGCTTAAAGCAATAAGACGTGAAATTTACCAATAAAATAGACAATATATTATGCTTATAATTTTGTGTTCTAAACCAGACTTTTAGGCAACTGCCATTGTGCAAACTTTTAATTGGAGCCATGTTTCATTTCAGGACCCAACATAAACCAATGTGGCGATTATTTTATCAAAGTTGATTCTCGCTGAAACCTCTCATTGTTATTTTGGTTGAACCTTAAAAACTAATACAATAATAAGTACTAATTTTCTTTTTACAATTCTACAACTGAAGGGTATCGATTGCAATATTTTTTTTTGCTATTTTCATGCTATCTTTCTTATATAAAAAAATCTTTTATTAGTCCTTGTCCGTGTTACCAAGTATTTTATTACCTCATGTTTAAATATTTCTCAACTAAGAAATGATTCATTCATCGACCAAAAGTTAAATCACATGCCAAGCTAGTGGCTGTTTTGAATCAAAACCACTTGTTATTACGATTAAATGTTTCAAAGTACTGAAACTTCCAGCCGGAGTTGGCTGAAACGAAACATGTTCATACAACCCTCTCAGTGTGATTCATGCAAATTAATTTGCCTTGGATCAAAACTGAACCATCTCGCATCACTTTACATGCCATTTGTGAAGGGAAAATAGCAGTGAAAATGACCACTTTAACAGTTTAAAACAAATCTCTATTCTTCAGTGTTGATTAAATAATAAAAGAATTTCCATGGTTAAAATGTTTTGTTGTATTATTTGATTTCCACAAGGTAAAAACTTTTTCATTATAAAAAGTCCTTGGGAGAAAGCTTTTCCACTGCTTTTACCTGGGCGAGAGCAAGTCTTTCATTTCACAGGCTGATTAGGTTTTTCATCGATTTGGTCTTGGATATCCCAACCACTGGCTGGGTGAAAACGATTTTAAATACAATGCCTCAGGCTTGCAGGATGTTCTGAATTAAAACATAATCAAAATAATTACTTGCAGATTATTTTTTTGATGTGTCACAGAATTATTTTCCAGGAAACAATCTGATAACCTTTAGTCAGCATACATTGTTTATATGTATGCTATCGTGTGAAAGTGTATTAGAGATTTTAGTTTTTATCTTTTATTTTCTCTCTCATTCTCTTATTACTCTCTTTATATACCATTTCGACTTTTCCCTCTCTCTCTCTCTCTCTCTCTCTCTCTCTCTCTCTCTCTCTCTCTCTCTCTCTCTCTCTCTCTCTCTCTCTCTCTTTCTCTCTTTATATTTCTTCTCCTGCAGAAGCATGCCTTATCTAACTATCTAACAATAAAACATTAATCTGTGAAGGCTATTGAGGTGATTTATTGTTTCATTATTACTAAAAGAAGCTTCACAAGAGAATGAACCTTTTCTTCCTAGATTTGACTCTTGTATCCAGAGACGCGTTCTGCAAAATTCTCCCCCTTGATTGTAGGGCTGAAAACGAGATTGCCACAGGAGCCTTTTTGACCCTCTTGACGTCTGCTATATCATCTATATATCCTAATCATCCTGGATATTTGTCGAATGTAAATTTTCATGCCACACATATCCCTATCCTCATAATTTTCTAATTAAAGTAGGATCGATTGGGTGTTCACCAGCTGAATAGTTATGAGCCAATGCAAGGATTAAACAGAAACAAGGAATGTTAGGAAATTGTCCAAAATATTTTTCATACAGTTTCCAGTTTATGACCACTTGGCCTAATATTGTTTTAATAGTTAAGTTTTTTAACTTTTTTTGTTTAAATGTTTTTTTGATTACTTTTCATATAAAAAAAGAAATAATCAGATTGATAAATTAATGTAACTATGCTTGTAAATCCGTCAAAACAGTACGTGAGACCAACATTTCAGCAATAATAAGAAGTCTTGCTGGTTTAGTAATGACCAAATAATTGGTCCTCACTTTTGTCTAGAGCACATTGAACGGACAAGCTAGTACAAACAAGTTGATACAACAGTTTTAAATAAAACGCCTCAGGCTTGCTGGATGATTTGAAGTAAAGGATATCACTTGGCCTAATATTGTATTAATAGTTAAGTTTAACGATTTTTTGATTATTTTTTTTATAAAAAAACAATCAGATTGATTAATTGTAACAGTGTTTGTAAATCCGTCCGAACGGCGCTTGAGGCCTACACTTCTGCAACACTCCGAAGTCTTGCGGGTTTAGTATACCGCGTGCCCCGTAAAAGACACCCCAATTTACCTGGTGTACATCAGGGCTCTCATTCTAGTCCGATCTTATTTCTTTTATTTTTTAATAACGTCGCCTCATCTCTCATTATTCTTCATTTTCATTGTTAGCAGCCGATTTGAAAATTTATCGCCCTGTTGAATCGTTGAATGATTGTATTCTCTTACAAAATGACTTGAGTCGCTTTTGGCTTTGGTGTAAGAGTAATAATTTGAAATTAAACGAAAATAAATGTAACATTTTGAAGTTCAGCAAGAAAAAAATAATTCACGATTACGACCAATTCGTTTATAGTATCGAAGGTTGTCACATTGACGGGGTAGATATTATCTCTGATCTCGGGGTTATTTTTAATAAGAATTGTGATTTTCGGGACCATATCCATACCATTAGAAATAAATCCTTTAAAAATTTAGGATTCGTACTCATGCAAACTGCTGACTTTAAGAAGAATAAAATTACTCTATTAATCTCTGGTGCGCAGTCACCTAGAGTATGCCAGTGTTGTTTGGTCACCGAATTCTTTAGATGGGTCTTACATGATAGAAAGGGTACAGAGAAAGGCACAAAATACCTCTATTACAAATTATGCAATCACAGGAACTACCATCATTGCTCCTATGAAGCTAGACTTGCTCTCATAGGCCTGGATTCTCTGGAGGATAGAAAAGTTTTGGCTTCCGTTGTGTTTCTGTGGAAGATCCTATATAATTTTATTGACTCCCCGGAGATATTATCTTGTATTGGCTTTAGTTCCCCAGTGTCAACTACGAACCCATGAATTGTTTGGTACTTCACGGCACAGGACCAAATACGGGTTTCAGTCTTCAATCTCCTCAGCTGTGCATTACTTAAATAAATTCGCTATCAGTGCAGACCCGTCCTCCTCGTCCCTTCAGATCTTTTAAAAAAATATTAAACGTGCTTTAAAATGTAATTGAGGGTTTATTTATTACTTTTGTTCTGCTATTTATTAGTATATTTATAACACAAATATATACACACAAAATAATACACAAAACGGCCAATTCTATCAATCACTCTTTTCGAACCGACGAATTCATCTTCAACGTAAAAAAATCCCTGTAAAAAAGTAGTTAAAAAAAGCCTGTAAATAGTGCAAATCGAACTTCATTTGTCGTCGAAAAAATACCCTACGTTTTTCAGTCGATTTAAATTTATTTCAATGTAGAATCTTTTGAGAAGAATGGGAAAAACAGAAATTCCAGTGATGGTTTCATTAAAAAAAATAAATGAAAATACGTGAGAAAATTGCCTGAAAAACTTTAAAAAAGCAAATAACAGTCATGTACTATAAAATAATTGAAGTAGAACTATTGTAAAATACTGTTTTTACCTCAAAAATGTTATAATTATTTAAAAATCGATGTTTGTACAAACTGTGATATAATTTTTTTTAAACTACCGGACACCTAGTAAAATGGATTCAGAACGAATCTTCTGCTAAAATTACGTTAAGAAATGACATTGTTCTGCTATTTATTAATATATTTATAATATTGATTTTTTCGTTAAAAGTGTAAGCGCTTCTTTGCTGTTATTTTTATTACTATTATTTTTATATCCTTTTTTAATAGTTTATATCATAATGATTGTTTTGTTGTGTTGCTTGACTTCCCTATGCTTGGGTACCTGACCTGTTTGGACTGTAAATAAATACAATAAAAATAAAAATAAATTTAAATATGTATCTGATCTCAGAGAAAGGTGGCTCACCTCTTTTGACTTCTTACTTATATATTAATTGTGTATCATAAAAATTATAGAAAATTTTTTAATTTTGACAAACCTGTGTAGGATGGAAAGGTTAAACCAAGATTTGTCTAGAAAAGTTTTATTCTCTGACGAAGCTAATTTTAATAGTGCTGGATCATTAAATCGCCACAGTATTTTGGGTTAACAGGTCGGGAAATGCATTGGGTAGTATTTTAAGATTAAATAATTCGTCCTCACTCCTTTAGAGTGTACAGTGAATGGACAAGTTAATACAATGGCTTTAAATACAACGCCTCAGGCTTGCAGGATGATCTGAAGTAAAGGATAATCACTTGGCCTAATATTGCATTAATAATATAAGTTTAACAATATTCTGATTATTTCTCATATAAAAAACTAAATAATCAGTTGGATTGATTAATTATAACATTGCTGTAAATCCGTCTGAACGGCGCTTGAGGCCTACACTTCTGCAACAATCAGAAGTCTTGCGGGTTTAGTATACAGCGTGCCCCGTAAAAGACACCCCAGTTTAAATATGCATCTGATCGCAGAGAAAGGTGGCTTACTTTT